GCTTGCTTCATCTTATTAAATGTAACCAGTGGAGCACAACCTTAGCTCCCTTTGTGCTGTCATAGGTAGCCAACTTGTTTTGGAATATATGGAAAAAACCCAATACCTTACATGTGTTCAAGTACAGTAAATGAATTAATGGACACTTATTAAGTAATTTTTTTGATGCATCACATAATAACGCATTTTAGATATGTATGCCCAGTGTATGTCCTGCATTTCTTGTTAAAATTTAACTGCTTTGCATAAGAGACGAGAAGTCTCCTCTTTAAGCACTGAACTGTGCAATACTTTTAATGTCTTAAGGTGTATGGTTTACAGACTGTACTTTTGAAATTGCAGTAGTATTTTACTGTCTGCTTTGGTATAAATACAGGAGAGATATATTTAGTATAGCAAAAAAAAAAAACAAACCAAGGGCATTTTAAATCATAAATACAGAAATTGCAAATATATTCTACGAGGCATTCTATTCTCTGTAGTTTATTACAGCTTTGTAATGATATTTTAGAAATTGAAAGAAAACTGGATGAAACAGTTTAAAGATCATGAATTTATTACATGTTTTCAAGCAAAAGCATTTTTAGAGATCCATTTCTGTGTTCGTTTTTGTTCCATTTCTCAAACCTTTCTAGAAATAAAGAAAATATGGTAACTTTCATAGGTTTATGTATCTGAGTATACTATTCAAATGTAAAGAAAGGAATATATATATAGTAAATATATATTAGATATAGGAGATCACTGAATTTTGGATAATTTTCAAGGCTGTCTTTATGACTCACCAAATTCTGTCAGCAAAAAGAAAAAACAATGTTCATTGATGGCATGAATAGTAAATTTGAAGTCCCTTAATCTGTCTGAATCTGAATGAAGCAGCACAAACATCAATGAAAGTTCTCAAATATCTATTATCAATGTAAGGCACTTAAGTTAGCAGTTTAGATAAACAGCGATCAGGCCAGGAACAAAGTCAACTAAATTCAGTTCATCCTGCTTTGAGCAGGAGCTTGGTTTAGTTGACCTTCACAAGTCCAACCCTAAATTAATCTATGATTCTGAATGGCTCTCTGACAGCTATTGTGCTGACTGAGCATTTACAAACCCACTGTAAGAAGGATTTTAAGGTTTTTATAACTGTAGTACAGTATTCCATTGGGCTGCTTTCAAAAGCTTGATGTGACATAATATCAGAGAAATATCAGCTACTTAAACCTATGAGATAACATGCTGAGACTTTCAGAAAGCATTCACAAAACTCAAAAGGTAATTGAGACCTTCTTTTCAGTTTAACAGTGCAATCACAGCTGTTAGTGGATGACGAAACAGCCCCTTATCTACAGCATTCCGTTGTGATTTTTACTGCTGCAGCGTTTCAGCCTGATCAGACCACAGTCTACACATAAATAGGACTCTAGCTTTTAGTTTTCACTTTTTGGGGGGTTTTTAAGGTAAGACGTAATAGTTTTGTGGCCTGTATAAAGAGTGTAATTTTTTAAATAGTAAATCTAGGGATACAGTGTAAATCACTTGTCCACTCTGTCATTTTCTAAGAATAACACTGCACTTTTGTACAAAAATGAAATACGGAGTCTAAGAAATAAAGAATGTACTTCTGTTTGCACTCTTGCAGTATGGAGACTGTGCTGTAAATACAGGATTGTTTCTGTGATTGAGTTCTGTTGCATGAATGCTGCATGTGAGAATAACTAGATTCAGCATTTCATTTTCTGTTTATGAAGTATTTTTCATTTGTGCTAATGATAAAGTTCCACGTTTTCAATGTTCAAATGAGGTTTGTTTGGGAAATGCAGGTGTTGTGCAGGTATTGTGCAGGGAATGAAGAGCTTGTAACACCCTGTGTGTTCGCAGGATAATTCATTTCTTCCTTTCTGGAAATTCAGGGAGTCTGTAAGTTGAGAATTGTTTCACTCTGGCCTTTGTAGACAGCTGGGAGTTGGGAGTGACTGTAAAACATATTGGTTTGGTAGCTGTTGTTATGTGTAGTCAGTGAATGAAACCAAATGAATTAAGAATGCTGTTGTACAGTATAAAGCTGCTTTTTTTAATGGGTCTCTTTTATGTTCTTGAGGCAAGTTGCAGAACTTAAAAGCTCCATGTGCATACTGGCCCTGTGTTATCTGCAACACACTGAGTACTGTCACAGTGGTTATAAATCCAGGTGTTTCGATACGTTCCAGCTTTTGCTTTGGGTTCTTCTTCCTATTATGTCATTTTGAAAAATTATAGATTATGATAGTGGGTCATTTTAAAGTAAATTAAATCCATGTTGATTTCAAAACATGAAATTAATTGATTATTCCAAATTAAGAGTAGGGCTAATTTGTCTGTTGTTCTGAAGGTCATATATTCTGTACTGTATGTCATGATCCAGTTTCAATGTAAGAACACACTGTGCAATCTATATTTAAGCAATAAAACCCAAATTTAAAATCAGTCTTTTCTAAGGTGTCAGTTAATTTTTATTGCTCACAATTAAAATGTCACTGATATTTTTTAGCATTTAAAATAGGCTTCATTTTACATACCTTTTTTGTCCTTGCAAATGTTATAGCATTGCAGCATTTTAAAACTGCTTTTATTTATGATTAAAACACTCCTAAGGCCACCAAAATTTGAGAAAGGAACAATGCAAACATAATTTTCTAGTAGCAAATAAGCTTCAAAAAGATAAGCTGTGCTTTTCAGGCCTGCCTACCTGGTTAGAAAACATATTGACTTTGTATTATCAGTTTGAAGGAAGAAAGTTGTCAGTGTGTGTGAAAATCTGCATGCAGTTCACCCATGGGGAGCTTTCTTCAAACAGTGGTGCCATCTAATGGGGCTGAGTATTACACTGATGTTTGTTACTCACTTCTTGTGGGAGCACCCATTTATTGAAATGTTTATTGTTTATTTTAATAGTACACCCTGGGAGAAGGGGGAAGAACAATTCTTTAGTTCTATTTTGAGGAAATTGGGATCTTCTGTAGCTTGCGTGACACATGTACGACACTCATGTCAAAAAGACAGCTGTCTGCAGGGTGGATACCACAGCTAAACTCATTCTGGGAGGTGATGACTACAAACTGAACTCGCCTTTTGAGTTGGCAGGGTTAGCATGCCCCTTCTGCACACCCTGACTCACAGATGCTCTGTTGCTAGCACTCCTGGTCACTATTGCTCCTCAGGCTGCTTCTTGTAAGTACTTGCAATGCCCAGGCCTTTCCAGCATCTCCCATGTAGGCTGACTGCTCCAATTCTGCAGCATTTCCCAGCCTCAGGAAACTCCCCTGTACACCAAGATCTGCTGTGCTGGAGCAGCTCCCCTCAGCAACCAACTGAGAGCTTCAGTTGCACTCTATATAAATCTTTTATTCTAAGAGCAGGTTTAAAAAGTAAGGGAGATTTGGAATATTTTTAATAAAAATATTTTGTATTATTATTTTGCTTCTCACCTCCCCACATTAATAGTAACAAAAAGTATGCCTTTGTTAAGCAAACTGAAGCATTAAGTGTGAGAATTCTTAGAGACCTTTCTAATTCCAAGAGAGACAGGTATGACTTGATCCTCAAATCAATTATTAAATGTGCTTCTGAATGTTCAGGCTCACACAAACCCGACTCCTTAACAGTCAAACTTATGAAGAACAGTGCGTAAGACAGGCAAACTTTGACATCAGCATTAACCTTTTTTATCCTGCTGTAGGTTTGCAGGCTCAGAATTGTACAACTTGGAATCCTAGTGTCTCGGGTAACACATTACGTTGTGGTTAACATCTGAACACACCCCAAGTGGGAAGTTAAATGACCTTGTTTATTTTTGGTTCTAATGTCTAAGATGCCTGGGAAGTGGGTCATAATGCAGATCTGAACCCAAACCCTGAACTCAAAGGTGGTTGGGAGGGATGTCAGGCTTTGTTCCTGTTGGTGCTCAGCACAGGAAAAGCTATTGCTGAGGGTAAGGTGCTGTTCCTGCTTCTTAGGGAGGGAGGTATGGTCCTAGGGACCACAGATGCAGCTGAAGAGTATAAGACAAAGGAACACCAGTATGATACAGCTGTATAAAAGAATGGTAGTCACCAATATAAATGCATCTCACAAATGATGCAAACACAGCACAAAGTCAGTTATGGTAGGTCAACAGATAAATGGTCAACCAAGTTAAAAGGACGTGATTGCTTTTGATCAAGAATTCGAACCTTCACTTTTACAGTAGGGTGTATTTACAGAGGAAGTACCTTATTACTATGGGTTTGATTTTGCAAATGCATGGTCAGAGAAAAAATGAAAATCACACTGAATAAAATGTTATCTGTCCTTTTGGACAGGTCACCTTCTGGATTTAAGTGGTGTATTTGCGCTATGTGTGCTATACAAGTGAAATCTAATGAAACAGACACAGAAAGATTCTACCTTTGTGTGCATCTTTCATGTCAAAGTAACAAGGTTGCTAGTGAGTTTGACCCTAGCTGGGTTTATTTGTTTAGCTTTGTTATTAGTAGCCAAGTTCTAGTAATTTAATTTCTTTTGACAATATTTCATGATCAAAGCATAGTGTAGATTAACACCTTATCAAGTCAAAGGACATATATATCCTTTTATACTGCTGTTGTCTGAGAACTGGTGAATCGTACGAGTGGTGAATTTGGAAACAAAAGCAATCAAACTTGGGTTTAGTAAAAAGCAGAAAGCATTATTCCAGCTTTACATTACATACTCCGGAATGCGACAGTTTTAGTTCACTCCAGGTAGCAAATCCTTTAATCCCTTTAGTGTAATGAAATCTCTCAAAACTGGAAGTAACCAAGCATAGTACATAGTTTTGGGGCAAAGAATGGGCCATCTACTGTCATGATCTGATTGGCCAGCAGAAACTGTGGGTTGAAAATGCAGTTAGATAAGAAGGGAAAAAGGAACTTACTAACTACCTTAGATTTTGTTCTAAGTGTTTCCTGCTAAGCTCAGTAAAGGAATAACATCTACAAAAGGAGTTGGAGTAGTTGCAGATTGGTTTAATTAAGAACCTGAAATATTTAGCCACCATAAGCAAGATCCAGTCTGAACCAACTACGCAGTTAGCAAGATCAGTCTTTGATCAGAGCAGGTTTTACACAGAAATCTAATGAAATTATACAGAATAGTGTGAAATAATCATTTACGGTAACATCTGACCTAAATAGGTGATCCATAGTGCTGACCTCACTATGGTAAGAAGGTATACAGCCTAACATCTAATACTTAGTCTATGATTATGTCACTTGTGTGCTGGAAAGTGTAAGGCAGGCACTGGAGTGATAAGAAAGAGCAAGGTATGCAGTGATCGACTCTGAAAGTATCCATGACGTTCCTCAAGTGTATGGTGGTAGTTGGTTATCTGCCTTCATGTTGCACAGCTCTGGAGTTTCCAATGCGATGGTGTGTATCTCTCTTTGCTCTTCTTAATACACTCCCCAGTGGGCCTTTCTCCTCACTGCTCTCCTCGGAGCTGGAAATCCCTGTGCCTGTTCCCATGCCTGTTGAAGGCCTTTCATAAGGATCACTTTGACATGAGATTTTCTCCTCTTGGCACTCTTGCCTGCGTGGAAGCTTAAGGCTTTCATTGAAGAAGGCAGAAGCCATGCACTCGGCAGCTGTCTTATCACAAGTGCATAATAGTTTCTCACACATGCTCCAGCCAACACCTGAAAAAGAAGTTTCAGAATTGTTTGATAGAAGTTAAAGTTAGTCAATGTGTAATTTGCCATGGGAAGACGAGCTTTTGAAAAGAAATTTTTCCAATCTTTCTTAAATCTTGGTTCCAAATTCACCTTTTACCATCTAAATATAAGCCTGACACCAAGCTGCTGGACAACTGAAGGTGTGACTGGCTTTAGTTGAACTTGTGAATGTAAATACACCAACAACTGACTTCTCTCTCCAACCAAAAAATGTCTTGAGTGTAGTTTTCTCAGCCTGACCAGGTCACATCATACAGTGATGTAATACCCTTTATCTCAGCTAGGACAAAAAGCTCAGGTTTATAGTAAGCATTGCAAACGTTTCGTAAGCCAAATTTTTGTGTCTCTATACTCAGCTCCAGCAGCTCACATGGTGGCATTTGGTCTGTAATGCTTCGATACACTGTCATCAGGACATTAAAAGTTTCCTCTATGCAAACTTACAGTTTGGCTTATGATCGAAACACACAACTTCAGATCTTGAACTTCTCTCTGCATGACATCCAAGTTTCATAACTTGTTCTATACAACAGTGATGAGAGAAGCAGCACCTGAAATAAACACTAGATGTAAGTGAAAAATACTTGCATCACAGAGTACTCACAATTATTTTGCTTCTTTATTTTCAATGTCTGTTAAAACTAAAATCTCAGTTTTCAGTGGAAAAACGCTCTCCATCAGCAAGTAAAATAATCCAAACTGTTCCTACTGTCCTCCCATACCTGTAGTTTTCTAAGGGGTTCTGTTTTAATTTTAACATCTATTACAATTGTAACTGTCACCTGCTAAGTGCTATACTTAGTGGGGCCTCGATGTGGCCCCAGCTATTATGAACTTCCACATGGGGCGAGATTTTTAGTTTTAAATGCAACACTCTCAAGGGAGATTACTTTGGTTGAATTCTCTTCATTGCTCCAGCATTCAAACTTAAACAAGGAGAATTTAGGTGAGATATACGGAAGCCATTCTTAACTGTGAGAGTGGTGAGGTACTGGAACAGGCTGCCCAACGAAGCTGTGGCTGCTGCATCCTTGGAGGTGTTCAAGGCCAGGTTGGATGGGGCTTGAAACAACCTTGTCTAATGGAAGGTGTCCCTGTCCATGGCATGGGGGTTGGAACTGGATGAACCTTAAGGTTGCTTCCAACCCAAACTATTCCATGATTCTATGAATTCCTGCTCTTGGTCAGCCATGCCATGATAGCACATGTTAGCCACAGCAGGACTCTTGGCTGCAGCTCTGGCATTCACTTGTGCTCTACATTCTTCTGAAAGATAGGGTGGCAAGGGTGCATAACTCTTCATAAACCATTTTCCAAACTGCCTCTTAGCTGAGTTTCACAGCATCTTGTGATATACTCTTCCTTCTGCTCTACTTACTTCCCATCATTCTCCTTTCTTGAGTCAGTAAGTCTCTTCAAAACATTGATGCAATAATAGAATGTCTTAGTGACATCAAAGAATTTAATGTTTTATGTGTTTAAGTGGATTTCTTCCCCCGCCACCCCCAAAAAAAAAAAAAAGTGGGGGAAAAAAATGTGGCCTCATTACTGGTACGTAGCTATACAAGGCCCAACAAAAGCAATACTGATCTTTGTCGGTCCATAGGCACCCAATAATACCCACAGGTAATAGCAGATTATAGAAGAGCCCACACCTGTCCAGTGCATCAGTAGGATAACCTCTCCCTTCTTGGCCACAGTAGCAACCATAAGACTCAAATTCCTCTGGGCATCGCTCAGTTAAACAGAACAGCATTTCTCCTAGCTGGGGCAGCTCCCTCTTTGCTCTTCCATTTCCTCTCTCTTGCAGAAAGGTAAATCGCTCACATACTGTAAAGCAAAAAATGTTATTTGACACATCGTGTTTTCACTGTTTGGGGGGTTCTCATGTGATGGGAGAAGAATTTTCAGAGCTGTCAGAAACTTTCAAAGACAACTTTTTACTATTTCTATATGACATTTCCATTTCATGAACTATGGCTCTGAGATTAATACTGAGTAGAACAGCAGATGCGTGTGCGGAAAAATGAAGATATAAATTACAAGTCAAATTGGATTGCCATAAGACTACTTTAGAATCCTTCATAGTTACTTTTTTCTTCTGCAATATTCATTCCTAGCTGATCAAACCTGTACAGTAGTTTCTGTCTTGGCTAGTTCAGAAAAGACAGTCCTAACCTCTTGTGCTTGCACAGTGATGTGCAATGAGTACATTGCTGGAGGAAACTCCTCAGAGTGCAGAGCAGGGGAAGTTCCTTTTATTGCTTCCTCTGCTTGTAAAATAAAGTAACTCAAAGACTCAATTACTGCCTAAAACCAAAACCAAGAGGAAACATTCAATGAGCTCAATTTAGATCTAGTGCTGTATGAGAAATGCACTTCTAATCATAAATAGTTCCTGTAAGTTTTAATGATAACACATTGGTGGAAGAGGTTAAACTGTCCAGTTTTTTGGAGGTGAGTGCATCTCCTGTTGCTCTTGTAAATACCAATACATAGGTCCTTTTCTAACTGGTTTAGAATAACTACAATATTTATATGTAATATAATATGTATATGTAGCTGAATATAGCTGAATATTTAATTTCATATAACCAGGAAAAAACACCAACTTCATTTACCTTTTCCTGCAGGTTCATTGGTTCTCCTGTCAGACAGTACCAGCTCCAGAGCTATTCCAGAAGAAGTTGTGCTTTGGCCACCCCTTGCAGGGCTTGTCTCTGGAGATAATAGATGCATAGATGAGACTTGCACAGGCAGAAGAAACACTTCTTTCAGTAATGGCTCTAAAAGTGTATATTCTGAACCACAATCCATTGGCAGTCCCCTAGCACTTGTTTAATTCATAGTTGGAAGGCTGTTCATTAATGGTTAGTTAAGCTTTCCTGGTGGGTGTTGGACAATGAACTGTCCCTTTCAGTGCAGCCTGTGTTGTGCACTCTGTATTTTAGGTGATCTATCCAGATTTAGGGAGAAAATAGTGTTATTCTACATATCTGTGAGAAACGTTGAAACTTCAGGTAGCTGTGCACAGGAATAGGGGACTGCTGTAAATTGGAATAAGAGTAATCGTTTTTACTTGCCCTCTTCCTTTGTCCTTGCAGATATGGCTGCAGGAATCTTCTCTGTGGGAACAATTTTGACTTTCAGTGAGTTAAGACCTTCTGGGAACGAGGCTGGGGTCGTGGTTATCTCTTCCGCTGACACTGCAGCTTCCATAAATCCATCTTCCTCTGAATAAGCAGAAAGAGGAAAGCAGAAAACAACACAGGAAATAAACAGTAAGATTTTCATTTTAGATAGCTGGTCAGAGTAATATCCTCAGGCAGAGCTGGTGCAAGTTGTTGGTCATAGAGAAGAAACATTCAGGATGAAAACTGAAAAATCAAAAGAGTATCCACACTGGTAATTTCTTCACATCCTTTGCCTTTCAGAAGATAAGGCTCTGGTTAAATACACCCAGTTTAACCACTGTTTAATTTTTAAAACCTTATATGTTGCTGCAAATAATAGGGTTTGCTGGTTAGTCAGCCCTGCTGAGAGATGAAGTACAAGGGGAGGTGTCATGAGATGTCATTTTCGGAGTAAACTGCTCAAAAAAAGGTGTCAGTTCACATGAGGGTGACAAACAGAGAGAAACATTAGCAAAGGCAGGAAAATTGCTTGACTGATGCAGCGCTAAAGGATGGCTGTGTAGTAACCACAAGGAAATGGCAAAGGGAAAATAAATTGAGGTTAAATAGATGATTTTAAGGAGATTCTTTATCCTAAAAAATGGTATTTGTTTTTAGATTATCTAAAGCTTTATTGTTAAATGGGAATATTTTGTTTCTTTTTGGAATTGGTTAACATCTCCTTTCTTTAAGTTTTTTGTATAAGCTAACTTTTACGTGAAAACAGGTCCTTTCCAACCCTAACTGTTCTATGATTCTATGAAAGGAAATCAAATGGATTAATTTCACCTGAATGTCAATATGAAGAATGTGGCATTTCACAAACGAAATACTTGGAGAATACTAGTGAGCATGTGTTTCCACATGTTTAAAGCCTTTCCTTTTGAATTCCATGGGTCAACTTATTAACTGGGTTAAACTCAAATTCATTAGATTTGTCCCTCTGATGTTCTGGTTTTAGTATGTGTTGGAAATGACCTGTCATGTGATAAGGGAATAGATTAAAATAATGAAAATCCTGCTAAGAGCACAACGAAGCCCGTGAAAGGTTGCAGAACGGGATCAATAGCAACATGCTAGTTTTAATAGGTCGGCAAGGTGCACATTTTATGCCACTTTGACAGTGATGTGTTAAAATGAAAGCGATTCCTGCCAGATGTAGAAAATAAAACTGGAGTTTGGGAAATGCACTCAGCTAAGAATAGATGGTACAAATAAACTTTCAGGAGCCATGCAGGTCTGCAAGCAACATAGGTTTTTGACAGACGACAACAGTTAGTGATTTTGACCAGTGCTTAGTACAGCAACACCAAATGTCTGTGGGGTGGGAGATATGGGTAATGCTCAGACAGTTAATCAGAGTAAAAAAAAACGTACTTTCTACACCCCATATTCAGTGCTTATTGGTATTTTTCTCGTGTGTTTGTCTACATGAATATTTCTTTCTACAAAAAAAGGGGGCCAATGACAGTTTCCAAGTCTACCAAGGTGCTCCACTTGCAGCTGTAGCTGCTGGTGTGGCTGTGCTCAAAGTGCTAAGAATTGCAAAAGCTGGAGTAGGGCTTAGACTGAGAAAGAATTCTGTGAAATTCCATGTTATAAAGAAGGAGGAAAAATCAAAATGAACCCTTCTGGCAGCAGGTGCTATGAATGTAATTTAAAGGATCAACCGTTATATCAGAAAAGCTTATGTGAAGAGGTTTTTGCAAGTAATGGAGAATGCAAATGAATGGCTGGAGGCAGCAAACAGCTGATACTTCACAGTCTGGTTTTATTGTTGGTGCATATGCGATCTGACCCTAATCTAAATGTTATTTCTGGCAGTCCTATTGTCACTGCATAGATTGTTAACTGTGATGCTTTTAGATGAAGTATTGCTGTGTCAGTCAAAGAGGAAGGAAAGCTGAGAGTCACTGACCTTTTACTGAGAGGATGGGGGGAGCAGGTGCTGTAACTCTGTGGTCCCTTGTGGTAACTGCACAAAAAACAGAGGTGTTGTGGTAGTGACCTACCTGCTGCATTTCTGCAGTGTATTTTTGGACTGAATTCACTGAAACATCATAAAGCTTAACGTAACTATCAGCCTCGTTTTATAAAGAGGGTGATTGGGAAAAGCAAAGTGGTTTACTGAAGGATGTGCAAGTCAGTGGAAGAACAAGAGCGTTAACCAGAGCATTATCTAGAAATTCTGTGCTGCAGATTTTTAACTGTGACAGCACAGAGCTTCATAAACCAAAATCCAATTTCACCTGCAGTAAAGAGTGCCTGATTCGTCAACAACAGTATAATCAAACTCTTACCTCTGGCTCTGGAAGTCCCCAGGGCCATCTCACTGGGCTCAAAGGAGTTCACTGTTGAAGAAGGAAAATGTAGACTCAGAAAACAAGTTGCCAGCACAAACTCTTATGAAAAGTCAAGCTGCTGAGAAAGCTTTTTCAGCAGTGCAGGAAGAGCCAGGCATTTCATATATAGCGATATGCCTGTTTGTATCAGCAGTGATTGATTGTTGTAGACAAAGTGATGCTGATCAAATAATCTTATTGCTGCGTTCAAATAATGTGCTTTACAGCATAAATGTGACTGAAATAGCAAGTTCAATATTAAATTCATTTGACAGATGAATGCACTAAAGAGGGTTAGGTATAAAATTTCACTGTTGCACACAGATGCCACATTTCTCATAAACACCTGCATTGAAAGTCAAGTGTTTGCCTGCATTGAAAGTCAAGTATAATGGGGAGTTACAAAGCAAAATACTTCCCTAACCTCCGATTTTATCTTTTTACCTGATAGGGTTATTTTCATTTGTCAGCTACCTTTTGATAAATTACAAACATAGCTATCAAATGATCCAAAAATTAATCTCTGCATCCTTTTCATGCGTTAGGATTTTGTGATGTGATCAAGAACGTCTTTGCCATTGCTTCTCAGTAGTACTTAGCTTTGGTTTAATAGAGTTTTCACAGTTGTTGATGGTGGAGCTCATTTGTGCTTAAATGGAGAGACAACTAGTTAAATGGGAAGTATTTCTCCGAATGTTTCCGTCAAAGTCTGACTATTATGGTTTCTGGTATGTTTTCAGCTTTCTGAAGTTCCTGATGCAGGTTTTTATCCTTTGGCACCATTTTGAGCCTTATGATGAGCGATATGTCCTTAGAGACCATGAGTAATCATTTTTGCAGGAAGTAAAAGATTGCTACAGATGTGCAAATGCAGGTGCACTCACTCCTCCAGGAGTTCTCAGGTTTCTATTACCAAGCTTCCCAGCAGCAGCTAGAAAAACATGAGCCAATATTGGAGCCGTTGTTCAGTGAGAACAAGAAATATCCAATAAAAACCCCACCATGATACAGGGGTGGTATGGAGAAGCAACCAGCACTTACACTCTTACACTCAGCATAAAGCATCCTTGTTTTGTGGCACTTTTAAAAAGAAAAAGAAAAATTGTTAAAGTCTAAAGGGATTTTTTTTGTAAAGGATATAAATAGAAGGGGGGAAGAAGAAAAAATTGATACAATTTAATGTTTTTTCATTATTCTAGGTTCACACGTAGGGCTATGGCTTACTGAGAAATGCGGGAGAGCACACAACAGCTTGAACCTGAGCTCTTAAGTTCCTCAACAGTGCAACTTTCCACCTCTTCTCAAGTGTTCAAGTGGTCAGAAACTGCATAGATGAAGCCTGCAGTGACATGGCTTAGCGGTGGTCTTGGCAGCCCTGAGGTAATGAAAGGTTGGAAAGGTCTTTTCCAACCTAGTTGATTCTATGATGCTATGAGTGGTTGCTTGGTTACACCCATCCAGTGCACAGTGCCTTGGTACTTGGTAAATACAAGGTCCCTGTACACAACACTGTGGTTTTGTTTGTGATTACAAGAGTGCTTTAGCTAAACTGGACTATGGATCATCAAAGACTGGTCTCCTGTATTTCACTGCTGCATGAATTGGACCTTACTTACTAAGTGTGTCCCTCAGAACCACCCAGGACTTTGGATGACTTCTGCTCATTTCCTCTTGTGTTGTAGTGCACACCATGCAGGTGAAAAGTAAATAGTCCTCTCATACTACAGCAATGAGATTTTGTGAGCATCCATTCCTGAATAAGATAACTTGATCATAGCAGTAAGAAATGAAGATTGTCAGAAGAACCACTTGGTCTCATGGTTTAGGAACTCACTCGGGAGGTACCAGAGTAACAGGGACTTCAGTCTGGATCTCTGCAAGTGAATAAAACACTAAAATGCTGACTCATTTGCCACAAACCATGCTTGATCTTTCCTCATGCTACAGCTTGATCCTTTATAAACAAATGTCTCTTTAAAGACAACAAGTACGCAACTGGCTGTGGGACCAGTGGTTGGCATCTACATAGCATGTGTCTGCCAAATGGCTCACCTGCTTCTACCTGTGTTCTCAGGGATAAAAAAGGTCTGCTTTGATGAAAACAGGGTTTGTCGTGAAGTTCTTATTCTCAGCCCTTAATAACTTACTGTGAACAGTGGTTAGGCACATTGCATTAAGCACAAATTTAAAAACAGCATCTTCTCATTCAGCCTTGAATTCAATCACAACATTGTATCTACTTTTACATCAGTCCTTTGGGAAGGGCAGAAAGAAAGCAAACAGCTCATTCTTGTGTTTTATCCTTTCAGCTTTTGGGAGCTGAAAACAGTGCTTCCTGCAGTGCAAGTTGCAAACCTTCTTCCATGGATGCAGTTGCAGGCTGTGTTCCATCAGTCCCAAGACGAAGTAAGCCTGCAGAAATAAAAGCACTCTTACTCCAGAGAGTCATGGCTTAGGATGCTCATTAGACTGGATCTTGGCATAACATGATCAGAATGCAATTTCTTCATAAATATTATTATTATTGTGCTTTTTGTATGGTTACTTTGTATATAAATGCAATATGTGTATCATATTTATATTATATATAGAAAATCCAAACCTAATTATTATAATATATATCATATTTATATTATATAAATATAGCAAATCCAAACCTAATTATTGATAATTACAGTAGCAGTATTAAAATCCTGCCTTACTATTTGTTCACTGCTGATACTAAATGCTACTCAGTAGCATGCTCTATAATAATAATCATCATAAAAGAATCCCTCAAACTCTATCACAAAGAACTTCAGCCTAAACAAGAGAAGCTGCCTGGTGATTGGCATTCTTTACATTCCCATTTCAGCATGTACTTGGATACATGGCTAATAGTGAAGGTATTGAGATAAGAATTAAATATTTAAATGCAAAGCTTAAATGTTTAAATCAAAGCACTTGGTTAGGATGCTTGCTGGAGCAGGGCCCTAAATGGGCATGAAAATAGAAAAGGATCCACCTGAAAATGCTTTTAAGTTGCTTTTAGAGCATTACTTCTTATAGTATTTATCAGCGAAACTCGGGGTTCTCTTCTGAATTCCTTCTCAGAAAAAGGAGTCATTTGGCTGAAGTTTTCCTGTGCACCTGAGTAAACACTTGCCACAAAAATGGTGCTTTGGTTTATTGGGCTTTTTTCTCTTCCTTTCATATTTTGGCATCTTGATAAAACTTTGCTTCTCAGAAAGGAATCCAAGGCTTCTATATGATCGGGTTATTTTTCTGAATATAAATTGCTCTCAGCTTAACACACTGCAGTCAATGAATCACAGAAATGAGCACGTACCCTCTGTGTGAAGTGTTGTCAGCTCTCTCTTGCTGGTGTTTTCTGAAAGAAAAAGAAAATTCTCTCATCAAGAAAGTGCGAGGAGGGCGTTTGTCACTGCTTAATCTGAATAGGGAGTTCATGGAATTTATTCCTGTTAGCAAAGATTCAGGCAAATGCATCCCCATTTCTTTCAACTTTTTCTCTGTAATAATGAATCTACCAAAATCTTTTTCCTAGAAATTTGTCAGATGGGGTTATTATTTTTCTTTAAAAAGCCTGAACTGGCCAGAACTACACAGAAAGATAATAACAGGAGTGAACACAAAGATGTTTCATTCAAAGGACTTTATTTTTCCATGAAGAAATATAATGAGAAGCCTAAAATTAGAGAGGTATCGAGTGAGCTAAAATTGAATCTATCTTCATCAGCAGAGCTAAAACTAGCATGATTATCCTGTTAGCACCTAACAATTTCCCCTTTATTTGTAATGTGTTTGAACTGACACACTCTCTATTAGAGCCATCTGATCCCAGTCAAAGATTACTGGCTTACACAAAGCTATTTTCTGCCTTTGATGCACACACTCCTGTGGCATTTTTTTCTCCATTGACCTGTTCACAAGGGGCTGCACATCCAGAGCCTGATATAGATGCGCGTATCTGTCCTTATTTAGCACTGGGGTGTGTGAATACGAGCCAAAGGCTTAGAAAAACTAGCATTGCTTTTTCACCTCAGTCTCAACTTGGGAGTTCAAAGGTCTTCTCCCTTGCTGTGCTCTGATTGCAGTCCATATGAATTAAGTTTTTAATCCAGCCCTGTTCCCACAGGACAGGTATTCATTCTTAGAAGGCTGTAATTTCAGCTTCAGAGCACAGATATGTGTATGACAATGGAGATAAATATCCCCTTCATCTTCAGAGAGGATTTTGCCTTCCAAGATGAAAACCAAGTGACAGAGCACGGTAGGTCTGTTTTTGCTTTTCCAGTTAGTTTTTACATGGTTTGAGGAATATTTGGGCTAGGGATATTTTGGCAGTTTGGCATTCCTGCTAGTGACCTCAGGGGGTCACTAATCATCCCAACTATCAGGTTGGCAAAATCATGGAATAATAATCATAGAATGATTTGGGTTGGATGGGACCTTAAAGCTCATCCAGTTCCAACCCCCTGCCATGGGCAGGGACACCTTCCACTAGACGAGGTTGCTCCAAGCCCCGTCCAACCTGGCCTTGGACACTGCCAAAGATGGGGTGCAGGAGCTTCCTGAAATAAAAGTTCCTTCCTATCTAACTGGAATTTCCCTGTTGCAGTTGTGTCTCCTGACTCTTGTCCTGCCTCTGTGCACCTCCAGTAAGAGTCTGGCTCTCTCTCTACACCTCAATAGGCATGCCACTGTTGAGGACAGAAAAGAGATCTACCCTGAGCCTCCTCCTCTTTCATCCTGTGCTCCAGCCCCCTCAGCAGGTTGGTAACCTCTCCTGGATGGGCTCCAGGACAGCAATTAGTCTACCTTCTTCTCTCTTGGAATTCACTTGAGTAGCAGTAAATGGAAAGGACACACGAAACAGAGAACAGGTCAGAGTCCTGGATCCATTGCAGCGAAGTGCCCAACTACTGCTTCATTCTTGGGTCAGATTTGATGCCAGTTGAAAAAACAGGCAGGAGGAGGCAGTCAATCAGGTCCTTATTATTACCTGTAACCAGAGGTGGACAAAAGGAAATATCCAGCCCATTCAAAGAAGAGTTAATATGTGCCTTCCCCAGGCATTCAATGGCATCTTTGTCACAGTTGCAGAGGAGCTGTTCACAGGGATCCCCAGACTCTGGAAATAAAACAAACAAGGATCCAAACAAGGTACTATTGAAAAACCTTTTCCATCACCTCCTTTTTCCTCCCTGTAAGATTTATGTCTATGCTCATTAATGCAAATTTATTTATACTGTGATTTTTCATGTTAAACACAGTCAAGTTTCACAGTGCAACACTGGTTGTGAAATGCCAATGTAGCCTGGCATGTTTAATTCCTTCTATAGAGTATTAAGGACTAAAGAGCAGTGCTTTACTGCCTCTAGTTTTCCCATGGAAAACTTAATCCAGCTGATACCAGCTTTGACATTTCATGACTTCATTAATACATCCCTCCTATCTCCAAGGATTCAAAGTCCAGATGCCAAGATTTTCATGTAAGGTGTGATTTAGTTCTTCTAAAGGATATGAAATATTTTCATAGGAAATACTATTTTCCCACTTCAAAAACTTCTACCTTTCGGAGTTTCAAAGAACGTTGACCTTTCATAGCTGTCACCCTTATATTTCATTTTTTTGGCATGTACTATTCTTTTAATGCACTTTGATCACTATAGATTGGCCTAAATAGCAAAAATAATTTAAATTTGAAACAAGAAAAGAAGACTGAATCAGATTGCTTAAGCAAGCTTAAGGGTATTGGTTTGGTAATTCTTCTCCTCTTTGCTAGTATCCTCAAATCATGTTCTGCAATATCATCTTTTCTGAGAGCCAATGCTTCTTGAAATCATAGAATCATAGAATAGTTAGGCTTGGAAAGGACCTTAAGATCATCAAGTTCCAGCCCCCCTGCCATGCCCAGGGACACCTCTCTCTAAACCGTATCACCCAAGGCCTCGTCCAACCTGGTCTTGAACACTGCCAGGGATGGAGCATTCACAACCTCCCTGGACAACTTATTCCAGTGCCTCACCACCCTAACAGGAAAGAATTTCCTCCTTATATCCAATCTAAACTTCCTGTTTAAGTTTTAACCTGTTACCCCTTGTCCTATTGCTACAGTCCCTGATGAAGAGTCTCTCCCCAGCATCCCTATAAGCCCCCTTCAGATACTGGAAGGCTAGGCATTAAAGAGCCCCATTCCACGCTTGCCAGGACAATATCAGCATTGCATGGAGCAGCTCCTATTGTAATGCCATTGTCTCTGTTGTCATTGGTGATACTGTTGTAGCTGAGGAGTGTATATAACCCTGTGAACAAATACTTTGAATCCCTCAATGTATATAAAACTGAGGCCTTCAAGCTTCGGAAGGGAGCTGTTTGTGAGCTCTTTCCCCAGCATCCGCTGCCTTTCTGATGTGTGGAGATATTTCAAGCAATGCCAGTGGACCTGCAAGGTCAAGGAAACCTCGGCCTCTTAAAGAAGCCCTGACAAGTTTCTACCTATTTGACTTCAGTTTCCCTGCCTAGCTGGGCTTTGATGTATTCCCATTTCCATTCACTCCTGAGCAGAACACTCAATCCCTTAAAAATCCACATGAGGAAGTGATTTCTGCTAAATTTATATATGACTTCTGGTGGGTAAAACAAAACAAGCTTCTTGGTCATGGTGAGGCTCCAGCATTAAGCTCCTGTGACGGGCTAATCTTACCACAGGTCAGGTTTTCAGTAGAGCAGCTGACATCTGTAGAAATCTTTGATAGGTCCCATGTACACTCCATCTCCATCGCTTCCTCATAGCATTTCCGGTGCTGGAAACAGCATCTTAAAGGATGAAATAACACACAGCGCACAGAATTTACTTTCAGTTCAAGTTCAGACTGCAATGCTCTCGTGTTGCTCTTACTCAAGAATGCAAAAGGTTCTAAAGAAGAAAAAGAGGTCCTCAGTGTGGTCCCTAGACACAAGAAAGACTGAGTACTACTTTCCTCTAAGTCAGTCTAGTGGGATAAGTACGGCTGGATGCAAAAATCAATGCTAGGATCAGGTCTGCAGGCTGTGGGAGACAACGTTTGCACTTGTGTCCTGCTGCAGTACCCGAGTTCTTACAAGGATTCCACAGGCAGTTTAAATGAGAAATCCACTGCCAGTACCCAAATACCGACCCACAGCACTCACTCCCAAACAGTGCCTCATGGCTCGGCTCTAGAGGTGTCGGATCCAGCCCTGCCACAACCTTTCTCACTGCAGATTTGGAGAACTACACAGAGCCTGGCACTCACCGAGGGTTAATGTCTCTGCAATGCCTTGTGAATCCCTGTGTCTCACTGAGAATATATAAATGTGTGCAGTGTAACCCTCTGTTTCTTGTACTTTCTCTGCTATGCAACAAGCAGAATTAAAATACAGCCATGGGAAGGAGCCACAAATGCCTGAAATGCAAACCCCAAATGCCTGCGTGACCACTTCAGCTGTGAATAGCAATGAAAGTCAACTAAAACAAGCAGCTCTTCATCAATCATCTCTTCAGCTGTTTTTGAGCAAAGTCATCTCCTTCTATATTATAACAGCATCTGTGTGCACTCACATCAGCTATAAATGAAACACCAGTAAAACATTCAGTCATCATTTACCCCATATAAAATTGTTACAAAGATAAAGCAGGGGCTTGCTGCTCGATTTAGGCTCAAATATCCTAATTTCATAGAAACTGACTCAGAACATGAGGCTGTTCTTGAACTGCGGTTGGTCTTGTCCATGCTGAATGCAGAGACAACATTAACACTCAAACCCAGCATCTGCTGCCAGGAATTACGATGTCACGCGATCATGATGTAAGGAGTTAAATTTAACTAAGCTGATATGGGCTTTTTGTTAAAGACACTGTGAATGTGTTATTACACATCACCCCTTGCCCTGCATGTGCACCTAATGGGGACTGAAGCACTCCTGCACTGATCAGAGCAGGGAGCAAACAGGCTCCCTTCTGGGCTACACATTAACTTTCTCACATCCTATATTTAGGAAGCATTTAATATTTAATCACCTACTATATTAATAAACTATTGCAATATCCCTCACAACCATGGAAGCAGTCCAAGTCCTAACCACAATCACACTTTTGACTTATTGAAAGATATCGGAAATGAGGTTTGCTTAGCTTGCCAGCAGTGGATCAGAGCTCATGAATAGCAACCCTAACTGTTCTATGATTCTATAATAGCATTATCCCAGATGATGAAGTTTCAAAGCCCAGTTTCTTGCACTCGAGGGTCTCTGATGCCTGTTGGTGGTTTTTCCTGCTGTAACCTGGTTAAGGAGACTGCTGGAATGTATTGAGCAAAGGTGAGGGCAAATAACATTCAACAGGGTCTCTGATGGTTCCTCCGTGCCACAAACACTACTGTGCAAACACACGTAAAAGCTCCTTTAACTGCATAATTATACAAACTTCCTGCAGTTCTTGTTTGTTTGTAGCATCACAATCACATCAACCCTGAAAGAGTTAATCAGAAGATATACTTGCCTTCCGTTGCAAGAATGGAATTGTAAGATGTGGATTGTCCTCTGGGCATGGTTCTCTTTCTCCATTGACTATGGAGGCTCCTAATGGAGCCTGTGGACTGGTCTTCTAATTTAGATATGCAATGAACTACTCTGGGAAATGGGAAAAGGTTGGTACAAACCCTTTACAATGCCTTAAAAACCTACAGTGAGATGTTCAGCCCCTGTTTATGAAACAGAAATGGCAGTGACAAAATCTGAGGTTTGCAAAACTAGTTTCCAAGAAATAAAGTTAATAAGAAGATTATGACACACTAGGAACCATGTCTGACAGAAGCAGCCACTGGTTTGATGCTCAACTGAACCAAAGGTGTATCTGCATCAGTGGCAAACAATAATCAATCTCCATTTACTGCAACCTGCAGTGGGGTTGCCATGCCACTAAGGAAACCTCACTGCAGGGCTGCTAACTTATCTGTAAACACTAAGAGACTCTATGGATGGTTCTTGGACAAACCTGCTGATAAATCATTCAGCCCTTTCTATATTTATGCTGCTCTGCATTAAAATGAATCTAAGTAAAGCAAGACCCCAGGTGCTCAGCTCCACAGGTATCAATGCATTGAACTGATTTGAGCTCTCATTTCAGCATGTCATCATGAGTGCTCAGAAAAGCTTTCTTAAGAAGTCCCATGGGTTTTTTCCAATAGCGGGCTTAGATTTTCATTTTCCCAGCCATCCCATGCTGGAAAGTGGATGGATTCATTTCCATCTAGCTATAGGCACTAGCCCTTTCTGAGCCACTGCTGTCTTCACTCAGGGCATTAATACATTACATTGTTGGAAGAAACTTGTTTTCTATTTAGACATGGGTCCTGATTCTCTTTGAATTTCTTTTCACACCTCACACTGTTATAAGCGAATAACCATTTGATTGTCCTGGCCTGAGATTACGTTTCTTCTCATTAGCCTAGTCAGGGTCTGTGGCAAAATCCCCCCAAAGCAAAGAGGGGAGCTTGGATGGTTTAGTTCCTGCTGCATGATACTGGAAAAAGTCATTGAGTTACATTGCTCTGCTCTGCTCCTGGATGCTCCAGTGTTCACAACACAGGTATTCAGGGCAAGATCTACTTAACCTCCTACCTGCAACTTGAAGTCATACTCAGCTATAACCTGATTCTGTTGATGCTTAAATCCCATTCAGATGCCAACATTTTTATTATAGCCCACTATGACTTTACGCTGCTCCCCATACCAACACTTTGGTAAGATTGTAAACTCACTAAACCACTTGGATTAATGCTCTTCCACTCACCTTAATAAGAGGCTTTCCAGTTTTTGGCACCAACTGAAGGGTGAGACAGAATTCCCCAATACAAGGAAATTAGTGAGGTTTTGTTCACAAAGATCTGCCCAGAATTTAAAGAACTTAGAACTTCTGGGTAAGTCTTGTCAAGGAGATGGGTATGGTGTTTACTTATGCTGTTGCATTAGTAACCCACCTTTGCAATCAATTTAAATCAGCTGTGCCACCAGATCTGCACTAGTGGAATTGTTTGCAGGTGTGGGGGACTCTACTTTTATCTCTAGGATGGGACTATTTCTCCCCAGTGAAGTGTGGTGAGATGAATTGTTTCTGAGCTATGAAGAAAAGGAAGCAAGTGGATCATTATATGCTATAGATTATGACCACCTTGACTTCATTTGTTTCCAAGCCATGCTGTAAGGCGACTGGTAGGGGGTGCTGGCCCAGCAAAATGATAGTGCTGACCAGCAGGTAGGAAAAACATAGGACATGGCTAATAAGCCAGAGCTGAAATTGTCTTTTGTAGGTTATATCAGATAGTTAGGTTGTGTGTGATGAATAGATTCAGCAGGGGTGGAAAGTGTTTATAATAACTCTGAATAAAACTCTTCTTACAACTGTCCTCAAATTATTTAGGCAAGTGTTACACCTTGGGTCATCAGAGCATGAGGGCACTGACAGCCAGTCAGGGCAGATGGGGCTAACACTTACTCATCAGCTTCATCCACAGGGAGTCCTTCCATCTCAAACCGGCAAGAGCAACCATAGTCTTCAAAGTCCCTGGGACAAAGCCCAGTAACACACTTCATTTTGTTCACAAAGTTGAGCAGGGCAGGGAAGTTTGTGAAGATGGACTGTAACCAGGTGAAGTGAGAACCCAGGCAGTCTGGAAGGAGAGCAGCCACAAAATGCATGGTGAATGGAGGTGAGCCTGGTGTGGGTCACACATGAGTGATGTTCATGTGAAAACAGAGCCTAAACAAGGCAGGGACATTGAGCAATGCTTGACACTTGTCCTTAAAACATGACAACAGTTAACAGTATTTAGTATTATAGTCTTTGGGGAAATCTACAACCTCAATAATCCCTGTTCCTTTTCAGTGTATATAAAAGAAAACTCCATGGGATTTCTATTCAGTGCTCAAATACAACTGGAACACATACTTACCAAAAAATAACGCAACACTTTCCACATTCTGAAAGACTCCATTGAAGAATGTGGCATTGTCTGGATGAAAAAACAAACAAACCACGCTTCTTTTTTAAAAGGTAAATGACAAGAACTGTCCACAGACTGCCCCTGGTCCTGCTTCAGTTGCTAAAACAGCTTGAAATAAGAGTTACTAGCTGTTCGCTGACAGCACGCACCGCTGCGATGCTTCTCGCGTGCAAGCAATTCCCCACTGCCATGCAATAGTATAGAAAGTAAAGCTTAAACCATTCTCACTCAGGATTCTTTCAGGTGTGTCAAGAAGCTCCGGCAGGAATGCTGGCTTCTCCAAGCCTTGGCCACCTGCTTCAGCAAACACATTTGAGAAGAAAAGGATTTAAATATAAATGAAAACAACAAATCAAAACCATATACTTACTTCATTGCAACATCCACTTCAGGCATTTCAGATACCTGCACTACTGAGGTGCTTTATCAAAGCCATGAAATGCTTGCTTGGCTCCATCCACACCCAGAAAAGCCTGGAAGCATACTGGTAAGTCACATTGACTTCAGCTTAAACTGAGGTATTGCTGGTGATGTGCTAACCCTTGTAGGTTAGATGTGTTAACTCTTCTGAACAGCAGCACTTGCTGGGATATATCAGTAGAATTGTATAACACTGTTTTAGCTGCACGACTGCTTTCATTGTCCCAAATACTTCTAACTCAGTGCTCTTATTTGAAGCATGGCTGGAACTAGATGACATTAAGGTCCTTTCCAACCCTAACTATTCCATGATTCTGTGATTCTATGGTTGTTTGAAGACAAGAGTTTTCATTTTTCTGAGTCCTTATTGCTTCTCTTCCCAAACTATTTTTTTCTTAATTGTATTTTTCCTTTTGAAGATCCTGTGATGTATTTTCTTTCTATACGCTGTGTCTTGAACAAGGGTGAAATCAAGACTTTTCTCTCCCTTCCTATTTTTCCCCTTTCTTATTTTTTGCATTATTTTAGGAGAGAACGTGTTACTTTGGATATATTTAAACTAAACATTTTTTTTCTTTTAAGGTATTAAAGGTATTTAATGGCTTAAGGTTCTAAAAAGTGAAGAAAAACCCTAATGTTAAATTCATGGCATAGCTTGTATCTCAGAAGCACTGGCATTAGGAAAGCTGTCTGTGGTCTCTATGAAAGATTCTGGGAAAGAGCTGACAGTTATCTTGCCAATCTGTTGCATTTCCCTGCCATAAATGTAAGTGTAAGAGAGGGGAGTAATGGGGTTTATAGATATAGAAGACTTAAAGCTATGTTTAGCAAAAGATTAGGAAAAACTAGGACCTTTTTCTTAGATCATATATAAATATCTTCTCAGGATGTCTACAACTTTTGTGTACTGAACAAGATGTTCATGGTAAGAGCCATATGCCTCCAGCAAATCCTTTCTCAAGTTTAGTGGCAGAATATGGATATGGGATTGAGGGAGGTAGGAACAGGTTGTTCTTCTTCTGTTTTCCTTTTCCTGAAAGTCTTGCTCACAATGAAAACCTTTTAGAAGACCAGCAATCCATCAGAAGTGCCCTTCACTGCAGCAGGTCTGAGAGGAGAGACTGCTTTCCACAAACCACACAACAGCTCCTGATAAAGGGTGGCCTTTTCACACAGCTGAAACAGGTCTGTTGAAAGCTTGACAGCCAGGAGTAAATCAGATTCGAGCAAAGCAATGGTGTGCCTTGCAAAATAAACAGCACTGAATGCTGTGTTTTTGTACACACGCTTGCTAAAGAAAAACTGCCGCTTATTTTTGGCTTAAAGCCTGTATTTCCTCTGCAATGACAAACATCCCTTTTCCCAAGCCATATTCTATCAAGCACATCTGAGGCCATGTTTTGGCACACTGCGTAACACCATGGTTCAGACTCAGTGTCTGTTAATGAATAGCCAGTGATCGTTTAGCCCTTTCAGCAAAACTTTGGAAAACATGAAAATCCCACTGAGTTGCAATGAGACAAAGAGAACTGATAAAGCCACGTTACGGAACTGCTGAAGTTGTGATTGCTCCAGCATCCTTCACTTGCACTTAACTCTTCTCAGCAAACTTAATTTGCACACACCCAATTAGCACATACATGTTTGAAGCTCCCCTAGAGACAAATCTCTGTCACAGGGTCAGCAGCTCGGTAAACCTGTGGCTCTTCTAATCCTTTTATTGCAAAGAACCATATTTCTAGTTGTCACTAAGTCAAGATCAGTGAACCAATGTTTGCCAATAAGATTGCTTCATTTTGTTTAAATTGTCATGGGTTGGACAAAGAGAAAATACTCTCTGGATGAATTATTCTCTTTTCTCCTTTTACTGTCGTGTCTTTTGGTCCTGTGTTGTTTCCTGCAGAGCCAGTGAAAGATTGCACTATGAAACTCAGTCCTTCAAACCTCAGAAGATCCTAGGGATGTCAACTTCTCTTTCTTTTCTCTGCAACCTGCTAACTGACTTGTCACATGTCCCGAGGAGACTCCTATGGTACATCAGCTCTTGGGCTTTTCAGTTGTGAGCCTTATCCACAGAACTTTCAGACACATGTAAAACCCTTTCTAGACTGGGTCTGTGATGTTGCCACTCTGGCAACGTTTTTCTGCAGTGTTGTCTGAAAAAAGCCCATCAAAAAAACCATCAGTGCACCTCCAGGTGTGTTTTGCAGTTGTGGCTAATTAAAGTGCCATCATTTAGGGCATATATGAAGTCATTATAGTCCTCAGGGGCAGAAACCTTGACTGTGCCAGGATAAGTCAGGCAGCAGCAAACCCAACTTGCTTGATTTATTCAAGGTAAATCACATTAGGCTCTCACAAAGATTGTATCTGTTCATGTACAGATAGTTGCTTTAGCCTCAAAGCAGAGATCAGCAGAATAGATGCCACATAAATATAAATCAACAATCCTCTCCAAACCTAAAAAGGGTAACATTTTAAATCTTTGGCCTCAGATTGTGCTTAGCTGGGGGAAAAGACTATGAAAACTGTGGCACAGCGTTTGAGGTTTGGGGAGAAATCTCTTTTAAACATTATGTAGACAAATTTCTGAGTGTCCAGACATTACTGAGTGCTCTAGATATTACCAATATATAGTTCCCTTCACATCTGGGGACTAAATATCCCTTTATTCATAATGGATAAATGGTGTAGGTATTTTGGTGCTCTCTATCCCTGCAGTGGGAAATGCTAATACTCTTTCAGATTTCTATTCATATAGTAGGAGTCTTAAGGCTCAGATTTATCACTATATTTTATCCCATATGTTTTCTGTTAGAACTTCTTTTTCACTGACTTCTGATGCTTGCAACCCCTGAGAAGAGAAGTGACTGGTGAAATTGAAGTAGATCAGTGCAGAATGTAGTCTATGCCAAGGTGCTGATATTTCTTTTCCCTTTAGAAATAACCCCATGGAGTGACTAGAAGTGGTGTTAGACATTCCAAGAGTCCTTCTCTTCACCTGCACACTGCTACCCACAGCGCAGGGACTGCAGAGATTTGAAATATTTGCCCACCTCTGTCACAGGGAAGCTCCTTCACCCATGACAAGAAAATCTGAAGAGTTATGTGAAGAAATTTATTCATAGCAAAATTTGAAGGAGGAGCTTTATCTGCACACGAGTTATATTTCAGGATGCACTGAATGGTTTGGAGAACTCAGACAATACACGTGTATTGAACGAGTAGAATCTCTTTATTTTTAACTTACAACTTTTTTGGAGTCTAGAGGGTTTAAATAACAACCAAATTCTAGCAGAAAGAAAGTTGCTGTTTATTTGGGTGTATTTTTAATCCCACTAAATGTTTCTTGCTACACTACAAGTCCTGAGAAAAATACATATTATAAGAACTCCATAGTAAACTTATTTGAGTGTATCTGAGCATTGAACATCAGGTTTGAGGGGACAGAAGGTGTTCTTTTAAAGGATTGTTTCTGAACGCGCAAACTTACAACAGTGTTTAGATATAGATTTCAAATAATCATCAAAATACATTGCTACTTACCACTGTACAACATCACTGACATAGACACCAGCAGAATTGCAATCATTTTAGCCCAAAGACAAGAAACAGTCACACAGCAGACCGGTGTGCCTGGAAAGTTAAGTAATGTATTAGGCAGAACGTTATCTCTCGAAACTGGGAATGGGAAGGCATCAGCTTAAAAAAACATTGTTTTGTAGCCTGGCCATATTTCTGCTTGATACAATTTAGCTATTACCTTATAATAAATGCACATATTACGACAACGGTGAGCCTTATGTATCCTTCAGATTTTACCAATGTCCTTTATAAATATTTCAGTATTGCTTTAGATGAGTCAACAGGCTCAGCCAAAGCACCACAGAGAGGGAGACTTCATTTAGCAATTGAATGGTGTGCTTGAAGTTTCTTTTATTTTACACAGTTTTTACATCTTAGTTGATCTAACAGGATGTTTAAACAATTCTTTAAGTTTAAATTCTTTAAATTGTTTAAACAAGTATGTTTAAATGCAGAGATTGTGAAACACTGCGTAAATCAAGAGACATTCTGGGATTACTACTATTGAACCCAGTTAATCTGCAATCCATTATACTAGTTTTCTTCACATCACGAAAATCTCTCCCACTCTGTAGTCAAACATTTATTCTAATCTGCATTGGGACTAATCTAATGTATCCTGTCTTTTCCTAACGATAAACACACTGTTAAGAGCTTTAAATTCTGGGTGTGCTTGTCCTTACATAAACGTATGTAAAGATTTCTTCTGAAGCGTTGCACTAGTATTTATTAAATGACAGATAATGGGTTGTTTTTTATTTATACTCCTTGGTTTAGAATGATTTTCTAAGTCAGGCATGGAATTTGTTACAGCCAAATAAATGAATATTTATTTATCAATTTTCAAATATGTATCTACTGTTGATTATCTGCTCTCCTATTGTCAAATATCACATTAATTCCTATTAAAAATGTATTATTTCATTAGGAAATGAGATTATAAATCTAATAAACAGCTCTGAATATTTATATAGTCTGCTATCCCAAACCTCTTACCTATACTTCAGTCTGCAACTCCACAGTCCCAAATAGCTTATTCTATATTGTTTCCTTCCTGGTTCCTGTGTTATAGAGTGCATCTAGAAAGGCTTACCTTGAGGGATATTATTCGAAAGCAGTTGGACGGAGGACAAATGGATTTCAGCATAGTCAGTACTAAGTTATTTATACCCACTTGGATATATACCTCACCCATGTGATCATTTCCTTTGTCAAACCACTTCAACATTTATTAATTAGTTCTTCCATAAGATTCCTTAGAGTCATTATGCTCACAGTGTATTTTAGTGATGTAGCTCCAGCCATGTAAAGGATCTATACTGGGAAGTCTGTTCTGCAGGTGCATTCACCGTACAATGACCTTGCCTAATACTTTTGGCTGTAATTAAATAACAATCATCTCATTGTTATTAGTCACTCACAAAATCTCTGGGGCATGTGAATATGGCTTTAATAGCTTAGCAAGAGGTAGTGCTCCGTGATGAAAGATGAGTGAAAATTTACACAGCTTTAAACACTGGCATTCCTCGGGGTTGAGAAGTCTTCTCTCATCTATCCGCAGTGGCTCTGATCCAAAGCTGAGTGAAATCCAGGGGAAGGTTGAGTCAATGAGCTTTGGGAAGGCATCTCCTCATCAGGAAGATGTGCTTTCTGCCTGGGTCAGACACCACAACCCTTCACAGATGCCATTAACAAAGGCAAACTGTCCGCTGTGTTTTAGCATGGAAAAGTGGGAAATCCACAAACTGGAAATTGTAGAAATACATACATGGACAGGAGGCTTGGGTCCTCCAAGACCTTCAGAAAGCCTGATACTGTCTCCACTAAGATCCTGCTAGAGAAGCTGTTGATATATGGGCTGAATGAGCCTGGTAACATGGGTTGAAAACTGGCTGAATAGAGGGGGCCAGAGGGTAGTGATCAGCAGCACAAAGTCTGGTTGGAGGCCAGTGACTGTCAGTATAGGTGTCCAGGTCTGGGCTCCTCAGTATAAGACAGACATGGACAAACTTGAGACAATCCAGGGAAGGGCCACAGTGATGATTAAGGGACTAATTTCTGTGTGAAAGTAGCGCTTGTCATCTCTCATATAAGGAGAGGCTGAGAGCTGAGACTCTGCAACCTAGAGAAGGCTCTGGGGGATCTAATCAATGTATATGAATATGTGAAGGGAGGGTTCTCAGTGACATGACAAGAGGTTCACTGTGAACATCAGGAAATGCCTTCTTACTGTGAGGGGGACCAACCACTGACACAGGATGCCCAGGGAGCTTGTGGAGCCTTCCTCTAACTCTGCTCCTTTGGAGATATTCCGTATCCAGATGGCTTTGGAATCACAGACATTTGCAAATCACTAGGCATCTGGGCAACTGGCTCTAGGTAGCCTTGCTTGGGCAGAGGGAGTGGACCAAATGACCTCATGAGGGTCCTTCCAACCTCAACCAGTCTGTGATTCAGTGATGCTCTATTGATTCAGCACCGACATGTTGACACGGAATGACAGGGTCCAGTCATAGCATTTCTGTGCCCAGACTTACCAAGGAAATTTACAGAAGAGTAAAACATGGCAGAAATTATGTGTTAATGATATAAAAATTCATTTTCATGTGGGTTTTGGTGTCTCCATTTGCATTATCCAGGGGTTGCCCAAAGAGCACTTCTACTGCTTGAATATTTTCAGCTTGACAAATCATAGGGGGCTTGACTGAGCATAATAATAAAGATGAGTCCTCTGAGGTACTGATTTGTCCATATGCTACCATCATTTCTGTACTTCTGCTAACCATGCATAGAGGTTTTTCAGGACTGAAAACCCTGGAATATGGGAAATAAATATGTTTTCTGAGGGCAGCCAATGTGTTCACTTTTTTCATAGAGCTTTTTCATTCCTTCTCTTATTTTGAAGTTTTTCTCATTAATTTTCATTATTTCCCTGGGAAAGCCAAACATAAGTCTAACACGACTGTGACAAGAAAGTTATCATTCAGGACAGGTACCATTAATCCTTTCTCAGCTCCTTTCACAAGATACCCATTACCATGCGATACCTTCTAATTCTGTCCCCATAAACACGCTTGGGCAGTAGGTCTCATGGCTTTCAGGACATTAGAGTGGAGACGGTTGTGACCTACCCCCAGTGCCAGGAATGGCTCAGGTGCAACCTATTGCAATACAAAGGCTAACACTCTGTCCGAGGACTTGTATTCCTGAAGGGAAAACACAGAATGATTTCTTCTAAACACAGAAGTGCCCTTTAGCGTGGAGACCAGTGCTACAACTCAGAGCTGATTAAACTTATTAAACTAATAATAAAACACTCTTTAGAAAGGGAAGCCTTTCCCAAAAATAATTTTCTTTTTGATACAAAGTCAGACTGACTTCAATGATTGTTTTCTGCCCTTATGTCCTTGTTTCCATGTCCTTCTGCCTGAGTTCTCCAAAAACTTAATGATAAAAATGCATGAAATAATATGGGTGGGTTCTTTTTTTAATCAAATCTTCTGGCTTTAAGGTGGTTTTGTGAGATTTAAAGGCAAATCAGTTGCACAAAGATGCAATTCACTGAGCTCCTCACAGCAGAACTGGTCTGCCTTGGTTGAGGAGAGGTGCCGCAGAATGACATCTCTCCACAGCACTGCAGTACCATGGCCATGTTAATATTCCCAATTCATATATACTTTGTATTAATATTCCTCTCATCCACTGACTAACATTTGGTATCAACTGTAATTGGTGCTACTCCAATCTATCCTGCTCTTTGATGCGACAGAAATGCTTCCCTCATGCTATTGGGCACAACAGGGAAATGTGTTTTGGAAGAGGGATGCTGCATCACCCCTCTCCCTGGGGGCAGCATTCCTTAGTACCACCTTTCTTTTTGGCTTTATGTTACTTTGAACACATATTTCTTTAATGAAACATCAATGTGCACCAGCTGTAGTGCAAATAATCATATTTTCTTTGAAATATTAATAGCTTCATTATGTATTTTGGGTGAATAGCAACATCATATTGCTTCAGTGTAGAAAAAATATAGGGTGGTGCAATTTGGTTATTCTTTTTCAGAGCTGCTTTTAGTTCACCAGATGTGCACATAAGGCAGGAGGTGAATCTTGGTGAATTCATGCAGATTTACCACTGGATGAAGGCACAAGAGGTGTGAATATTTACCTGGTGAATCTGTACTTGAGGTGCTGAAGTAATGGGAGACTCTTGGTTTGGAATAGTGGATAATCTGCATGTGTTGAACACCAGGCAAAATCCTTTTTCTCACCAGTATTTCAGGTTGCTTTTAAGTTACCTTGTATTCATTAATTGTGATTCTCTTAATTGTAAATAAAACTAGAATGAACTGTTTGCATTCACTACCCAACCATATAAATACCCTTTATAAAATCCATTTTTTAAAAGCCTTTCAATGCTTTTATTGCAGTTACATCATTTGTATAAAATACATCTGTTTTTACACATTAATTTTGCAATGCCGTAATGGAAGACACATTTCTAGGTTAGCATATGGTTAATAGTTTGCCTTGTTATAAATATTTGCAAATAACATGTTTCATCCTCATTTTTACATGAAGGAGACAACTAAAACTGCCAACGATCTTCCAATTCACAGGATAATTCCCCAGTGCTCTAGACTGACGTACAGATGTTTTTAAGGCATTTTTGTTTTAGTGCTGGAAAGACATAAAAAACCTGTCATCAGAAGAGGTTTTACAAGGAAAATATTAAAAACATACATGAAGGTTAAATAGTTTTTCAATACCTTATAAAATCATTATCAGTAAAAAGAGCTGTTTGATGAAAGACAGCAAATGCTCTGTGGATATCTAAAACTTTTGTTATACTTTCATAGTAAAGTATGGAGAGATATAAAGAGAAAATGTACTTACTTTGGGAGTAAGCAACTCTTTTGACTCTTGCACAGACATAACTTGCATTTTTCAAGAACCAGGAATAGTATTCAACACAGTACCTAAGGGTGTAGTTGAGATGTTATCTTTCATGAGCGCAGCTGTATGCACATCATACCACTAATACTGAATATGGAAATAAAGAGAAAGAGTTTGATCTTGATGATGACATAAGATATGTGGAAAAAATCAGCTGAGCATTATTCATGTAGTCTGAATACTGGAAGCTAGGTCAGGTCTTGGTCGTTTGGGTCTCAGGCAGTAGCTACAGATTCTCAAACATAAACATTAGTGATTGAAAACTGTCATTTGAAAATAACCTGATGGAGTATTTTAAACAGAAAGAAAGAAAAAAGGTAGTGCCAGGCTTTACCTCATGCCTTCCTTCCTGGAGTATCTTCTCTGACCAACACAGAGGCACAGCTGGAAAAACCTACACAGCTCCATCACACAGGGACTGATCTTCTGCACTAGAAGAGTGACAGGAGGTGAGGTCACACGGGACTCTTTGAGCATCGCCTGTGAACACCCTAGGGAAAAACACAGCTCTGAACTAGTTCAAATGCTTCTCCCACTAAATGTCTTACAGTACCTTATCTGGGCTATGAGAAACGTGCAGGTTAATACACCATATAGGTGTCTTAATATCAAATCTAGGTGAGGTAGACACACACAGCCTGGTAGTTGTTTGAACGAAAGCCCAAATATTCTGTTCAACTCATTATTATTTATCATTACAGGTGAGTTACTTAAAACCACATTGCTTTTATTTATCACAAATGTAAGGAACAACTCTAAAGATGCAGTTTATTTATTATTACCTGTTTAGGTTGCAGTTCAGTTGCCACTGAATCATCAGTTTTCCACAGTGCAAAACAGCAGCACAAAGAACAGCACCGTACACTTGTTACCTTTGGTAGTTTCCCTATGTGATGCAGCAAACTCCTTGTTTAACCTGTCTACTTCTCAAGAACTGATAACCTGGAGGAGGGGGTATGTTTGTGTTCTCCTACCTACAGGTCCATTGAGACTGCCTGTAAAGTTTGTCAAGCCTTGCCATGAGCTGGACAGATGAGTGGAGGAGCCCAATGCCTCAGCTACAGGAGCTGACCGAGAATACCCCTAGCAGAATGAGATAGAGAAAAACCAATGATTGCTAAACATCATTTGGGGGCAACTGAAAAGTAACAGCTTGAATATGTGTGCTTGTAAAGTAGCTATTGGTAGATGCTGTGATTTTGTGTATAAAACCACCTGTATTTACTAGCCAATTGCTAATAAGAAACTACACCTTGTATTGTATGGATTTGTCACTTGTGAAAGAAATGTTAGAGTGTGCAAATTTGCAGCAGCTGCTAGAAAATGCTAAGGCAAATGCTAGAAAGATTCTATGGTAGTGTTCCAAAGCAGGTAATGGAACAAATTAAGAGTGTGGGAGAACTCCACTGGTAAGAAATTCCTTTGGCTAGTCCCTTGCTGCCATCAGCATCTTCAACATGCTGCTGCACCCTGTAATAGTTACTCTGCTAATGTAAATCTGTGTGTGTGCCTTGCCATGATAACGACTTGTTAGTGGATGAAGCAGGCGAAACTCTGCATTGACAACAAGGTGCAAGGACTGAGGCTGACCAAATGCCTGCTACCACAATCAAGGGCAAGACTGGGTTGGCCTCTGTGTTTGCCACCAAGAAGAACCTGTAGCTCCGCTGTTGGCTGCAACCCAGCAGGCATGGAGTGGTGGGGACACATGCCATGCCAGACCTTGTTGTGAAGGATGGCCTCCCCTGTTATCGGAGAACCACACAGCAGAAAAAAGTGGCAGGCCCAGCAGCCTGTAGTTGGCATATGTTGGAGATATGATCTAGCCCAAATCCCCTGCTCAAGTAGGGTCATCCAAAAGATATATAAAACTAAAAGGGGGAGATGTGGAGACAGTGCTCTCACAGAAGAATGGATAATTGGTACATAAACTCTGAACAATCCTGAAAGATACAGCAAGGCCATGAGAGGCCCAAGGAAATTTCAGCAAGCAAGATAAGAAGAAGCTGGAATTCACTGAGTTATGAGAATTGTGAACTGTTGGCAAGCTTTCGAGGTCAAGTTCTCACATGTGTGCTTAACCAATTATATGTTAGTCACTAAGGGTCTTCAAGACATGTATCCAATCATAATATGCCAAATCACTGTAAGTGCATGTAAGAAATAGTATATAAGGAGTTAAGGCTTTGCAATAAATGTTTCTTTTCTGATCATACTGATCTCTGTCTGGGTCCATATATATTCTGTGGCACCTATGCATATGCTCCTTCAATGAAATATTCGCTTCCAGCTCTTCGTGCTTCCCTACACCCACCCTCTAAATCTGAATCCTAGATTAAATGTGACTGAGCTAATAAACAAACAGATTCTCACTGCTCTCACCATCACTTGGTTTTTTAGCCTCATTAACAAAATAAGCGTGATTTATGCAGAGGTTACAGCTTTCTCTCTGTCTGTCAGTTTTCCCCTTCTTGCTTCTAGTGACTTGAATAATAAGCTCATTTCAGCCTAGTTTTTAGGGACAGGTAAAGATTCTCTGGATAAATACATTCCTACAGGTTTCATTAAAACTGACAAGTAACGAGAGAAGAAAAGGTCAACCTTCTCCTGCAGCGAGAGGAAGGCAGGTGAAATTTCTCCATTTCACTATTTGTTTGCCAGGAGCCAGCTGTTGAATCAGTGTATTTTCCTTCAAGTGACTACCATTATGTTACTTTAACTTGATAAAAATGCAGGGAAATGGTGTACCCGGCAATGGCGTCCCTCTTCCTCTCTCTTGAGCCAACCTAAGCAACAATATCTAGTTTACTCTGTTTATTGAGTCTTCTGCCATAAGCAGCAAGAGATAAACATTTGAACATCAAACATTTCATCCCAGCAACAAATGCAGCTGTGCCAGACTGCAGGAAAAACAAAACAACAAAGTGGGTGATGGCAGCTTATAACAAAATCCTGAATTGCTATGTGGCTTTTCATTGCCAAATACAATCTCTCTTTAGACTCTCTGTTTATAGAAAAAAATAGGCAAGGTGAAATTGAGCAGGAGGAAGGGGGGAATTAAGAAAAGGTAAGGCACACTTGAAGCTCTTTTCAGCTTTTCAGGGCTTTTTGTCATCATATTAAGAGAAAAAAACTAACATTTGACAGTATTTTCTTATCCAAAGCAGTGCCTGTCACACATCATCTTGCATTTTAAGGATCATTATGATAGGGCAGAATCAAAGGACTTGCTAGAAAAAAGAAATACAATATTTACAATATGGTAAAAGACTGCCAGGGCATGGCTAAAACGGGTCTGCAACCACATCACCTTTGCACATTTAATAATCAATATTATATTATTATATTGTTATATATTTTCATAATAATAAACCATTATTATATAATAAATGAGGAGGAGGTGCTGCATGTGAGGACATGCTTTGGGTCACTACAGTGAAAGCCACTTGCCCTGCAAGGCATCACATCTGACCCTGGGGAGCAGCAGGCGAACACATTGTGCCGTCTGCTGCATACAGCAGTCCTTCCAAAGGGATGTCTCTCCTAAACCAGTATGCCAAATATAAGGAACATATCTGCAAGCATCATGCTGGTGCTCTGAGAAGATAACAGGGACCAGGCTGTGAGAAGGCACATTTGAATCATGTGGATGTCATATGCACCCACTGAGGTGGAAGATCCTGAATGTGCAGGGTGAAGGTTGACTGCAGCATGGCTTTGCCATTTGCGTAACTACCAGCAGGTTTTGGACATTTGCCGGTAAAAAGCCCTACCTGCAGAGAATAATCCCTTTAGACAATGTAATTGCATTTCCCGGTTCACATGTCTCACATACTTCATAGCTTTGGGCCATCTTATGTTATCTGATAGGAGAGGTTACAGGGGTTAAATTTGGCCTAATGAAGTTCTGTTGAAATAAGGTTGAGTTGTTTAATGCTGACAAGAAGTTTAATATAAAATGGCATTCATGGGCAGGAGGAAAATAAAGTCTCTGCCAACCTGAAAGAGATCGCTATGATCCCATTTTTCTCCTGCCAGCACTTGCCCAAGGTAGCGGGAGTCCTGGAACAATGGGCAGACCCTTGATGCTCTCAAACTCACGGGCCCCTCTGCAAGCTGGTTGTGTGTCAGATGCACTGCACAAGTATCAGGAATAATAAGTAAGTCAGGGATGGGCAAGAGTGAGCCCCATTTCTGTTAATGTTTCATAAATGTCATTAGGATTAGGCTTTGTCCACTGAATAGCATTTTGAAACACCTTGATTTTTTCCCACTCCATGGCACTTAAAAACGAAGGATTTCTTGCATTAATAAACACTCATTGTGCTGAGAACTGAACATCAGAACATGAGGCAATGAGGTTTTTTATAAAAGTTGTCCATGAAAAGTAACGTAGAGTTGCTGTGAATAATTAAAACTGGCTAACAGCCACCCTCCAATGAACCTCAATTTCCACTGCTGTGGGTCCTTGCTCTCCTGCCTAACAGGTGTTAAATACTTCATGCAAGCTATGTTTTCCAGCAGAAATTCACCTTTAACTAAATGCAAATTGAGCAACTGCAGTTTCAATTTGGACTCATCTATGTGGGAAAGAGAAGCCAGACAGAAACGCTGCAAGTTAAATTGCTTTGGTTTTCATTTTTGACAATCACTTGATTTTAAATTAATGCTGCATATACGTAATGCAGTATTTATTTAAGGCTGAAAACCCTTGTCAATTATGTTATATTTAATTTTATTTGGATTGAATAATATGCGTGCATCATTGCTGAAATTAAAATTTTCAGTGCTTCATACAAATATTTTATCTCTTCTGTAATTCATTTCTACTGTGAAATTGTATTTCTTTTTATTCCATTCACAATTTCCTACAGATTTGGATGCAAATTTTAAAAAATAACAAAAAGTAGGAGTTTCTTTCAGAATCTTCTTTTCTATGAGTTTTCTTTCCTAAGAAATTGAGTCACCCTAAAGGGGCCAGAAAATGAGGAACCACAGCTCCCTGTGCAGAGCTCTGCTCTTGTCTATTTGAAATTACCACATTACTGTCACAGGCAGATGAGTGACCAATTCTTGCTGCAGTAAACAGACTTTTCCATTATTAACTCAGTATCACATCTCTCTGACACTGAGATTAAATTTTGCTGCCAGTGAAAAGCAAGGATATGGCTACCGTGAATAATTCAGACCTACAACATCCCTCCCTGTATGCTCCAATATGCGCAGTTGCATATTTTATCAGTTCACATAAGCTTTTGTGATTTAATAAATGACTTCCTGGGATAATGTTTCAGACTTCAGAGTACTGTGGATGCTCTTCATTGCTTTACGATCCCACTGTTCAATTTATTTCCTCAAATGCATGACTGATATATGCAGGTAGACAACCTCTGCCATCCTGGTTTCCAATGGGGAAGCATTAATGACTCCATTCCTTGGTCCTATTGTTTCCCAGCCTGTTCAAAAGGGGCTGGTTCCCTGCCCGTGTTTCTACAGCGTCTATAGTTTTGTCCACCAGACAGATATTGACGCGTGGACAAACTGGACTGTGCGCACACTGGTCATACAGAGAACTTGGGTTTTGTGCAGAAGTTTTGGTGATGAGAATTGCCATAGAGTATTCTTCTGCTCCCACCAAAGTAAGATCGAGATAGGTCTCCCAGTAAGGCCTTGTTCAGCTGAAATGCTTCTCTTCACACCATCAAGAATGTCAAGAAGTCAAAGTATATTTGTGTGATGTGACATTGACTCATTTCGTTTATACAACCGATGTATGTCATGGGGGGTGAGGACTCGCATTTTGAACTCTTCTTTAAACAGAAATAAAATGAGAGAAAGATGAAAAAGAATATTTGGCTTCCTATCTACATGGTTCAAAAACTCCCTTACATCTAGAACAGCTCATTGGCTCAGCACTTATGAGTCTTCTCCTTGGAAACATGTCTCAGTGAATAGTTTTTTTACTGCATAGTTCTTGGCCTTCCCAGGCAATAGGTTCTTCCCCCCTCTTCCTTGACACTGCCTTTCTGCAGGACTTGTGTTTCTATGATTACTTGATGCTGTTGTCGCACCTTGATTTCCATGGTCAGCATTTTTACCTCTGATAACATTATTTACTTTTGACAATGAATGCCCCACGGAGCTGGATGCTCTCAAATACTTTCCAAATGCTTTTCAAATAGCAGGGAAAGACCACCAGGCTGCAGAGTTTCCTGTCATGTGAAAACCTGCTGCAGAGGCTCAAGGTTTCACTTTACCTCTCCTGTTTTGACAGGCAAAATATCAGCAGCAGTTTTCTCTTAGTCATATTTATTAGGAATCCATATCAAACTCCCACATTTTCCTTTGACAATACCAGAATGGTGCAGTTTGTTTTCCACATTTCCTACTAATCCATCACAAACCATTTAATCAGAATTTGTCTTTGCTCTCCTCGCCTACCATCCTTCAGAATTTTCAGGCTTTTATTTGTTCTTATTATTATTAACTTATTTTTATTGTATTTCCTAAACGTCCAGCAAAGCTTTGAACAAGTATTAGTTGACTGGCATTTTAGTTCTAAAGAACTAAACTGGTTCTAAAGACTCCTCAGGTATCAAATCTAGATGAAGACCCCTACGATTTTGTTCCATATACTATCTTTGAATTACTGTGCTTCCCTTAGACAGTCACCACACAGAAACACAAGCAGTTGAGGGGCAGATATCCAAAGTTCCCTTTGGCAGTCCTCACTACCAGCAAGACTCATGTTCCCACTCAATTGTGGTAGCAGCAGAGTGAACTTCAGTGCAGGGATCAAGAACAGCCTTTTCCCAGAACGTCCCATGACCTCTTAGCTCCATCTCAGCTCTAAACATCCAAAGTGGTAGGACACAGTCATAATACCAGGAGACCTTGGAATTGTACTATAGGAGTTTTCATGCCACCGTCAGTGGTAGCTTTCAAATTTCTCTTCCTATTTTGCTGCACAAAACAGCAGACAATCACAGTCCAGGTCCAGGATACAGGCACACAGATTTTATCTGTATCCCAGGGCAGGTAGTCTGGATTTTTCCTCCAGTATAAGATCGTAGTAACACTGATGTACTATCAATACTAGAGCATACACACCAGTGTATCCCTCAAATTGACTTCCTCAACTACAACATTAGTGGAAGCATATAATCAGGAAGTGTAATTAACATACATGCAGCTTCAGCTGTGTCTTGCTTGATGCTCAGATAGCCAAGTGGTTGAGTTTCCAGTGTGACCACTGAGGGTGAGAACACTGGACTGGGGTGGAAGGATCACAAGGGTACTAAAGATGTCCATATGATGGGGTGGATTTTACCTAGATTTTAGGTGTCTATGTTGCTGGTTCTTAGAGCTTCAATAGTTGTGTTCTGTCCCCAAGACTGAGATGTGTGGCTGAGATTTATTCCTGTTGTGCTCCTGAGGCTGCTCCTACTTTGTGAATTTGGGTGTAGGTAGCCTGGACTCAGAGACACACACACATGCTCAGCATCCAAAGTAGGTGCTGGACTCTCCCAGAGTTCAGACTCTCCTCTGGCATTAAATTAGATCTAGTTTTTCAAAGTTCCTTACCAAACACATATTATCTGTAAATATCTGTAAATATCATCTGATTGCCAACATAAGTATATGATACTTATAAGTGGAGTGGTACAACATCTTATATTAACTCTTAGTTTCTAACTCCTTATTGGTGTTATCTAAAGGAAGAAGCGAGCCTTCCTGAAAATCTAGGTGATAAAGATCCTTCTTTAGCTCTAGGAAGTCTGCAGTATTCTAAATTGAGGGCAATTCTGTAGATTCCATGTGGCATCAATTGACTTCATAATGTTGTTTGTACCAACAGGAAGATTTAAAGCATGATACTTTCTTTCAGAATGAATAAATTTTAAGGTTCTCCAACCCATGTTAAAATCAACACATGGGGTACATATGTTATCACCTTGGTATAATTTGTATTTTGAATGTGTGATTGTGTATGATTCACAAACAAATATGGAAGCAGTCCCTTAGACATTCTGGGTGGTTTACATAAATAAAAAGTAATTTAAATGAAATATGTATGTTGTTTCTGTGTGGAAAAACTTATATATTGGTGTAGTTTCAAATATACCGCTATTTTTACTGCATGAGTGCAATTACTTACTGGTAGCTGAGTAAAGTTTCAGGCTCACACCAGGCCTGTAGGGTGGCACAGACAGCAGTGCAGAAGGCAAATCTGAGGGAGAGAAAAGAATAGAACTTGCCTTGACATCTTTGAAAAATAAAGAAGGAAAAACCCCCTCTGAAGTCACAGACCACTAATGAACACTTACATAGACACTGATGTATAAATACATCCACAGTCACCTATTTCTATAAATGCTATTTTCTATTCCATAAGTGTTCCATCTGACACGCTTTGTTATTATCCCAGATCAATCTCACCTGGCTCTGTTTGTATGAGTTTGCTGGTTTCTTGAGGAGACACTGTCTGCATCCAAAATGCATCCATGTCACCTGTGGGAACAGAAAGACATGTGCTTCATGTCATTCAGGATATTTATTATTTAGCTGTCTACTGAGGAGTACTGTTCCCTCACCTGGCACTTCTAGTGGCACATAAAAGTGTCAAGATGAAAAAGGAAGGACAAAAGCTGTACTTTACCAGATCTTGAAAAGTTCATGGGCTAGGGAAAGGTAGGATTTAAAGAAACTGTGTAAGTGGAGACCAAGAGAAGCAGCTCCATATTGCTTTTCCACAGCTCTGCTCACCAAATTTGGAGCAAAATGTGAGGGAAGACCTGGATGGCAGAAGTATCCATGAGGAGCAACACTTAGTTTCCCCCCAAAGAATAAGGAACTACAGGATGGACCCAATAACTGATTTTAGCACTTGTGCAATAAAGACATTGACTCACTAGTGACCCAGAATGGGTCTCCCTAAATGGAATCCTAATGCTGTGGTTTCAGCTTTTGGCCAAACCCCAGCACTAGCAGGTAAAGTTGGTGTCAGTCCTCCTTACTGTACTCACTAGGGCTGGGCTGCAGGGCTGGTGATGGGGTCAATCTCCCCCCTGCAGTCAAATGGGGTCCGGCTGTGTCGGGTGGTCCATGTAGTGGTGGAAACCATAATTCTTTAACTCCAACCGTCTTTGGCCATGGTGGATACCTCATGGTGGTGATATCCTCCCCTTTCTGGGCAAGAGGGATCCTGGTAGCTGCAGAAGCAAGAGAGGTTGAGGGAGGGCACCAGCTACGTACTGTGTGGTGATGCCCCATGCTGGCAATAAGCATAACACACTGGGGAACAGAATGCAAATAAGAAAAGAAGAATCTGAAATATTCTTGCAAATTCAAGGTTTTTTCTTCTCATAAATTATTTTTTATTTCCTAAAGGCCTTCTCTACAAAGGAATGAGCTGAAAGCTCTTGTTTAGGTGGAGGGGACCAGGCAAGTATTGGAGGGCAGATACTGAAAGTTTAGAAGTGATGACATTGTGTGGCAGGAATGGCACTTGGGGTTAGCAGAGATTATAAAGGTTGGCATGCTGATAAGCAAATATAAAAGCTTATAGAAAGACAACAATCTGACTAGAGAAAATGTAATAATTTTGTTGTGGAGAGATGCAGCTGAAGTGATGAGGAGGCATCAAATCAAGGTCTGAATTTCTCTTGGCTTCTACTGCATGCAGGCAAGTGTGAAGCCTTCTTTATAGCTTCCACAATGAGGCAGACTAACAATTATCTTGTAGCCCTGTGGCAAAGGTAAGTGCACTGAAGTTTATGAAATGCTCAGGTCCTCACAACTGAAAGTCATATAAAGTCAAAGATGGAGAAAAACAGAGGAAAAATAATAAAAAAGGAGAGGAAGCCGTTTAATCTGTCTTTATTTTGTTGTTGTTGTTTAAAACCAACAACCTTTTTTTCTTTACTTCTCTGCCTTGATAGAAAACTTTTTCTAATAAAATATCTGTTTTACAATAATTTTCTATCCTCCAGCTGTTCAATGCATTACTGACCTGATCTTCTGCTGCTTTGGACAAGCTTCTATCTTACTGTGTAACTGTAGTTCAACATCACAGCGCTGAGCAGCAAACATACATGATCGCTTCTGAAGATGTTAATCAAGGAGAATATAAATTTAGGTCTGACAATATTTGCTCACTTTTAAATGTCCACACATGTTCTGCTGATGGATCCACTGTTTTCTTTGGGTCTTCCTGTAATTTCATGACACTTGAAAACATCGAGTCTACATCTTTGAGGTGTGAGAAGAGAGGGTTAGAACACTCAGCATCCATTGCATATTGTGTGATAAAAAGGGAACAATTCAGGTTCTGGTAGAATAGAAACAACAGTTGTCTTCTTTAATTAATTTTTGGCAAAGTGATATTTTTTGAACAGGAGAGAAGCATTCTACAGCTTTCAGCACAGGTAAATTCACCCCTGTTTTAATCAAGCATCGAAGATGAGAAATAGTCATGAGCAGCAATGAGATGTGATCATTTGAAGGGCAGCTCAACCTAGGAATGCAGCTTTGGGTGTAGGAGCCTCGCAGCACAGTCTGAATATATCCAACTCGTTTCTGAAGGTAACTCATGTGAAGGTAAGAGGTTGTTTGTTCTGACAGCTAAGGAAGATGTCATTTAGGTTAACTGGGAGCCTCTCCAACCTAGTGCTGAATTCTGTTAAAGCTCTCATCTCAGGAGGTTTTGTTAGTTCTTCTGCTAGAAGGCCTTGTAGCCAATGAATTATAGAATCATAGAATCATAGAATAGTTAGGGTTGGAAAGGACCTTAAGATCATCCAGTTCCAACACCCTGGCATGGGCAGGGACACCTCACACTAAACCATCTCACCCAAGGCTCTGTCCAAACTGGCCTTGAACACTGCCAGGGATGGAGCATTCACAACCTCCCTGGGCAACCCATTCCAGTGCCTCACCACCCTAAGAGGAAAGAATTCCCTTATATCCAATCTAAGTTTGTGAACTTTACTTATAATTATAATATTATTATATTAAACATCTAATAATATAAAATATTATTCTCTTAATGATAAAACCAAAATACATATATAAGTAATGATAAAAATATGAAATAATATTTTCACATTATGAAGATAGGGCATTCATTGCAAGTGCTACCTGGCCACGGTTTTCATTGCTGTTGCTATTTCCTTTTACTCCTCAGGATTTACTTACCCAGGTCAGAAGATGTGTTACTGGAAAATGTATAATTAATAACAGGGGATTTTTGCAGCACTTCCCAAAAGTCAGACAGATTTCTCCCTGCAAACAGAAATGATTACAAATATCAAGAAAGGCTTCTTTCTAAATGCAAACCACCACTGAGAATAAGCCGGGCAATATTTTGGGGCGGAATAGTTTTACCTGTCTGCCCTGTCATCACACAGATGTAGATGCAATCTGAATCATTGCTCTGATGCACTGAAAGGCAAAAAAATGTAAACCAAGCTATTGCTGTCAGTTTTCTTTATATGATACTAGCTTGAACAGTTGAAAATACAAACACAAAATGGTACGTGGCTACTGCAGCTGGACAAATCATTTTCTTCTGACCTGATTTTTGATAAAAACCTTGAACCAGCATCAAATCCAAATGCTAATATTTCCATGGGAAAAGTTTCTGTGTAATTAAAATTGCAAATTACAGGTGTTTTTACATGGGAAATGAATTTCTTACAATAATATAGCCCATAATTCTTTTTCAGGAATCACAATTCCCCAAATACCAGTATTAAATAGTAACCACCCAAACTTTCAAACTAACCACAGTTGCTAATAGAGACACTCATGTCTCTACGTTATATATATCCACATTATATATGCATCTTGTTCCTTTAAGGAGACTTGTTTACAAGTCTTGCTTTGCAAGAAAAATACTGCTGAATTAGAGCAATGGGCTTTTATACACATTTCTATGCTTGTTTCCATGCCAGGAGTAAATCAGAGAAATAAGACAATGACAAATGTTAAAAGGAAAGGCAAACCTGAGAGAATAGAAGTGGATTTGAATATTTCTGTGAGATAACTGGTAGAGTTTCCAGTAATATCAACAAGTAAAGCTGTGAAATCTGGACAAAAAGACAGAGAGAGTTTATGATTGAAAACACACATTCTATCATTTATGCAAAGTCAAAAAATCACTTTTATATGTGATCATATTTTTGATATAAGCTTGTATGTGATAATAGTTAAAATACTTTAAAGTTCAAAATGTTTCTGCTAGATGGCAGAGGACTTAAGAAGCCACTGTAATACTCTGCAGAAATATATATGAAAGACAATATCCAAACTAGCATCAGAAGGAGATCCAAAGCCTGTATGCTCTGCCTGCACCAACTGCCTACCTATCTGCCATGTAGGACCACCCAGGAGATATCTGTTTGTCTCCTCTGAGGTTTACTTCAGACATATTGATGATGTTGTTGTCAGCTCAAAAAAAGTGGGTAGCAGTGATATGGTGTTACGACTTTGCCATAACAGGCTCTAGCAGTAACAGTTCTCACTTAGGAAGTGACAGACATGAGGCCTATGTTGGTTCCTGAATTCTTTCTGCTTGAAAGGATGCTGTCATCAGAAAATTCCAAGTTTCTCCCCTATCCTCCAAGGAAGACAGGGTCATTATGGAATAAGGCTTGTGAGATGTGTGGGTCCAGAACAAGCCATGAGAGCCATTGTGGCCAATGTGTGGTCATCACATGAAGCTTAGAGGCTCCAGGTTCTGGTCACTAGCTGCTGAGCTACTTTTGATATCTTACATTAACCAACCATAGAATCCAAGCACTCAAATCCATCTTGGAACATTAAATATGGTGAGATCAGGGGTGTGAATGATGATTGTAGGTGAAGGATTTGCCCAGCAGCATTTTACAGTCCATTAAACAGCCCTATTACATGTTAATCCTTGCTTTTCACTCTAAGGCTCGCTGAAGTTATTGGAGACTATTGGTGCAGAGTAGCTGTTGTTCATCTCGTGTGGGTCATCTGAGTAGACCTAAAGTGGCTGCGTTGTGTCTCCTGCACTGCTCTTTGTATTCTGAAGAGGAAAAGGTCTTTCAGCTGGGTAAACCACACCAGTCATTTAATTGATGGCTCCATTCCAGTATCGCTGGCTGGATGCAGCCCTCTGAGACTGAGTTCAGTGAGCCTCCCCAAAGGTTCAGAGCAGCCACTTGTCATGAGTTATGGCTTGTACTTCAGTAAGGTGATGCTACTCATACAGATGAAATCTGCAGGATTCAGGCTACGGCTTACAGCTCCAAAGGAAATAATTAATCTTAAGAACATGCAATCGCCAGTGTCTCCTGTGTACCCACCTGTCAAGTCATTTGTCACATTGTTCAAACAGTAGCAGTAATGCATGGGGAACTTGCCAGGGTCAACATTTTTCACATTGGAAACTGTAGGGAGAGACAGAGAAAAATCGGTATCTTGGTGCAGGAGGTGTGTGAGAGAAAATGCTCCTGCGCAAAGAGCAGAGGCACTCACTGTTATAAATGGTGACTGATACTTTGTGGAAGGCAAATGAGCTGTAAGACGTGACACTCAGCAAGGAGAAGAGCTTCTTGGTACCTGCGGAAACACATATCTATACTATTAGCAGCTGAAACCAATTATGAGAACAGCACGTTTTGATTCAGCTCATTTAGGAGACAGGCTGAGGGAGCTGGGTTTGTTCAACCTGGAGAAGGGAAGGCTCTGGGGAGACATTCCAGTGCCTAAAGGGGTACTGGGAGAAAGCTGGAGAGGGGCTTTTTACAAGGACATGTAGGGACAGGACAAGGGGCAATGGCTTTAAGCTGAAAGAGGGGAGATTTAGATTAGACGTTAGGAAGAAGTTCTTCCCCGTGAGGGTGCTGAGGCGCTGGCACAGGGTGCCCAGAGAAGCTGTGGCTGCCCCATCTCTGGCAGTGTTCAAGGCCAGGTTGGAAGGGCCTTGGAGCAATCTGGTCTAGTGGAAGGTGTCCCTGCCATGGCAGGGGGGTGGAACTGGATGAGCTTTAAGGTCCTTCCCAACCCAAACCATTCTATGATTTAATTTCTAAAAGACTTCTGAGGTGCAGATACAGCTGCCTGAGATTCAATTCTTCCTCATTTCCACTGAAAGAAGAATCACTTGTATTATTATTTGTTGTTTGGGGTTTTTTTAATTCAAACTTACACTGGATTATAATGTGCTTTCTAAAGGCATCCCATAAGTAACTATGTTGTGTCTATATAGAAACACACACTACTTTCTAAATTCTTTATGTCATGCAACAAACTGCATTATAAATGTGCAAGAGTAACATGCTCCTGGAATCAGTTCTGGAGGCAGACAGCATGCATTTATGGCTTCTCCTGCTAATACCATTAGTCCTTTATCTCATTCACCACTAGGCTGACAGCCTGTGTGACCTGCCCAGCCTTGTCCCATTACCTCTGAGCACCGTGTTCAGCATTCCATTCACCAGCTCTGTCAGGTTAACAGCAGCCAGATCCACGGACTTTGCAGGCAGCTCTGAAAAAGAAGGGCTCTCTGAGCAGCTGGCTGCATGAAGGCACAAGGAAAAGGCCATTTATCCCCTGTTTGTATATGGGAAAAATCCCCCAGAATGGGAAATAAAAAGAATGAGCAGATTAAATATTGGAATGCACTCAAAAATAATAAAACAGTGAGGAAATAAAGATGGCAGGAATGTGAAGAGGAGCCTGGAAAATAGCAAGGTCAAGCAGGCAGTGCAAGTGCAGGCCAACATCGAGGAAGGGCTCTTGGTCACCTCTTCCCTTGAGCATGCCCTTGAGGGGCTACCAGGGAGCAGAGCCAGCCCTGGTGTTTGGGTGCCCTCTCGTGCCAGGCAATGGGCATTTACTGCCAAAAGAGCAGCAAGGAGGAGAAAGTGCCCAGGAAACGTCCCACCTTCCCCAGTGCTATGTGGAACTGGGATGAAAATATAGATCTGATACTTTTTTCAGCCACCTTGATGGCTATAACACCACTACAGAATAAATGGACTGCAGCTGAATCACACTTCTCTTTTCAAGTGATTTCTGTCACTGTTGCTTATTTGTTTTTCCCAAGTTGAGATTTCCAAAAATGGTTTTTTGCTTCGATCCCACAAGGGCATGCAGAGGCAGAGCAGTGTGTGTGACAGAAAGAGAGAAAATGGAGCAGGATGGAAAAAGAAGCATAGAAAGCCGAGATGAGAACAACATCGAATCTGGGGATAAATACAATTTTCCGATGACTTCAGTATTATTTTTAGCCAATTCAAAGCAAAGCTGCACCCCAGGGCTGGAAGCAGGGCTTGTCCACGGTGTAGAAGGGAAGAAAAGGATAACAAAAGGGAATTAAGGGCTGGGAAGGAGAGAAAGGAGAAAAAGAAAACTTCGTTTTAGGTTTCTGGAAGGACAGAGGTTAAAGTGGCCGAGGACCTGGGTAAGGCCTGGGTTGGGTGGGGAGCTTTTGCAGCAGTGATGGATTTGGGCTCACAGAAAGCAGCCCATCTGCTGACACCTCCATGCCCAGCACAATACCTCTGCTCCCATTAGCACACACACACAGGGCTTCCTGTTTTGCTGCTTGTTACCTGCGGTAGCCAGCACTGCCACTTGCTTCTCTTTCTTGTTTTCTCTTCTTATGCAGGAAGCTGTGAAGTGAAGAAAGAGGCTGAGAAACAGTTTTCCATGTTGAGGCATCTGCCTGGGTTACTTTGCTACTGTCATTCGTTATAGCTCAGAAACTGATTGATATCGGCACTGCAAAGCAGGCCACTGAGTATGCACAACAGTAGTCCATCAGATGCCTAAAAATAAGAATGTCCTAAAGGACCAGCCAGATGCTTCAGATGACAGCTAATAGAAGAAAACAGATTAAATGCCTGAGTTAGCCCCCTTAGCTCTAAAATCCAAAGAAAAGCAATATTATCAAACTGTTGTACAGACCTGCACTAGGCTTGGACCCAACATTGACTGCAAGGAATATAGTGTAATAAGGCCAACTCAAAACAAATCTCCACAGGCTATATGCATGTTTGTTATTCAGAGCAGTCATTCAACTGAGTACTGCTCTCCAGAGTTGTGTTGCAGGAGGAGTGAACTGGAGCTGGATTTAGGACACTGGACTGGCTTCCTGGGGTTCACTCTGTGCCCAACAAATGCGAGATGCAGAGCAGTGATTAAGACATCATGGGACACGCTGAAGTGCAAGACTTTGGTGCTTAGGTTCCCTATTCCATCAGTGGAGAGCTGAGTGCCTCCAAAGAATAATCCAGAAGGCTCTCCAAATGAGCCAGTGATAGCAAATGCTACAGTCCCATCACCCTCTGGAGGTTCAGCTTCTCAATCCATCAAGCTCCCCAGGAAAAGTCCTCTCCTGGGATCTGGTGTGAGAAGGGCCCACCTCAGCTTTGGTAATGCTTCTCTCTGTGTTAAAACCTAATGGGCAGCACTCTCACCAGGGAATATGAAACCTGGGTTCAGCATCCTCTTCAGAAAGGCTAAACCTGTAGGGCTGCAAGCAGCAGAAGAAAGAGGAGGTGTGCCTGCATGGTCTGGCTGTTCGTACGTAGAATGGTGAAACCTGGGTGCTTGTCGTTACTTGTACAAAAATCTATTCCTTGTATAGCAGACAATCCCTGGATATATATCTCTTTCTCCTTCTCTCCTTATATATATATATATATATAAATGAAAAATACCCTACAGACAATCCATTGCACAAGGCTTGTGAATCCTGACTCCTCATACAGTGCTTGTCAGCTGTATTAACAACTCTTAGGTCTTACAACACTTTGTACGACCTAAATTTGGGCTACCAACATAGGTGGTAGAAGCTCTTCTAATCCTCTGTCTCTTTCCATACAAACCTTTCTGACCCCAGATTCATGGCATGGGATACAAAAGTAGACCTTTGCCATCATCTGGTCTGCCCTTCTGAATGGCACTGGTCCTGGGGATCCATCCCATCAGCCTTGCTTGTGCAGGGGGAAAGAGCCAAACCTGCCACAGATGTGGAAATGGGACTGTGGGAGCAATTGGGAAAGAGACACCCTAGGAGCACCAAACCGTCATCATCCTTACCTGTGTTGAAAACCAGAAGGAGACACAGAAATCCCAGGCTCATCTTCACTGCCACATGCCAGCAGAACCACTGCATTCTGGACTCTGACTTCCAGCAGGTTTCGATGCTCTAGGAAAAGAAAATCCTCTTTTAGTGGTGTTAAAGTTTGTAATATTGTGTCCAACTGTTGTCCCAGAATGATGTGACCATGAGAGAATTATTAGGTCTCTGAGATGCAGAGGAAAGACTGGTGATATAGACGGCAAGGAATCAGAAATCACACAATCAGCATTTTCTCTGTGTGTATGTGTTTGTGTCATGAGTTTAGTGACTCTTGATTTTTGAGTCCTATGTCAGGGTCTACAAGAAAGCTGGTGAGGGACTCTTCATCAGGGGCTGTAGCAATATGACAAGGGGTGATGGGTTTAAACTTAAACAGAGGAAGTTCAGGTTAGATATAAGAAAGAAGTTTTTTACTGTAGGGGTGGTGAGACACTGGAATGGGTTGCCCAGGGAGGTTGTGAATGCTCCATCCCTGGAAGCGTTCAAGGCCAGGTTGGACAAAGCCTTGGGTGATACGGTTTAGTGTGAGGTGTCCCTGCCCATGGCAGGGGGGTTGGAACTGGATGATCTTAAGGTCCTTTCCAACCCTAACTATGCTATGATTCTATGATTCTTTGTAACTGTGGCTTTGGTGGGACTTGGTAAAGTCATCTCCACAATCCTCTTCTCTGGTAGCACGACCTGAGCCCAAGGGACACTGACACATCAGGTGCCTAAACCCTTTCTGTTGAAAGATGATAAAATTTACTCATGTTCCATTTCAGACCAGGTATTAACTGCTTTTATTTTCAGAAATGCTCTTTGCCTGGTCATCCCTAGTCTTATATTTCTGTACTTAATTGTTGTCATCGAGTTGCATCCTGTGCTGCCTTGGCTAGTTCCTTGGGGGGGATTAACCATGCTCTGCCTTCCAGACAGTGAGCTGCTTTACAGATTTCAAAGGATTAATTAGAGGTGGTTAGAAAAAGAGAAGGAAAATCTTAGGTTCCTAACATGCTCCCCCCTGTTTTTGTAATGGCAGAACATGCCAAATAGTTCTGTAGTTGTCAGAAAATGAGGGAGCATATGAAAATTAACAAAAAAAGGGCAATTTTTTCCCATATCTCTTGGAGTAGCTCATCTCACAAGTATGCAGCAAATCATTATCTACAAGATAATACTGTTTGATTAACAAACTATTATCATAATGTTTAAATTCATTCTCACAGTGAATTCACTAGAGAAGGAACACGTTCTGAAAATAGCTAATTTGTGCTTAGTGCCTCTGAACACACTCTTCCTTGAAGAAGATGAAATGATACCAAGCATTTCTGTGTTTGAAATGTCTGTGCTTGCTTGTCAGACGAGTCAAAAGTGTTTAAGTGCTAGCTCTGCTAATTCAAACAAAGCTCTGAGAAGCTTTTTAGGCAGTTCATCCTATCTATTCAGTCCAGCTGCCTAATCTTTTCTACTCGACCCCAAGCCTATACTCACCCACTGTTTCTGCACAGCATGTGCAGAAGAAAGGGCTGAGGAACAAAGAAAGCCTTGGCCAAATCTTACTCCACAGACTTCATATTCTGTCACTTTTCCATGATCTGGACTGATTGTGCATGGACAGAGTCCAGTGTCCCATGGACCAGAATAGCATCAACAATCCTAAGTTTGGCTCTTCTAGCATCAATATTTGGGATCTGACCAACAACTAGACTGCAGACCATAAATGTATTGCTACCACGAGGATCACAGTGCCTGACACCCCTGCAAGGTCATCTCTGTGTAGTATTATGGAGCTGGTTCATAAGTAAAAGGTTTGGTAGGTAGTAGATAATTTCCTATCAGGGATCTAACTTCATTACTTATTTACTTGAACTGGATAGAGTTGTTCATGGTGGTGGGACAGGGAAAAAAATAACTGACAGAGGACTAGCAGGCTAGAGAAGCAGTTAAAGAGATTACATGCCTAGAGACAGAGAAATAGCAAGAAGATTGACATAGGAAGGCACTGTCTTACCAAAGCATCTTAGGAGACAGAGAGGAGAAGAAAATAAGAGCTGTAAAAGTAGGAACAAAATAGACTGAATTACAAAGTTGTGCTTGGAAGCATCCCATGCACATTGAGAGACATTCCTGCTCACCTGGACTTGCAGCTCCCTGCTGTCCTCCCCACTGAGCTGCTCTTCCATGTTAACCAATACACGCAATTTTCTCCTCTTACAATGCTGATTTGCAGCAGGAATTCGGAACAGGCATTATCTTGGCCATAACACCCACATTTAATCAAGGTGTGACTACACACACTGTTTAGCAATTAAGACAACATGCAAACATAATCTGGAAGAATGGATCATAACAGCCCAAATCCTGTTCTAACAGAGAAATATTAACTAAAGTTGGTATAAAATGATGGAAAACCCTCCATTCATGGAAGCAGATTTATCACTGTGGTGTCCCCTGTCCAGTATAAGATGCCTAAAGAGAAATTGCAGAGAAATCTCAATACTAAGAACATTGCTTAAGAGACAGCTCTTTTTCCTCAAGTGATAAAAGCTGATTTAAGTTTGAAGCATTAGGCCTTAACTGTTCCCAAACTTTTCCCAGCATTAACTCTCTGGATATTTATGCTGTCCAGTTAAATTCCAAGGCCATATGTGACATTCCTAGAACTGCTGCCTGAAATATCTCTCATCAATGTTGATATTAATAATATTAACTTTTACAACACATATCATCTTTTCATTCCTCTGGTTATCCAATACTTAATTTTTATCTATCAGGGACAAGACTTTATTACTTTGTGACTGTATCTCCTTTGTTTCCAACATGCATGTCACTACTGTGATGACTGAAATACACGTCCAGATTGCAAACATGAAACCCTCATTGTACTCGAGCTCAAAATCACTAACCATTTCCATTTCCAGGCATTCTGAGGTTCACAGGCACCACAGCACAGGTGCCACACATCCATGAGCAGACCAACAAATTCCAATAAACTGACTCAGTGAAAATGTTCCTTCCAAACATTCATCTGATACAGGCAGAAGGTCAAGATTTTGCTGCAAATTCCCCTTTACCTCTACTGGATGCAATAATCCTCCTCTGTTTATTTTAAGCTGTATAAAATTAGTAGAAATCAGTTTACTTTGAACTGTTGATCCAGAGTTCCCAGAACTAATGAGCTGGAGATTTAAATCCAGCTTACCTTTATACACTCATGTAGACCTCTTAATTAATATCTCTTTGCTACTGTGGATTAACAGCAATCTTAAACCAATGGGTTTATTAGCTATACTTCATTAGAATTCATTTTCATGTAGCAGGTAACCATGAAATTTGAATTGTTTTTAGTTTTCATGTACAGACAAGGAATCAAATATCCAGTAATTTACCCATATCTTCATGCTAAACAGAGCAGAACAGAAGTTAAAAGGGCTAAGAAATACAAATGGAAAATCCTTGAGTATTAATATCCTTACCTTCATTCAGTTCCAGCATCCAAAGGTCATCTCTCATTTTAAACACACCATGATACACCAGGTCTAAGGAAATATTCCATGTTAATGCGAAAATATGCCCATGCTACAATTGCACAGCAATTACTTTGCTACAATTGCTTTTAGATTCATATTTATTTGTATAAGAATTTAAGAAAATATAACCAATATATGTTTAACAAAAGAAAACCCCAACATTTCTTTTTCTACATTTCCATCAATTATTAATAAGACACCTGAGATGGTTTCCTCCAAGTACATGTGAAACCACTGAGGTTTGGAACGGTTAATTCCACCTTACCTGATATCTCTTGACAAAGATAATTATCTTCAGAGCTTATATAAAACTGGAGGTTATTGCCAGGTCCTAATAAACACTTTGTGAAAGACTCTGAGATGACAAGCTTGATAATCTTGCTTTAAAATCCTGTGAAAATTGTTATCTTAATCCGAGGACTAACTAGAGGTAACACAATCATAAGCATACAAAGTACCTGTTGAATCCCGCATGGAAAGGCTCTGTGGCAGGTCAGGCGGGGATTGGAAGCTCCTTTTGGCAGTGATGGCTTGAAACACTGAGAAGAAGGGATTTATTTTCTCTTTTAAAGGGACAGCATATCTTACTGTTATTAGGCAAATGCCACTTTTGATGGTGAGAGGTAGGCCAGGGTAAGCCCCTTTGGTAAAGCTTTAGCCATCCTTCAAGGAGCAATTTAAACAAGAAACGTTGTTGGGAGGATGGAGAAGAAATGTAAAGTGTATTGTAACCGCAGGATATCAAAAGCAACAAAATGGCAGCTAGAAAACTGTGGTGAGGAAGAAAGAGAGATCTGGTCACAACAATGACATCAGGCAATTTCGATGATGTTGAGTGATGTTTGTTAGTATCCAACATTATCTTAGTGTTGGAAGCAGTTGGTGAAATTCTGCTCCCATTTACATCAGTGGACTGGAAGTGAATCCTCCACAATAACTGAGTTTAGATGCAACGTTGCTAAAAGCAGATAATCATCCATTCAATAATATTATCCTAAGCCACCAAACACTTCTTTGTGTGAATTAATTCAAAACCTTGTAGCAATTACAGAAAGGAAACCTAAATTGATCCATAGTCAGTGTAAGACATAGAAAATGTTTTAGGAACCTGTACGAAGTCTCAACAGAGAAATATTCTGTTAGAAAGGGAGGATAAAGATGAGATGCACAGGATGGCTGCATACAAGCCGTCTGGAATGGTCCAGCTTGGGAAAGGTCATTTGTCTTTATTTAACTGCATTGTCCCAGTCTTGCAGCCCCACCAGTTAAGGTGCAGAAAACTGTGATGTTACCCAAAGAATGAAGAAACCTACTGCAGTAGCTAAATCACTGCAACCTGCCAGCATGTCAGGTACAATAAAGTGATTTTTCTGTTTTCAGGTTTCAGCCATATATTTTGGAGGGTCCTGTTTTCCCACAAAGAAGATGTTTATGGGATCATGTTTTGCACATGATAGGGCTGTGTCTTTGTCCTACTATTCTGTCTTCACTAAGCATTTAATAAGCTAGAAGGCAGCTGCAGCCATGCTTAACAGAGTTATAGCTGGTAAATACAATACTTACACATGCACACGCATGAACAGTCCTACCTTCCTTTTCTTCCACTCTGCATTTCATGAAAAAACATGATCCAGTGGGATGTCACCACATCTAAAATTATCTAATTCTACATGGCAGTTACTGGTGTGATAAAAGGAAAATTCTCATGACTCGTGACTAAATGCTGCAGCTTGAGGAGTATGGAAACACCTTTCCTTTGACAAGACTTACTTTTACCGATTTAATTACCACTTGCTCAATATCTCATCAGGAAGGCTGAGATGAAAGTCCTCTCTGTAACAGCTGACAAACCCAGGTATAGCCAGGAAAATGTGTGTGCTGGGCTGGGTTCCAGCCGTTTGAAGCTGGGCTATGGGGATAATTAGACTTTCAGCAGGTTTTACCTCATGCTGCCTTTTACCCTGGGACTCGGTAATTTTAACTTTCCTCAGCTGCAGAGCGATGCTCAGGTGACCAGGGAGGGGGCTATTGTTCAGCCCCAACTTTGACCCCTGGAGACAATGCTGTGTTCTCACTCAGAGCATCAATATGAGCTCAGAGCTTTCTCAGGAGTATAGTCTTTACGTGCCTTCTTTTTCCAGCATCTCTCTGTGTGAAAGCCCCGGGTCCATAATGAGCATCTCAAAATCCAGAAGAAGAAAGACACTTTTAGCATCTTAGTAACACAGTATAAGCACATAATTCATACTGGTTACTGAGTAAATACATACCATTGCTGAAAGTTATAAAGGGTAAATCCCTGTTAAGCCAGTTGTAATAAACATACAATCAAGCCAAATGCCCATGTTTTATCTGTAAGAAAGAGGACAGCATGGCATGACGTTCTGGTAAGGAGGGAGAAAACAGAGTCTGAATGGTGGTGTTTTATCTCTCTGTGGGCTGAGAACAGAGTGTGGAAGTGGTCCACTACTTCTTTGTATATCTTTTCTTAGACCTTTTAAACACACCCTTCTACATAGCAATTGCAATACCTCTGAGTGACTGCAAGGGCTCTGGCTCCTATGTTCCTGTGGCCTGAGCCAGAGTCAGCACCAGCACCCCTTCCCACCCACTCCATCCCAGTCTGGTAGCACCCCCAGGTATGAAACCCCACTGTACTGGCTGGGGTATAAACCATCTCTGCCCTCAAAGATGAGCTGCAGCATACAGAACACTTGCACCTAGAGCATCTTGCAAACCTACCTGTCCTACGCACGTAGCAGGAAAACACGTACCCACCCAGCTGTGCCTGTCTCATCAGGTGCTAACGTGCAATAGAGAATGAAGCACTGTTGTTAAAAACAAACAAGATAACTTAATCAAAGCCTGCTTCAGAACGTTTAAATTTAATCTTTCATTACACTTTATTCCACCAGGGTGAACACTTCCATGAAAGCACCTGTGAGCAATTGCTTCGTAAACTTTGTTTAGAAAAGTATCAATTGTGCAAATTACATTTTTTTTCTCCCTGAAAACGCCTGATTGCAATTCAGCCCTTCCCCCTTAGTCCTCTGCCTTTACGATTTTACAAGATATTTAGGATATTTGATTAAGAAATGTGCTAGCTCCATAAAGTTTCTTTTCATCTAAATTTCATTTCAGATGTTAGCAATATCCTATTTTATTTTTTTGCACAAATTTTATCAAGCATGAGTCACTAAATTTAATAACGTTTCTTTGTTGCTTTTTCTTTAGAAGAATAAAACTTATTTCATCTCTTAAAAGGAGAATTATAGATAGAATCATAGAATCATGGAATAGTTTAGATTGGAAAAGACGCTTAAGGTCATCAAGTCCAACTGTTAACTTAGTACTGCCAAGTCCACCACTAAACCATGTCCTCGTGCACTGCATCTAGATGACTTTTAAACACCTCCAGGGATGATGACCCCACTACTGCCCTGGGCAGACTGTTCCAATGCTTGACAACTGTTTGGGAGAAGAAATTGCTCCTAATCTCCAATCTAAACCTCCCCTGCTGCAGCTTGTGGCCATTTCCTCTTGTCTGATGGCTTGTTACTTGGGAGAAGAGACCGGCCATCTCCTCACTCCATCCTCCTGTCAGGCAGTTCTAGGGAACAATAAGGTCCTCCCTGAGCCTTCTCTTCTCCAGACTAAACCCGCCAGGTCCCTCAGCTGTTCCCCGTCATACTTGTGCTCCAGGCCCTGCACCAGCTCCATTGCCCTTCTCTGACCCTGCTCCAGCACCTCAATGTCTTTCTTATAGTAAGGGTCCCAGATCTGAACACAGGATTTGAGGTGCAACCTCACCAGTGCCCAGTACAGGGCAGGGATGATTACAGCCCTGGTCCTGATGCCACACTATTGCTGATACAGGCCAGGATGCTCTTGGCCTTCTTGGCTGCTGTTGAATTCCCTGCACAGTCTATTTAGAGCAGGCTTGGGCCATTATTATGTTCTGTACATATTTTGTGTGCAACTCCATCATTATTTAGCAAATTATTGTCTCTAATATGAATGAATTTTCCCCTAGTTTGCATTTTCCCACACATAGATGATCAAAGTCATGGAACTTACATGGCCACTAAGTCAAAGGGAGTAACAAATAATAGGAGCTACTGTGTGTTATATTGGAACAGGACTAGCTGCAGAAGCCAGATAAAGCCTACTTGTATCTGTGAGCTCAGTCCTGCATACATGAAGTCAAAAAGATCTTTGCCAATGCCTTTTCTGGGGGTACATTTGACACTGTTCTTTGAATATGTGTGAAGATATCATAATTTAAATGAAAAGAAATTCCTCCACATCATAATTGAAATTTCTATTTATTAATAAGTGGTGCAGTTTTTAAAGACAGAACATAAAAAAATCAGTTAAGAAGTATTGTTTGCATAATATATTGAAATAAACATATTAAAGTTGTTCAAATATTGGACAGTGCCAGAATATAAATTACACATACAGTTTAAAAATTACAATAAATAATATTATAAAGAGCACTAAAGGCCACTTGTATAAAAGTTTGTGTTCCCTTGTCAGCCAGAATCTGAAAAGCATCTTTGTAGCATGGAGAAAATTTCAGTGAGCAAGGCACAAATACTAGTAATAATAAGATGCCATAACTAGAAAACAAAATGCAGTTGGCTATGTAACCTTCAGCCTCAGCATATTCTTGAGGATGGAAATAGGATCCCATGACCAGTATTTTGCTTCACTTAACATCAGAGGGAAGCTACAAAAAGCTGTATTGGGAAGGATCAGATCTTGCAGCCTAAATAATCAGAATTAATAGTGATACCTAGGATCTTCATTCCTACAGTTCCCAGCTAAAAACACTTGAAAATGGCCCCTTTTTCCCCTGCACCTCTGGAAATAGCCTTCAAAAGTGAACACCCACATTCAGTGGGGCTCTTGGAAAAGGGACATCCCACCAAATTCATGAGGTGCTATAGCAAATCTAGGTTTGCAGCTCTTACGCACCTAAAGCTTAGTGGTGGGGGCTGTGGGATGCAAGGAATCAAGACCCAGCCCTTCTTCACATGGTCTGCATGAAGCAGGACAGATTCAGTTCTTACATGACACCCCTGCAATGACCGGGCTCCCAGCATGGCTGAATTTGCCCCTTAACTTGAATTTTCTGATTGCTTTAGGCTGTGATCTTGCACACTGGTTGGACCACGGTGCTCGCCTGAAGGCTACAAGGCAGCAGCCCCGCTACACACGGGTTCAGGCGAGAATCAGTTTGTGGATCTGCTGGGCCACAATTTGAAGCAGAAAAACTGAAATCTATTTCCACTCTGAACCATAACAGTGCAGCAAAGTTACAGATAAAACCAGAGCCAGTGTAGCCAGAGTCAGCTTAGGAGCTGTTCAATCAATCTCCCCATGTCCTTTTAGTTTGATAGGAGCTAGACTGATTAATTCAGTGCAGGGAAAAGCCAAGGCAAGGACAACAGCCATTTCCTCACTAGATTCTTTTAAAGGACCAACTCCTTAAATGGAGCAGAAACCACATTTCCTATATATGCATTCTTTAACTGAACATTCACTTCTGCCTTAATGAAATATCCTCAGTTTGAATCTAAAGATAGGGAACTTGAGTGATAAGAGTGCTGCAAAGAGAAGCACACAATGTAAATACAAACTCACCTTCCCAAAACTTCCAGACTTGTGCCATTGGTTAGTGACTGAAAAATCAGCATAAAAATGTAGTTATGGAAAGCATCTTCAGATCAGTGCTGTCTTTCACAAGGAAATTCATAAATAAAGGAAGATTAAGACCCAGTCCTGCTTCCAGTGTAGCAGTTTGAGAAGGTTTCTTACCTTCATCTTGCAGAGGCAAGCCCCATGCTTTCTGATTATAGAAAACATCTCAAGGCCTGAAAGGAATCCTTGGCCACTTGTAGGACTTAAGTGTCAGCAAAGAGTGGATTCCAATGGTTAATTACTTTTAACATTAACTACATGTAAACAGTGTCAATGTCAGTCTAGATATGAGGAAGATCCAACCCAACTGAAAATGACAGCTGTTGAATTTAAATGTCACACTCAAATGGAAGGATGGATAACTCTAATCCATGCCCACAATGAAGAGTACTATTGACCCAGCTGCCTCTCTCAAACGAAACTGTGAATAACGATTCCTTTTTGTACTAAACCTATTCTGCAGAACAGGTCCTGACATTTTAAATGTTGCCACAGTCAATAATCACAGACACCTTATTTTGTCCAGTATCTACGGCAGGCACATAACTGAAGTTCCAAGGTTGATGCACTGCCTGGACTCAACCTGAACTGGAGTTTGATGAAGTTTGCATGCACACTCCAAATCAGGTCTCCAGATCTCACCTTGCTGGTGGCATCTTGACACATCTATTGTCAGCATAGAGGGCAGACTGATGCACACCCTAATTTCAATCCACATGATGTAAGAGACAAAGAGCCATTAGGCACATCACCCTACTGAACATAGCAGTGACTGGTTTCAGTGCAAAAAAAGTGTGTTAGAAAAAAAACATATTAAAATAAGCTAACCAGAACTTCCTTGGCTCTCTTCTTGGGTGTCTTCCAGAGGATTCAGTGATGTCCACTGCAGAGGGTCTTGTTGTGCTTACCACTACGGTTTTTTAAGAAGAGAAATGCCTTATTTTGCCAGTGAGCACATGATTTCATGATGTGGCTACAAATACCTGACCTGGTGTTTTTAAGCTGCACATGGTAAATTGGTGCTTACAGCCCATAGAAAATGGTCACTTGAAGGCAGTTCAGCTGCTAAGTGTCCACTTTGCGGGGCAGCCCAAGTCCCATTTTCTCTGAGGCTACACCCAGTGTGCAGGTGGGAACTCACCCAAGTCTCTGCCCTTGCTTGGACTTTCTCTTGGAATGAACGTGACTTTATAACGAGGTGATTTATGGATTTTCAGCAAGGTTGAATACTGAGAAAAGATTCCTTTTATATGATCTGGCATTGGAGAGATTAGAAACCAGAACTGAATAACTTGAGGGTGAATTGGATAGGGAGCTGAATGGCATAGTCCCTGTCAAAAATACTCATAGATTTCTCGGTGGGCTTTGTCTGCCTTGACTTTTGATTATTCAGATCTAGAAAGCATTTTAAGAAGGGCCAAGCTCAAATGGAATCAGAAGGAATGCCAGGCACTTGGCATATGAGAAAAGTGAAGAAGGTTTCTCTAGCACATACTTACATGAATTTCTGAACTCCAACAATATTAAAATCAGTTTGGGGTATTTTTTTCATTCATTTGTTAGGTGAGGGTTAAATCATGCAAGTGACCATAGACATGTTTACTGTACCAGCGAGCCCACAGCAGGCTCAATGCAGGTACTTGCAAGAATCGCTGATGGTCAAGGAATTCTTCTCAATGAGCTGAATGATGATGAATTGCATTTCTGTCAGCTAGTTCTACTCTCTGCCATTTTAGCCATGAAACTGCACCAAGCACAGACAATCTTTCAGGTCAATGGCTATTTTGTCAATTAAGTAATTACCAAAATTCTGCCTCGTGTCATTATAGTTGCTGCCTCAGAACAGTTCCATGGACGCAGCCCGGACTTAAACACTGTAACAGGTCTGCGCTACTTATCCAAGTAAGCACAGCAATTTGTTCTCACTGAAGATGTGTCCCAGAAGGATATATCATAATTTAGCTTGAAGAAGCAGATGAAGCAAGATCCTCATCCTTTAGAAGACTCTTCAAGCAGAGAATAAGTGATGAAGATGAAGGCAATGACTACTTCTGGAAGACAATCAAGTTTTCTTGGATGGAATGACTTATGAGATGTCAACGGTAATGAGGAATCAAAGATGTTTACTAAAGTGGGCAAAACCCAACAAGGTATCTTCCATTGAAGTGCATTCTATCCAGGCCTGTACAATACCCAGTAAATACTGGGAAGTCTGTATCTCTTTCTTGGAGATACAAGAGCTCGTGTTCTGATTGGATATAACAAGGATGCTCAGCTGTGCAGCTGCAGTATAATACATGCAGTCACTACCTCAAGTCCACTTTCTAACATTTTACATGGGCCAAATCCTTGTATCTTTGTTGGTCAGTGCTCTAGCAATGGCGTTGTAGCCATTGTGTTGAGTAAAATGGATCGTCCTCAACAGACTGTGGGTGTCTTTGATCAGTTGACATCTATGCAAGTCCCCTCTGCTCCACTGAAATTTGGTCATTGTAGATAATTGAGTTAAAGATGAGATTAATCTCATCCTACAGCTGATGTGTGCCTTGGTTCTTGTACACTGTACTCACCACCGTACTGATTAGCTTTCCATTAGCTGTAAAGAGTTGGTAGCCATCAAACTTGACATCAAATGGACACTACTTCATGCACATCTGGACTGACACCAGATAAGTCCTGCATAGGTTATTTGGACAGGCTAGTTTTACTAGCTGTATAGATACTACATTCCCATTGTAGTGGTCAGATCTTGGATTCACTTCTGCCCTGTTATCAGTGGGTTACATTGCTTTCCTGCTCTCTTTCAGCACAATTTCTAGTTCCCATGAAAAAATATTTGGACGAGGCCCTAGGGAGTATACTTATCTCTGTGTTGCTCAGGGACAGGAGACAAAATGGTATTTATCTATTTGTACATTGATCCCAAAGATGGCAGACATTCATGGATTTTATAAACACTAATGAAGATTTTCGAAGTAGTTTAAGAGATTTATATTTACATTTTACAATAAATACCCATGATCAATCCCAGGAGATGGCATCAATAATTTTAAATTCTACCCTTAATCTCACTTTGACATTGTATTACATGGGTAGTTGTATAAATGATCATGAGAAACATTCAGTGCACAAACCCATTTCATTAAGGTCATTAACTTTGACTCAGCTTTATCCCTGCTTTGAATATTAGATGTTCTTGGATAGGTTGATTAGAGATTGATTTACTTGTATCAGAAATGGATTCAGATATTATATTTCCACAAAGGGATATTGCTCCTAAAAATATTTTTACTTTGCTGTTCTGTTTGCAAACTGTAAGCAAGGACCACCATATCTTGCCTGTTATCAAATCACCATTGTTGTATTGAAGAATATCAGATAGATATGTATCATAGAAGAAATCAGCTGTACCATTTATATAGGGTAAAGTCATGCAAACCATGCTCAAAACTAAGCTCCTTAGTTTTGGTAGCATGAAAAAAACTGCATTAGTAAATTGTATGAAATGGTGCAGAATGACTACCACTAATATCACATGCATCTTATGCAGCCATTGGTGTTTTGAACTAGTAAGCTTTGGGTGTAGAGTAAGTGAGATATACAAAGTATGCTTACATTACATGGAGAAGTCAACCAGTGACTGCCCCCACACACGCTTTTAAACTGGCTTATTTGAAGGGGTCCATATTGAATCTGAAATCCCATCCCCTGTAGAAGACAAAGGCATGGAGCCACTTGGTGTGAAAGGGTCGGTGTCTGTGTCCGTTTCGCCCTCTGCTAGGTAGCGTTTCTCTCTCATCCATGCTGATCCCCCGTTGGGGCCAAACGGGAAGTCATCTTTGTCTTGGGAGATACTGAAGCCACTTGGGGAGCGCTCAAGTTCTTCATGGTTGACAGAGAGAAGAGACAATGGAGTATCACTGTCTCTTGTTAAGCTCCTTCTCTGCCTTGGAGACACCTTATCTGAGTAAGGGCTTTGTAGGTCTCCTTGAGAGTGGTAGCTAACCTGGGAGTCCATTAATGTAAATATAGGCAGAACTGTTGGCCTTTCTGCATATGAAGTTGAGGAAGGTGTGGCTTGCAGTTTGCCAGAGTTTTGCCCACCTATTGATACAGGTTGCGAATGAGTCATATGACCATGTGCTGAGAAACCATAGGGACTGACTTTGTTGACTGGAACCTGTTGGAAGTTGTACGGAGTTTCATGAGCACTCTGCTCAGTGTATTTATATATTATTGTTTTTAATTCAGAATATTTGTTTTCTTCTCTCCTCTCCTTTGCAGGAGAAGCAGTTTCTTTCAACGGACTTATCTCAGCGACCTGTATTTGCAGCTGTTCCATATGATGCATATGCATATCAACAAGAAAATCCAGTTTCTTCCCCATGTCATTAACCTGAAAAAGAACAATGTTATTATATCTTCTCAAGTGAGTTGTTCAGTGAAAGAGTCAATGTTTCCATATGTGTGCTGCCCCCAGAAATATTATGCTGCCATCTTTATTGGTCATGAAGGTAATTATAGGATAACCATGACTTTCCCTTTCCATGGAAGCTGGGCTACAGTGGATCCCAGTTTATCCTCTAACTGCCTCAGATTAAGAAGACCTGTCCCTATGACCTGTGCCAAAAATATTTCTTAGCATGGCTTGACATTTGGCAGTCCAGCACCCAACAGTAGTCTACAATGTTAGATTTGAAGTCTTGATACTACATAATAAATAGGTATTAGCAAACTGCAACTGATGGAATTGCCTTTGCACACAGGCCTATTTTCTAACTAACAATAGCCCCACAACATTAGTGTGGGGAGTAATTTCCTTTGTCTTTTGTTAAAACTTTGTGCGTAAACATTTACATTCCATGAAAGGAATTGATGAGAATCAATGCCACTTGCCTCTGTCTTATTTATGCATTTAAAAATGAGTGTCTTCTCTTGCTAAGCAGTAGGCTAGGATGCACAGAGGTCCCCAAAATGCCTGTGGAGGCAATCCTTTTGAGCACCAGACCCTACAAAAGAAGGTGGTGCTCACAAGAAAACACCAGACATAATGAGTATGGAGTTCAAGGGACTGAAAAAGTCCCATCTAAACATTGTGGTTAGGGTCTTGCTGCAATATATAACCTGGTGAATATGTGAATATTCATTCCCCAGGTTTCAAAATGTACACTTCCCATTTAATTAAAGTTTTTCATGGAAAACTAACAACATAATTCTGTGATTATTAGTACAAGATCTGTGTGAATTTTGATCACCAACAGTACAAATCCACCTGGATAAGCCAAAGACATACAGAAGCATATCATAATCATACCACCTCAGCCTTCAACATAGTCATGAAATTACATACCTGTCTTTCAACTTTAACAAATTTGCCCATCATACTTTGGTCTTCAGTATCTGCTGTAGATGCTTTGGCTACATATGGATCATTTCTATAAAGAATTAATAACTCTATTAGTGTTCAATGTTTCTTTGTATCACAGTAAGTAATTTACATCAGAAAACAGAATTACTATCTGAGTGGTATATTCATATAGCTCCTTGAAACCCCAGCTAAGAAAATATTTATAATAAAAACAGGAGCAAAAGTCTATGTGATTGCAATGCATTTCTAAAAGTACGTATTCCTGATTTCTAATATGAAATTCTTTTGTTTTGAAATTAAGATAAAGTTTAAGAAAAAAGTTAAAGTTTAAGAAAAAACCAGAAGCAAACAAAATTGTCAACATGAAAATGAAATTAATATCATGTTTACTGGAAAAAATTCAGGTTTGTGAGAAAAGTTGAGGTAGTCCAGATAGTGGGTCTAAAAATAGCCATGTGTTTTAAAATCTAGTTCTTTATAATTAGTGTCTTTAAAGATTGAATCTGAGTTTCAAGGCTGAGTGGTTGTTTTTTAACTCAATTTCATCAAACCAAATAGTGAGTGGCAGAGACCTGAAATCTATTTTGCTGAAATAAGTCTGGCCTGGAGATTTAAAGTAGATTCCTGAATAAATTTTCTTTTGCATAATTTCCCACTGCCTGTCCATCAGATGCACTAACTTCAGGAGGTGAGAAGATGACCTCTGTTAAACTAAAAAAGCTGTATTTATAATTTCATGTGATCTAAGATGGTCATTAGCAAGTTAAATACTTATCAAGATATTTCTAAACCAATGTCAAAGGAATCTCAGTCTTTCCATAACCTATGTACAAATCTAGAAAACCAGTTTCTAAGCAGTTGTTCTTTGACATGACTTAGAACAAATATACCATAAAACTTTTCTTTTAACAGGTCCAGCTTTTCTCTTTTGACATAATTCAAAATATAGATGTGAATACGTCTTACTAGAGTAACTGTAACTTAAACGTGTCAGATTTTGCACATTGGGCTCCTGATGATATAGGCTCATTCAAATCATGCAATCTGCTTTGTTTCCCAAATAAACATTGCCTTTTCCATATATGCAGGTCTCTGTCTTCACATTTACGTGTTTTTTGGTATTTTAAAATAAAAATATTGTGGATAAACCAGATAAAGACAAGTTAATTTATTTTGCGTAAGATTACTTTTGTTCTCAGCAACCACAAGAGCTTTGGGGACAGATTGCTGATGGTCTTATGTGGGTCTTCACTGGTATTTATTGACAGATTGATAGTTGTAAATAACAGAAGAAATGCCATTTATTACTGAATTCTTGCTACCACGAATGCAGCAATATAATAACATGTTGTAACTTTCACATCCAGAAACCTGGTATTGCAATTTATTCTCAGTAATTCTCACCAGTCATTATGTGAGCATCATTAAAACCCTGTGTTTGCCATTTGGAACTTTTTTCAGTTCACAAGGTAAATGAATTGCCTTCAAACTATTGGTGATGCTTATTGAATCTTTAAGTGGGTTGGCTAGGTGAATGGTAGAAATTCAGTACATCAACAACCAAATGTACATGTTTCATAAAAAAGCACATTTACAGACCACGGAAAGCTGAGCTAGACAAAGCCATTAAGCTTAAATTTCCGTCATACGTTATTCCTAGGGAACCTTGTGGCAACATATCCCCCTCAGTATCATTACTGAAACAGTGGCTGGCTGGATGAATGAAGGTCATGCTATTGCTATGAATGAATAGTTTTATTTCTGTTTTGGTGTGTGCAAAATACTAGGCATTAAAAAAATTCACCTGGGAGACTGTTGTGAAGGGTAAGAAAAAGCTCCTCCTTTTTGGGATTTCTTATGCTTGGGAGTAGATGGAGGTCCAGGTGTAAAAATCATATCTACTCTGGAAAAAAAGAAAAGTGCAACTCCATAAGTCCATCTCCAAATGCTAACACATGATAGAAAATGCTATGCATCTCTGCAACAAATAGTAGCCAAAAAAGCTAAAAAGGAAGCACACTTTGATTTGGTAATATACTGAGGGTCATGATGTGTTTGTTCTGTTCTGGGTCCACTATTGATATACGGAATTGTAATTACCTGGTAATTTCATGATAATAATTATCTAGCTCACTATTTCCAAACATTGCCATTTGAAATACATGACTTCACTTCCTTCAAAGGAACTAAGCAGTGTAATTGTCAAAAAATTCCAGTAACCGCTGCTCCTAAAAACGGGAGGAGAGACCCATCAGGTTTAGTGAAAATCAGAATTTGAGGAAAGGTGGAAATTCCTGATACTCTTAATAATCCAATGACTAGCTGCTTGGACTCAGGTGAGTATCTGAGAGGTGCTCTGCTGTCCAAGATCACACAGCACGTTGGTCTGAGGAAAAGAAAGTATAAGGCATGTAGATGCCATCACAGGTAGGAGCAGATTTCTAACATCATGAGCCCTCCTCAACTTCACAAGTTCAAAACCATACTCCTGCAATGAAATCTAAGCTTATGTGATGCAGAGCTCAATTTACAGAGTAACAATGGTGTTTCTTGGTATGATTTAAGAGAGCAGCTTTTCTAGAGCAGTAATAGTGAGGTAGGAACCAGATTTCTTATTATATCCTTGAAAATGAGATAGCCCAGTACATGGAAAAGCACTTTGAAATAAGAACCAGCTACACTAAGCAAAGACATAGCTTCTGGGTGGCCTTGCGTGCAAACAGAACAAATATGCTTTAATTTTGCCAGCATAGCTACACATTTTCCTCATTTACCAGAGGATTCTTACCTTGCCTGAAGATATTTTATTCTGGAAAGCATATCAAGATGCCCTGCTGAGTATTGCTCTATCACATCCTTCACATCATAAGGCCTCAAAGTCTCCTTGAATTTTTTTTTATACAGACGAAACTGGAGTATTCTGCATAATAAACAGAAAAATTATTAACTTCTTATATAGATTCCATCATAATAATTTGCAGTTTTAGTGAATAATTGATAAATATTCTGGATGTTTGGAAATGGAGGATGTTATTCCAAAACAAGGTAATAAAGCATAAGCAGAGAATCTCTAATATCATACCACATTTTTAAATACACAATACTTGGCTTTTCTTAGTCAATAGGCTAAAACAAGTTATATGCACAAAATGTCTTTTTTCAGCACTAAAATCATAACTAGAAATGATTCAAAGCTCCAAAATCACACGTGGAATTTGATTTTGCACCACAAAGTAACAGAAGATTTTGAAGTTGTGAAGCTAAAGCTGACTTTTTATGTTTCAGACTCTTACAAAGCTAATTCATAGCAGATGCAATGCAGAATCATTCTCAGCTTTGTTTTTGTTTTGCACCTGGGAAAACTTTGGACAACAAGGAAATGCTAGTTAGGTAGAAATATGGAAGTTAAGAAGTCAGCAGCAGTTCAAATTGTGGAGAAAAGAAAAAGCCTCAGAACTGCCTGAAGTGTCCCTGAAGAAACAGCCATGTGACATTACTGTTGTTGTAATAATAATTAATAATAATAATAACAGTTTCAGCTGCTGTTATATTATTTATAAAATGCCCTAGTAAGTAATGGCAGATTTCTTATAATAAGAACCAGCGCTGGCCAGAGCATTTGAAAACTGTTCGGCATTCTGGCTTTTGTTCTTTTCTGTTTATACATTAGTTCACACTGCCATATCTTGGTAGACTAAACAAATAAAAAAGAAGCATACTCAGAGAATGAACAGTATTCTTGTTCTTTAATTCCAGAGTTGGGATCTAAGGGTTTGCTTTCTCAGTAAAATCTTCCTGTTCTTATTGGTCTGAATTGAGGAATTGCTGTGATTTGTTAAGATTCTGAGCTGGTTTTTATTCAAGGTTGGTGGCTTTTTTACTTGTTTTCATAATTTGCATAAACTTTCATTTAGCAAAGATAATTCTACTGCAACTTTTTAAGGGTTCTTGACTCTTTAAATCTGTGGCTCATGTATTTTCAAGATTTTAAAATTAAACATATATCAATTCAGCCAAACTACATATGATTGCAGCAAAACTATACATTTAAACAGGAGAAAGGGAAAATAAGAATCACACTATTATCGATTTCAGTTTTGAATCCTGACCCTGAAAACCCATTAAGTGGTTCTATCTGAAAGAATTACTTCCCATTAACATTTGGGGACTGAGTAAACTGTACAAGATAGCACAAACATTAATACTAAAAAAAAACCAACCAAACAGCAAACAACTTGGCTTAGGACTAAGTTTAAAGGGAAATTGTACGAATCAATTAGATTTGGACAGGATGTGGGAAAGGAAGTTTTGCAAAGTAATAATAGCATGTCTCATAGAGATGGGGCTGGAAAACAGGACAGATGTATAGTCCATGTTTTAAAGCAAGCAGGTAGCAGGGAAAGAAAGAGAAAAGTACAGAGGAAGCAGGGATGAAGGGACTTCCATCAGGAGGGAAGCAGTCACGGGTAACATGAGCAAAGCCTGGATTTCAGCAGGCATGAGAAAACTTGGGTTCTTAATAACTGGTTCTCCTGCACCAAGCTGAAAAAGAACCAGGAGAATATATACTATGGCTATATAAATATAGGCATATGGTTATAGATTTATAACCATCTTCCTTGAAGTTTTTCTAAGAAGATAATTTTGGAGCACTCCAGACTTGCAGTATCTCACCTGGAAGGTAGTAACTTCCTAGCTCAAAACTCAACAAATTCTGGAATAAAAAGCAAATGCAATAAAAGCAGAGTATTTTCCTATGGGGGCATTTTTAAGGGAAGAAAGTAAAAAAATACTGAAAAGTAACAGAGCATCTATGAATGACTTCTATGCGCTTGATGTGCTAAACACATTATCAAGCCTTACTAGGAGTTTTCTAACCATAGGGGATATCTCCTGTGATATGAATATAGAGGTGACACACGTCACAAGCTGAAAACTGCTGAAGTGGAGACCTCAGCATCTATTAAAAGATGACAGCTGAAAATTATATTGCATGCTCGTACAACTGTGAATAAAGAAGAGTTGAGTCAGCTCCGAGTTTATCGTTAAGCTAAAATTTCAGTTTTACATAAACATGATAGTAACTAAATTGAGCAAGATACTGTATTTACAGCATATTTTAATGAGGAACTGTAAAGGATTTTATTTTATAATAAAAATACTTAGAGGGTACCTTGCAAAAATGGCATTGAAACATATTTCTCTCTCTGCATATTTTCAAAAAGGACTTTAAAAAGGGTCTGTCTTGTGCTTTTCAGTATATCTAGAATTATCAAAATGATGAGAAATATCTAATCTATTGCATTTTATAAAAGCAAGAACAGTAGCAATGAATCAATATGTAACAACATGGTAATGTGGTGTCATCAAGCATAAATACACAAACTCAAAGCAAAGCATTGAGGTGCATCAAAGACATTTACCTGACAGCTCGGATGGCTGTCTTGAATGTGGGAATCATATCTTCCATAAGGAAGTCGCTACCATCGCCTCTCTCTTCTGCCATGTTTTCACCTGTTCCTGCATCTGAAAAGCAGGTCAAAAAACAGCTCTGTGAACATCTGACCATGCAATATTTAGAGGGAAGTATGGCTACTAAAGAACTGTATAAAATAAATGGAGTTTAGTAAAGGAACATCTCTTGCAGATTCCTCTTTCTCTGGTCAGCTCTTAAAAGCATTTTAATAATTCTGGTGGGACATTGTTTGAGGGATCTCTTCACAGATTCTAGCATTTTGGAAACACTGGGAACTTCTCTTCCTTATAAAAGTTCCCATTTTTATAAGATTTCCGAATGAGAATTTTTTTGCCAAAATCATGTTACATAAGGCTAAAACAGATGTAGAAGATAACAGGCCAAGTTCTCTTCCCACTTGCACTGCTTGGAGCTCATGTACCTTCATGGAAGAGAATAATCAAGTTTCCAGTGTAGACACCCAAACTACATCCATGGTATTATGCTCAGTGTGGATTGACACACTGGCACAATAAAGGAGAAACTTATTTGGAGACCATTTAGATGCTATAGGCAAGAAGAGGAAAATGTGTGCTCAAGGAAGCTGACAGGAAAAATGTCCTATAACGTTGCATGGACACCCACTGGAAATCTGCTGAGAGGCAGCAGTTGTAGAGAGAATGGGAGGGAAACATCCCTCTATAAAACAAGGTTTTAAGAGATTGCTGTGAGGAGATATTTGAGATGTCTGGACCCAGGCAAATGCAGGGCTGGATGCAGTCTAGGAGGGAGCTACCTTAACATAGCATCCCTGCTGATAAACCAAGCCATGACGGTATGTGCCCTTTTTTTGGGATATAGTTTCACTTCCCAGTGAGACCTCTTTTTCTAGATCAAATATGCTGATTTAATCACCAGCTTTATCCCATATCAATTACTGTTTTTATGGAGGGCCATTGTCTTATTTCAAACATCATATTGCCTGAACTCCAGCATTCATTTCCTGGGCCTTTCCCAAATGTGCCAGGTAAAACCAGGGAACAGCCATGGTTGGCCCAGAAAGTCACAAACCTTTAACAGAAGATGCAGAGGAACAAAGTAAAATGGGGAGAGTAGGGGATGGATATAAAGAAATCAACACAGATGGGCTACCTTCTGAGCTTTGCCAAAAAGCGTACGCTTTCATTCGGAATGCAGTGCGAAAACGCTCCTTATTATTCAAGACAACATTCTTAGGCTCTTTTGAAGGACTTTCTTCAATGGCATCTACATTCAGAGGGGTAAATAGCTTTCCTTTAGTATTGGTACCACGAACCCGATCCAAGAGACCCAGCTTTTGGCTACAAAATAAGCAAAAGTAATCATTTTCCTCCTTTGTACACTTTTAACTTGTTTTCATGTTTTAAGCTTTTAATGGGATAAATAAATGTTTTGTACACAAGGACACTGCTGGGGCTACCATAATACATCAATGTCTTTGTAAGCAATGGTTAAGCTCCACAGATAATTAACTGCTTTTTTGAGCATTTTTTGTATCAATGTTGAAAATGTTACCAGAGGGTCTTTGTTATCCTCTCCAGGTAGTGTATCACAGTGCTTCAGCTCCTGTAGCAAGTCTGCACATTAATTATTAAGAAGGAAAACACTGCTACTTAAGCAGTTTTATTGTCTAATTATAAGGATGCTTGGTTTCCCTGTTCAGCGCTTTCTCTAAGCACTGAGTCTATTGAAGGCTATTAAATTAATAACTCACAGATTATAGAATGGGTTGGAACACCTTCCACTAGACCAGGTTGCTCCAAGCCCTGTCCAGCCTGGCCTTGAACATTGCCAGGGATGGGGCAGCCACAGCTTCTCTGGGCAACCTCTGCAGGCTCCTCAGCACCCTTATATCTAATCTAAATCTCCCCTCTTTCAGTTTAAAGCCATTGGCCCTTGTCCTACACCTACATGCCCTTGTAAAAAGTTCCTTTCCAGCTTTCTTGTAAGCCCCTTCAGATACTGGAAGGCTGCTCTAAGATCTTCCCAGAGCCTTCTCTTCTCCAGAGTCAGAACCTCAGCTGTGTTCAGCCTGTCTTCATAGGAGAGTCGTGTATAACCAGGAGTGAAATAAAGTCAGGTGTGCTGTGAACTAAATAAACTATCAGCAAAATACTGTGAAGTCATTGTCAAGCAATAACTAGGTACATAGTAGGGCAGACTACCCAGTTCTCTTCATCATTCACTTTCAATCATCTCTCACTATATAGAAATCGAGGTGACCTATATGAATAAGCTGACATATTTTGTTCCTCTGATGATTCCTTGCCCTGTCCTCTTACAGATACACTGACCAAAGTCATTTGTCCTTCAGTGACAACATATATCTAGAATTTAATCTACCTGCCACATCTACCCGCATTAATAAACCTTCTGACAGCCTAGTGAGTGTAACAGACTTAAAGGCAATTCCTAATGCCAAAGAAAAGAGCAACACAAAAGGAATTTGCCATCAAGTAGATCAGCTTATATATGGTCTGAAGACTTTGTAGGCAACAGATGGTAAAAATATTTGATTTGCTTGTTTATTTTGCTGATTAAATATTTGTTAATTAAAAAAAATAATAATGGGGCTATGCCATGGGAAGAAAGCCTGCCTTTTAACCCATTCCTGGACATTGCAATGTGGGACAGCTATGGGGAGAGCTGAATTGAGCACACATGGCCGAGGGGGAGCTCTGTGAGGGACAAGGGTCAAGCAGGTTGAAGGGTGGGAGGGAAGTAGCCACCACAGCTAGCAGGTTTTCGAGAGCCACAGATGGGAGCAGAGCTGAAGGACAAACAGCAGTGGTGACCAGGAAAGAGGTTTCGTAGGTATGCAGAGGAATCTGTGCAGCACGCTCGGCTGAAGCCACTAAGATTGCTGGCAGGAGAGGCAAGCATAGGAAGGGTCCACCATGCAAGGACACAGTGGGCAAAGATAAACGGAGACTTTTGTGCAGACTTTGCAAGTGAAGGGTCTCCCAGAACTATCTATCGTCTGTTTAAGGAGTTATCGTGTCAGATGGATTATTTTTAAATTCTATAATCTCTGATGTCATTGGTACACCTCTTTGAAAGAAACATCTATTTGTATCTCAGAGTTCTGTCTGTTGCAGTATCCCACCACAACGGAAGTCTGTAGGACATTCCTTTTAGAATGGTGAAGGTGATATTTAAAGACACATCACAGCTTTCATAGGAGTGCTGACTCTGGTAAGAATATTGCAGTTGTCCACATACAAAATTCCTAGCTGATCCGAGCATTGAACATCATATCTCTTGCAGGGGTTTCTGTTTAGTTGTTTGGTTTCTTTTTAATATGAATTATTGGGGCCCTCTACTATCTGTTTCTGATTAATGTTTCTTTGGCACAGGAGGTAATGAAATATGGGTTTCCTTGTCATACAAGATGGAAGCACTAAACCTTTGTGTAAGAGGCTTTTTCAGGCCTTTTCAATTTTCTTGTTGACAATATGACAACAATTGTGAATGCAATTTCTACAGCCTAGTAAATTCAGACACTTGTCCTGTCATTGCATGTATGAATTGCATGTGTGTGCGCAAGTATGGAAGTAGCAACTAAGAAGAACTTGTGTAAGTACGGAGACACAACAAATCTTGATAGGTTTCCAGAAGATAAAAGCATGGACTTGAAGAATTAGAGCAGCCTAAGTGGATGGCATTAAAGTTACTCAGACTTCGTGTCATTTCCTAAGGAATTCATGGCACAGGGAGAAGATACTCAAAATACAGACAAACAAAAACCAGGGGTTACTTTCTTCTTTGTATAAAAATAGGAGATGCTGATTGTTGATATCTGCAGCAAATTAACCACCACAGAATGTGCATGGCAGTCTCATGTTCAGTCATAAGAACTTACTTAAAACGTAAATTCCACAGTGCTTGCTTTTGGGTTGGGTTCTTGATCCGATTGATACACCAAAACATTCTGAAGGCTGAACTGGTGGTGAGTGCAGAGTACCAACAAGTGATTTGTGTTCTAACAATATAGATAGGGAGAAACCTATAGCCTCTTTTCTGCATCACTTTCACTTCTCTGTAGTAGAGGCGAGGTTTGAGAGCAGTAGTGCTTTACAGGACAGATGTCTTAACTCTGTGGCATTTCTGTGAAATCTGGATTCTTCAGATGCTCAGTTACCATATATATAGGAAATATGTACACAGGAGAAGATAACAGCTACTGAGAAAGTTTTGAAAGGGCATGAAAAATAAAGCTGAGGAAGTGAATGTCAATTGACTGACTTTTATGTGGTTTTATTGTGGGAAAATATATAGAGAAAATAAATTCTTGTGTCTCACTAGTAATAAGATCAAAGTTTGAAGGAGAAATTAATTTCAAGAAGGATGGTCAAGAAGAGTGAAAACATAGAACATCATTGAAAAGTATGTGCACCAAACGTCTTGCTGAATGATAACAGTGTCAGCCAGGCAATATAAACTGGTGGGTATGAAGATGTTAGAGAGATTGAGCTTGTGAATTCTTCAATGTGAAGAAAAGAAAGATAGAGCAATTAAGCATGCTTGGCATGGTGGTAAAATAAGCTACAAGAAGGAAGGAATTGAAGCAATTTTTGGATGAGTAGATCTAATCAGTGATAACAAAATGAAGTCATTTTTCTTTAGGTCTAAATTGTATGTACAATAGGCTCGTTGTGAAGATCAGGTTTTCCTGGTGGGGGTATCAATAGGTCGCCAATGACTCTCAAATGACAGGGGAGACTATAGTCCTGCAGGATTTCAAGACTGGACATATTGGATGAAGAGCTTCTGGAGACAGCTTCCAGGACGAGAAAGATGAAATCTAGAAGTAAGCCTTAGATGACTTCCTCAAAGACAAGTAGTGGTCACATAGTATGCATTGTCTTTGAGTAATGCATTAGATGTAATACTATAGAACACAGAGAAGTTCTCAAGACAAGAATATGTTTAAGGCGGAGAACCTGAAAGATGAAGAAGCAGAAAAATAGGTGTGACAGAAGATTGCCATTGCTTTTAAAAAGCAGTTTAATATTGTGTTAGGAGATAGTTCTCATTAAGTATGGCCTCTGACTCTTTCCAGAAACTCTCATAGTGCTTCAAAATGCATACCCTGATATCTCAGATTTGCCCCTTAAAACTCCTATAGTAACTGCTTTCTTTACCAGAAGACAAGGAGGCACAAAGTGCATTGAAAGGATCTATAGGGATCAAACCAGCAGGAAAAGGCTCAGTGGATGATGTAAATTATCCAAAACATTACTCTTGAGGATCATTTTTGTTTCAGTATAGGACAAAAATATAGGCAATGTATGAAGAAATATCTGCCATGGTGCTATACGAGAACAGGAGTGATCATGATTTCATATCCTACTCATAGATCAAAACAGATCAAAATATTCCTCTGCATTCAGCACAAAAAGCTACTTATTTGCAGTGATATTTTTCCACTGCATATGTAGGCACACTCACGATTGTTTTTGGAGGGAAGGATTTTAAGGTATCAGTCAAAAGGGGTTATCAATCAAAAGGGGTTATCAACCAAAAGCTTTCCCAAATTCTCTTTCTAGGGGATTTCTCAACTTTCCTTGTTGATAAGTGTCAGTTTAGGAACAAATTGTTGGCCTGAGACTGTTGCTTGAGCATCCCAGGTTTAACAGCACTCCTCTGATCTGCCTTAAACTGTTTAAAAAGTTTAATGTCCTGTCTCAGATTAATCTTTTGACCTCTTTCTCTAATCAGTGGGAAGTTAGCAACCTACAGTGCAGTTCAGCTCTATTTCACTTTGGGATGACTTTACATTTGGGAAGAGCTTATCTCTTGTTACTGACTACAGAAAGATCTAGATGAGAAGTCATTAGTCTAAGTTAAAGTTATCTATCTGAGCTGAAGCCTTCCTCATTAATTGATCCTGATGATTAACCCTTAAAGTAACATTCAGATTCATAACAGTAGGTTTATGCAACAAATACAGACAATTGTGTTCATATCCAGGCAGCCAGAGCAGTGGAATCATCAGAAAATAATTCATCAGCTTCACATGAAAAAATACAACAATATATTGTATACAGAAAGAAAAACCCAAAACAAAACCCAAGCTTTGTTCCAGGTAATGACTAGCTGTCATCAGAAAAAAAAAAACGGACTTTATTCTCATTTCCAAGGGATGAAATCTGGGTCTGCTGGGGTTTTTGTTTTCATTGTGCTGCTTAAAAAAAAAACAAACTTAGGAAACATTTGTTCTAATGACACAATCTCCTTCATTGAAACAGCATGCTCGTGGCTCGGTCTCAGAGTATGAAACATGCGCAGATCACATCATCCGTTATGAGAATGGCTAGGACAGTGGTTCCCACCCACAGGGTCATGTACTGCTGCTTGTCATTCAGGTTCCTCCTACTGATATTAGCTAATCTTTCTCCTGCTGGGACAGTGGTTTGATTTCATTTGGCTTCCTTACATTCAATAAATGTGAATCCCGACTTCCAGTGCAGTTCCAGAAACTGGGTGATTCAAATTAGTCCCAAAAATGCTGATAAAAGCGCAGGGTGGTTTCTCTGACTAGCTTGGATATGTTGCTGTTGCTTGTCTTGCATGCTATTGCATCCCCTCCCTTGGATGGAATACAAATATTTCCCAAGCCTGTATCTTTGAAGTGGATTCCCAGAATGAGAACTCCTCAACTCTGTGGTAGATACAGATCTCCATAAAGGGAGGAAGGCAGAAGCAATGCAGACAGTTTGGCTTGAAAACTTCTTACCTGAAGAAAAACTCAGCTCTCAGATTCTTGCTCTCCAAGAGCAGTGGGAATGATTTTGGACCATCTGAGAGATGAATTTGATGGCTGGATATACAAAACATGGCTGGCTTCTGCAGCAGATGTTTTTCTGTTCCTCAGAATAAAGAGTGGGAACCACTGAACTAGAAATACTTTTCCAGAAACAGTCATGCAAGGAAATAGTGCAGTTACATCGCATCATGCAAGTCAGATACTCTCCACTCTGTGCTTTGCCTAGCCTTGGAGTTTCATAAACAAATGGCACATGTATGAGAAGAAAAATAACGAATTAATGGTAACAGTGAATCAAACACAACCCTCTTCCATGTATTTACCATTCTCACCTAACACAGACTAATAGAAATCAAGAAATGTTTCCACATTGTTCACAGTTTAGCTAATCGCTAGATTTAGTTGGTCTCAAGGAACTGGAAGCAAAAGGCAGTCATACTTAATCCACTATTTTAGTACATTATCAGCTGTACTTGTATGAGTGAACGTAGCTTTGGAAAATTAAACATTCTGAATGAGATTTCCAGAAGTATGCTGCTTTGAACAATTCCAAATAGATTAACACAAAACTAACATTATGAGGACAGCCATGAACCCTGCAGTGAACACATTCAACTGATCTCAGAGAGTCCATAAATTTTCTTAATACAAACCAAAGAGCATTCAACACTTACAAATTCTGAACTTTGGCCAATTGGCTTTCCCATTTATCAATTAACATTCTTTTCTATAGAAAGGATCTCACCAAAAGTGCTCTATCTCAAAATATTTGAGTACAATTTCTTGACAACTAATGTCTTTATTTAAAGTTACTTTGCACCCTGAATCTTGAGGGCTTAATTTGCATGTTTCTAATGTCTGATGAGGAAATATCCCTTTTCAGCCAAGCAACTTTGACCCTCTTTGGTGGTGTATAGCAACATTGGGATTTAAGAGCAGGCATGACTCTAAATCCAAACTCATCTACCATCCAGATTATTTGCCCAGAAACATAAACACAAATCCTAATTTGGGCTTAACTTTGATGCTCTTGAGAAAGAGCAAGAGCCCTTTACGTACACTTTGCTTAGTGCCTCTTCTCATCCACACTTTCTAAAATGATTTGAAATGGGTAAAAATAAGCAATGTCACATAAATCCATGGGGAGAATGATCCAAGTTTGATTCTTTGTGAAAACAGGATGGATATTTTTCTTCAACGGATGTAGCCATCATGGATGTTGACCCACTCTTTACTTTGCAGTGACCATATCTCCAGGTATTAACCAGTAAAACAAACTGCAAAATCAGTATCTCTTGAATATTTTGCATGGCCAATCATGCAATGAAAGAATGAAGTGCTTCACTAGCAGGCCTCCAAAAGCTAAAGAGCTTCAGCTAGAAAAGTTGAGTTGTGTGTCGATGATTTCATGGTTGTGAAATGAAGTGGGAATGAGAACAAAGAGCTGAAGTTGAATGATAGCAAGATGTTTGTGTGGAATAGAATTAAAATGCTTGACAGTTTAGTCAAAATATTATTTCTGATGATATGTCTTTCAGATTCCTGAAGCACCACAAATCATTTCTATCTCTCTTTGCAGGAAGATAAAATTCTTGCCCCACATCTTAGGTCACAGTTCAGCAAGATATTTAAGCATGTCACTAACTTTATTCAGATGATCAAAAGCATCCACTTGTTTTCCATTTGCTGAACCAGAACCTGCAAATACACATGCGGAGATGTTCTACTGAAGTCAGATGCAAAGTAACTTGCGTGAATTTGTGTTGGCAGGGTTGGGACTGCATAAAGAATGTTATTTAGATCTTATAGTATATTTTTCTTACAGTAAATTTCTAAATTATTTGCAGAGTAGGTTAGTATCATTCTCATTCTATGGAAACAGAGAAAAGCACTTGTTTCTAAGCAGATCATTGGCAGAGCCAAGATTATAACCATGTTTTCTGAACAGCAGAACAATGAACTATCTACAAGGTCATGCAACTTTATTTTTATGCTTAAATAACTTTCCAGTCTTATCGCCCTTTTTATGGTGGTTAGATGAACTACTGTAGTAAAAACAGAAAGTGCAGGCAGAGAATGGCATGCAAGAAATATGAAAAGAGTAAGGCTTGATTGTTACTTGAATGTATATACCTAAGTTTTCTTGTGAGGCTTGATCCAAAGAATGACTCCCTACTAAACATGACATTACTGTAAAGTGAAGAAAAGTTATTAAGATGAGACGTTAATGATTACCCATGAAAAGCGCTATGAAAAAGAATGGGAACAGCCTTTCATTTGTAGTTAATGTAGTGTATAGATCAGAGTGCCTTTTTTCTTACCCCTTCATGTTTTGGGCAGATGTATTAAGAAGAAATGTTGACAGTGACATTTTCCACCTTTAAAAATATGATTTTATTTTCATTATCCCCTTACTACTGGCAATACAGAAATGCACTACATCATATGCACTCTTTCATACTTGCATAATAGGAAGGACTAGATTTCATGGTGTGCTAGGTTACGGCAGTGATTAAGGAAAAGTAAGGTAGCCGCATCTCTGGCATGAAGTCAGTCAACTCCTCACCAGTGAGCAGTGAATAACATAACCCCAGTTCTTCCTGGTTTGGGGGATTATAGAGAGCATGTAGGGAAAATGCTACTCTTAAGAGAGCAGCATCAGATGTTCCAATTCACTGCTTACAGAACCCAGCCTACTGTTTAGCTGAAGGGTAGTCCAATGTGCTTTTCATCATATCTCACATCTTCACAGCTTTAGTTTAAAGGGAGCTTCAATAAAGCCTTGGGCTGCTGCCGAAATTTAATTGGCGTTCTACAATCACAAGTCCTTCCCAGCAGACTTGCCTTGTGATCCAGCTTCTGAAATGGACTCTTCCACTCTGTTGTCTCCCGTGTGGTTTTCCCAAATGGTCTAAGAACAACAAGAAGCTATGTCTAGCTGTGACTTTGTCATGGTGCCAACTCCTGCTTCCAAGGATTGATCCTAGAAGGACCTCTCATAGAGTTCAGCTCCATTACTGTGGAGTTCCTAAAGACCGTTCACACCACTGAATAGAAACCCTGTTGCTGAAGGTGCCACCCATCATTTTCTCACAGGAAGGCCTTATTTTAGTTTATTAACCAGGTAATTTTTCTGACCCTTCTGGGCAAGCTTTGGACCAATTCTTCTCTCTCCTTTATCAATCACCATTCAGATAAAACTGTTTATTACTACAGCTTTCCCATTAAGTAGTTAACTGATGCAAGAACCTGGAGACTGAGTTCACTCATGGGCTGTTCTCTCCAATAGGACTGTGTTCCCTTATTGCTCATTTATTTCAATAGAGTCTTAAACACAAACTGCAATGAAGTATGAGTAATACTTTCTATACTAAATCACTGTAGGAGGAAGATGACTTTTTTTTTTAATTATCTGGTCTGCAAATAAGAGTTTTATGAAAGATGGGAGGTGGAACTGTCAAAACAACCAGATTTTATGGCTGAGTCCCATGTCTACTGAAGTCAGTGGATGCTCCCACAAGTACCATCATTTGTCTGTTTACCTGGAGGGTTTCCAATCCTTTTAATTGACTGCTTACTTCCACAAACACATTCCTGCTAACAGGAAAGCTCCAATACAGGTTTACTGATTATTTTGCGGAAGGTTATTATATATGTCACAACATAAAATCAAGATCTATCCAGATAGAAAAAGGGGCCTTGGGATTACAGTTTTACAGATTTTGAGCCATGAGTCATTCTTTTCCATTTTTAATCCAGTGCATCAACAGAAAATGACTTCTTCTACTGACCTTAAAGATACACTAACTCAGAAGCTATTCCACAAACTGTTCTGCCACTGCAGGTGCAGGAGCTTCTCTAGTGAGGCTGTGACCAACAGCAAACTGCAGCAATCATTCGCTTGCCTGTTTTTAATCTGCTGCAGCATCTGAGTCAGAACATGCTTTGGCTTAATGTATGGAGTTACATACTCAAAAAGGATTTCAGCTCCTAAGACCTCTCCTATATATTAAACGCTAAAATTCAGCTGCTGCCAAACTCGAGATGGCTAAAATCTCCAGACACCTACATTAATACAACTGAGCTTCCTCCTGACTGTTTAGCCTGGGCAGTGTCATGGATGTACAGTACTCAAGATTCATAGGGGTTCACAAACTAGGCAACTCGCTCATGATGATGGTGGCAGGAGGGGGAAGATCGATATCTTTCCAAATAATTCAGCACTACAGCACTTGCCTGTATAGTAAGAAAACTTGGGATAGGTTTTTCTTCTCTGTTAAAGGAGGTTTGAACCCCAAACATTCATAGCAGAACTGCAAGTGTGAATGTTATTTTCCCCCTTTCCTTTACTGAAGCTGTCATGTGTTGCATGAAATGTTTAAAAGCAAAAAGAAAAAGATAACTTCTCATCAGGACAGGGTCTAGAACCCAGGCTTGACTGCTAACAGCTTTCAAATTTTGCTGCAATTCTTGCTTTTTTTCTCTGTGCTGCAAATGGGGATGCAAATAGAAATAGCTTAAGCACAGGTCTGAGGAACTATTAATCCTTTTAATTGCTGCTGACATTCATTGTGGGTGATCCATTGATAGCAATTTAGCATTAAGTATTTCATGTTTTCAGCCCAAGAAGTTGAATTATTTTATGTGCTCTTAAGTCTGCAACTTAGCTGGAGGGGGTTATAAATATGCCATTTCCATCTGAGACCTTGAAAGTTGACTGGCAATGACTGCTCTGCTTTAGTCTTCAGTGACTGACTGGCATTAGGATCAGTTTTTCTTTCATTCCCTCTGCTTGTAAATTCTCCCAGAGTGACTGGGAACTTTACCATCTCTTTCAGCAGTGGTGGGACCAAGACCTCAAACCTAATGTATCTTTTCTAGTACTGCCAGAGACACTGGCTATGATGCTGATCTGTCTTAGCCATCCATCTTAGTATTTATCTTCCAGAAATCTTTGCACATGGTGAACTGACACAGACTTGATCCCTTACATGGCAACATTGCTCTGTACAGGACTGTTAAGCAGTAACATGAAACAGAACTTTAAAGTCATCCCAGAACAATCTGGATGCTAAATCCTGGTTTTCTGACATGGATCAGAAGAAATATAGACTATGATTAATCATAACAAACAATAAAGCTGCTTACAGACAACCAGCAAGCAACACTGCGTTTATATTATTAGTATTTTAGCTGTGTTGTTAAACCGGGAAAAAAAGCAAGCAATTAGGAAATGGATTGGTTAACCATTTTTAATGACTATCTGTAGTGTTAGTAGCATGTTTTAGTTAACAGCTCATGAATCCACAAAGAACCATTTAACCTGCATCCTCCAACAACTGTATTAAAACAAGGCTATAATAATGGCAGCTATAATAATGGCAGCTACATACCTGGCAGTGCCATCCAATTGCTCTTTCCTTTTATAGAAGAGAGGAAGCATTACAAGAAAACAAGAAGAGAAGAATTACATAATAAATTCAGCAAATTTTTAAAACATAAATTGCAAATCTCTTCCTAATAGTTTATACCTCTTTTGTTCTGTGATAGCAGAATAAAAGCTGCATTTTCAACTAGCCATAAAGGAGAGAAAGCGATATAGGTTCCTGAAACCAATCTGTGCTGCTTAGTCTGGCAATCCAGTCTTTGGTGAGAAGTGAACTCCATTGCCCTCTCTCCCAGGACCTTATTTGCAAAGCACCTCTTAAATTTCAGATCACATCTGAATCACAGAAGAACCTACATACATACAACAAACAAGCTTGAAGACACAGTAACAAACCTAGACTCCAGGCAAGCCTGAGAATTATTCTCTGAACAAAGCCTGAGGTCAAGAAACCCTCTAGAAATGCCTCTGTAATGGAGAATTTGTAAATACATAGAGCACGAGAAGGAATAAAAAAAAAAAGGGAAATACATTAAGCCGCAATTAAACATTTTTTGTATTTTTTCTTGAGGTTTCCTTTTTGACATATGTGAAATCAATCCTAAAGTAGTGTATCGTGAATATAACAAAGAAAGACTTAGCGTTTCTAATTTGCCCTTTGTGAAGGTAGGAGCCTGAAATGTTTCTGCAAGTCAATTTTGAGCAGCATCTACAGTTGCAATATTAGCTCATTGAGCACAACTTATATGTGGAGTCCTTCGAGCTGAGCAGTAGTTTAAGAGTACATTTTTTCTCTGAATGACGCATAACAGGAGGTCAAGAATGAAAGTTTAAGCATAAACTTGGATAAGTAATGCCCGCTACTAGCGGATAGTCTATAGCTAAAAGTCTTGTTTTCATAGGGAAACATTTTAACATGTTAAGACCTCAAGGTGAAGAAAGTACCTGTTTGAAAGACAAGAAAAATGAGGCTCAGACAGCCTCATATCCATAAACATGAGCATCCATTAAGTCTGAATGTATTTAGGTATGGAATGTTTTCCACTGAACTCAGAAGTGGTGATTAAAATAAAACCATGACCCCAACTCCCTAGAAAAGTTTTCTTGTGAACCTTCAGTGAATAGTTTCAGTGGGAGGCAGTTTTAAACATGCTTTGGCTGTCCTCCACTGAATTATCCCCTTGGTCAATTGCTATTGCCAAAAGAGAAGCCTTTAACAAGCATTAATTATGTTCACATGCCATGGCCACCTCTGTGAACAACAAAATTCTCAGTCCTGTTGAGGTAAAGAAGGAAAACTAAGATTTTTCTGCATAGCCCATAACTTAAAACACATGACTGCATCATAGAGGGTGTGAGAAGTACACACACCTCTGAAATCCAGGGCTAAAACTTTATCAGGATCAAAACTACAGAGGGAGAAAATGAGATTTCCAGGACGATAAATTCCTAAGTGTTACAAATGGAAGGTGATGGTGATGCAGCCTTCTCTGTTTAATGCCAACATGAGAACCACTGATTGATTAATCCATGTGCCCCAATATGTCGCTCCAAGGGAAGGCAAAAATGGATCCAGAAGCCAAGAGCATGTTTTTCATTCTCAGTTAGGAAGTTAACTGGCAATGATGTGTTGCCTGCAAAAGCCTCACTGATCAATATAAAGTCTATGCTTCCTGTCCTTTTACTTCATAGAAAATAGGGAGGTGGACAATTCACTTACCTAAAAAATGGAAATGATACAATTGATTCATAAAACCTCCAGGTAGCAACTAGATCAATCCTGTTGGGGTTAGTGGCATAGTATCTCCAGGCAGCCTGAATTACAAGAGAAAGGAAATAACTAGTTTTAGGTAAAGCTATTCTCCAAGATGACAGCAGCAAGATTGCTTCAAAGAACATAACAATACACCTGAATGATTATCTAGAGATTAGTTACTCATCAGCCATACTTAATGAGTGCCACCATATGGATAAATTATTGACACTGGATTATGGCACTAGGAGGGCTGTTAAAGCAACCAGGACACGGAGAGAACTACCAACATCAACAAGACATTACATTTGACTAAACTTGTTTTATTCTCCTGTCTGGTGTGTCTAAAAGAGCTTCCATTAATGCTGGATTTGTCCACTATTTCTGGCTTAAGCTAGTTTACTATCTAGTGTATCCTCATAGGAAAGTTTGCGAAGCAATTTTCTATTTCAGCATTCAGCTCTAATCAAAATTCTTTCAGCAGTTACCTAAAACCACTGTAGCTAAATTAGCTCCTGCTAAGTGGAGATGCTTTAATTTAAAAGGTGAATTCAATTCACAGATGACCCCTGCAGCCCATTCTGTTTGCTAACGAGTGGTTTTAATGAGAAGAGCATAATACGCCACTCAGCCTGTTTTCCTGAGGACCGGTTTGATCCTGAGCAGTCCCAAACAATACTTCCATCTGATATCACAGAACCATTCTCTGTACCCTTATGGAAATGATGCCATTGACTTCACTGCCATCAGGGTGAGCTCCACACATACTACAAGTAACTCCTGTCAAATTTGTCAGCCCCTGAACTAGTAATTTTAAGCTTCATTTTCTGAATTGGTAGCAAAGGCCATAACTGTTGTCCAAGTAAGATAAGGAGTCTCTTCCCATCAAATCCTCTGATAGTCCAGTGATATAACAGAAAATCCAGGATGTGTTTCAGTTCTTACAAACCACACATACTATTTACATCATTTGCCTTGACTGAAACAGTCACTTGTCTGTTGTGTTATTTCTATTGCTGTTTTCACATCAATAACAACTTAACTTTGTTTGCACATAAAAGCACTCTCACAAGGGAACTGACAAAACCTGGATTCTGGGAAGAATATGTTTTCGACAGCTTGTTTTCTGTGATTTTGTGGCGCTAATGCAGCAGTTGGTTGGTTTCCAGAAGCTGGTGGATGAGAAAAGACACTAAAGACACTATAGACACTGTTCTTATGAAAGGTATTCTGGGAATTGAAAGATTCCCTCCTCAAAAACTGCAAGGATCTCTGGATTATCTTGCTCAACGTAAAAAAAAAACCAAAAAAAAAAACCAAACCCTAACTCCTCTATAAACACAGCTTCTCACCTCCTGCAATGGGAAATGAGAATTTGGAAAGGGGTCACCCTTCTTAACATGACGTACCAGTCTTCATACACAACACTTTATCAAGGAGGGGATAAGTAGCTGCAAACCTGGATGAGTTCAGCTGCTGGCTTTCTTCTTTTCTCAAAATGCTTTTGACGATGTTGCTCTTGGACCTTCAGTGCCAGTCCTGAGCCCAAAATGCCCTGAAAGCACAGAGGGATGCAAGATTTTAGGTGTTTCTTACTCAGAAAAGGCTGGATTAACTTGAGAGGAAACAGGCCTGTGGGTGGAGAAGGAGATGGCTACGTGGAAGCTTTGTGCAGTGCAGCATGACCTTCCCATTATTCCACTCACAAGACACCAGGCTCTCATGATCCTCTGGAGGACCACAGGCCACATTGTATCATCTTAAAGTCCTCAACAGGTTTTTTGCCTACTGCTTTCCAAGCTGGAGATACCAAGCTGGTGTATTACTTTCCACTCAGGTAGACACAAACTGTGCTTGAGTGATAAAAGATCTATGCTAGGCATACTCTGGATTTGGGTGTGTGGGGCTTCCCATTCTCTGTGAAATGCTTTCCATGTCTTGATGTAAAGGAAAAATATCTTAAAACCTGGACTTGGCATGGTTCCTATTGCTGTTCAGCCCATCTCACTCAGATCTTGTCTTGCTCTTACCTGAGGACTTTGCAGACAAAGCAAATATTTGGCCCATGTAACACAAGAAAGAATATACTTTCAAAAGCAATTTAGAGATAATTTCTTAAGTAACCAGAGGAGGATTCACACGGCTAGGTCAAAAATACCTGTACTGTCATCTGCTGTCTAAATTCCCTTTAATCTTAGTGGCTAGAAATGACACTTCCATGGTGGTGTCAGAGGTCTTCTCTAGGAATTATTTCCCCAGAAGACTGACATGAAATACTTGCACAGCTGCACTGGTTATAAAGGATGGCCACTGGTCTGCTATGATTACTCACATGTAGATCTCTAACTTGCAAGTGTTCAGAGCTGGGTAAGGTGGATTCTACCCTAATTTTTAACAAAACAGGCCCCAAATCCTTTAAAAATACATCTTGTGTGGATATGTCAGTACCAGCAAACTAACCTGGGCCAGGGTACAGGCTCATAAAGTGCCCTGTGACTGCCCAGACTGTTAACTTGCTGGATTAATTTTGTCCTGTGCCAAGTAGCACTGTCTCAGACAGTGCCCACACATGGTTCAAGAAGTATTGGTGTATCACATACCAAATAGGCTGCATGCAAATTTGGGAAGGAGTTTGATTTACTGATCTAGACCAGCTCAAGTGCCTGAATTGTTTCTTAACTAGGGGTTTTGATTCCACTGGCAGTTTTGATTGCCTTCATTTTGCAAGTGTACAGCAGTGGGCTGTGGCTAACAGAGGAGGGAGAAGGTACTTACTGCAGGAAGAGCAAAGAAAGACACTCCAATAAGAGAGAAAGTAGCTGCAATCAGCCGTCCCTCCCATGTTTTGGGGGTCTTGTCACCATATCCAATCGTAGCAAGGGTGATCTGTGGGCAGAATGACCAGGACCTCCCATAAGAAAAACAAGGCCAAAAGCTCTGCTTTAAATGCCACCATGAAACCTGCATTTAGCATTGCGGGTGCTCATGCAGCCTCCTCATGCAGGATCTTGATGATGGGCCAACCAATCATTTTAATGGTATCATGGTCCAGAGGTATTGAGATAGGGAGAATGGAATTAGTCTTAGAGCAGCTACCTCCCTAGGATGCATTTGCTGAAAGGGAACTCTACGTGACGTTCCATGCAAAGTGAGTCTTCTGCCCATCATGACGGCACACTTAGGAGTGGGACTTGCCAGTTAATAGCTTGCAGGGCTTTAAAAACCAATCAGGACTACCTCTTTCTGAAGTCCCAGTGTTGTTAAAACAAAGATGACATTGTGAAAACTTGTTCCTTTCCTACACAGTTCCTTATTTCCAACTGTGTATCTCTTATCACCAGTGAGACTTTACCTAAGTGTCCTGGATATGAAAGGATATGAAAATATCCAGGTGTTCCATACAATACTTGGGACCTTTTGATTAATAATGGGGTAGAAGGATCTTGCCATTTATGAGTGAACTACATCAAATAAAAAATACGCTACTGAAGTTTAATCACAGCATGTTATGGATTCCTCTAACTATTGGTAGCAAAGCAACATGAATTCTGTCTACCAGGTGGCAGGAATAGTTTGTGATCAAATGAGCAGTCGTGCAAACCGATACTTGTCTCTTCATGAGAAGAGGCAAGAACAGATGTATCAAAGATCCCTCTTGCTCAGTATTTCACAACCAGTGTCGTACCCTGATCAATTCTGGGGGTATGCACATTGAGACATAAAAGAATTGTTGAGTTATCCTTTTCAGAAACATGTTTCTACTTCCCACATCAGAATCCAGAAACATCCTCAGTCATTGGCTCTTTATAGACCAAACTCCCTTGAGTGTCTCTTAAGCCTTTGATACACTTTGCTATCCCAACAGAACAGTCCATTGGCCAGCTCTGGTTCTGCCATTTTCTGGGAGATGTAGTTCTCAGTGGCAAGCTACTGCTGTCACTAGAGCTAAGTCTCCCATAGGCATATGTTCTGCCAGTGCAGTTATACATCAAAAGACACCCCTCTAAAAGAGTGGTTTCCAGAAACCAGCAGAGACTGATTTCCAAAGAAGGTTTAAGCACTTAAAGGTGTCTGACTGAAAATCAACAGTGGTGTAAAATCTGCTACTTAGTTGTAGTGGCATCCATACTCTGGTAATGTTCTTCCAGTATCATGCTTCTCACCCCAGAGTAGCACTACTGTGATCCCTAGCATCCCTAACGTATTTTTTCTCTTCTTGGATATGAAGTTTTTAGATAAGGTATTTTTGGATTCACTTACCAGCCCCCACCACAGTGCATCTGCATAAGTTTCAAACTCTTCCTTCATCTCCACCCCATTAGCATCCTTTTCAGGAACATCTTTTTCAACCAGATAAACAAGAAACGAGGATAGGATGAGCGTCAGGAACCCGATGTACCAAGCAGTGATGAGCTCCTGCAAAAGAAACAGATGGGGAATGGAGGGGCTGAAAACAGCCTCAATACCCACTGAGGCAGAGTAAATGCCAAGAGAGAGGAAGCATGAAGCTGATAACAGCAGAGCTGTTGCTGCTGCTTGGTCACAACCCATGGCCAGCCCAGCTCAGCACTTACTGGGAAATAATGCAGAGATTTACAAGAATTAGCCCATACATGGCGTGTTCCTTGGGAACAGCTTGGAGCAATCTGTAGTTATAGCTCTGCATAAAGCTGGGTTAAGGGTTTAGCTACACTCATGATGTAGGATGCTGCAGGGCTCTGTCCCTGACCATGACTCTTCTCATTCTGGCTGCCTATAGGTTTGGTCAGCTTTGGCAGGCAAATGACAGCTCTGCCTAATCCCTACTTCCAGAGAGGCAAGGCTGCAGGATGTACCAGGGTCCACCATGAATTATGTTTTCATGATGAATTGATGCAATAAGAACAGACCTTGAAAATCATCTGTGTGAAAAAAACCCTGAGCTTCCTTAGTTTAGAGACAGTGACTAAAGTAGAGTGTGTGGCTAAACCCACTGAGGTGGGAGGTGCAGTGACCCAAGTTAAATTCCCAGCAATGTCTGAAACAAAGCAGAAACATTTTTGGTGAAGGTCTTCCAAAGTGGGTAAAAGTCAGTGTTCCGCTTCCTTTTATTTTCTGAGAACTGCATTGAAATAAAATAAAATAAAACCAAATTAAAAAGAATTAGACTAAAATAATTTAATTAAAATAAAACAAATTTAAAAAAGTAAAGTAAAGCTGTAGCTGAGAATTTCATAATTGAGTCTTGAGATAAGCCAACCAGAAACTGGCTAATTCCTGGTCTGCAGCCACAGAAGGATATTTGTTGGCTAACCTTGGTTTTTTAGTGTCTCCAGTAAAGCCTTAAACAAATTCCAAGCAATGGCTCTGGCACACAGACTTCTTCCATTATCTGAGCTTCCTGAGAACCACTTTTGACATAAGTGTTTATGTGCCACCTGCCATGTAGCAAGTTTATATGGGGAAGAAACAGAAGCTGGTATGAAATAAAGCCTGGTGGGTACCCCTATCAGCCACCACAAAGCAGCAAAGTCCAATTATGCTGTGCCAGCTGGCATTTTAATCCTCAAAACCCCTAAAATGTCAGGAATGTCATTCACGGGTAAGAAAAAGCCGCACAGAACACATATACGCAATTTTCCTACACCCTGTGCAGATAAGAAACCTCATCTGGAGGATTTTTATGCAGATAGCTTTTAACTTGTAGTAATGTTTGGTGAAAATACCAGAACACAATGTATCTGTCTGGTGCGAGACAAGATGTGTCTGAGTATAGCATCAAGTTAGACCAAGAAAAGATGAATTTAGAACTACTCTCTGTCTGGGTCCACACTGTGTGCATCTTCGTATTGTCTGACCTGTGCTTCCAAAGACAAATTATACCAGTGGCTCTCTTTGACACTACATTTCAGCTAACCAGCTTCTTTTCATCCCTTCAGAGTCCTGCTCCATCTGTCGATCAGAGAAGTATGAGAAGCCACTACAAATACGTTGCAACTACAGGGGTATTTCTGTCAGACATTTCAACATGCTTCACCATTAAAGGGATGTCCCTGCTCTCATTCAGTGTAATGGCAAAATTCTTGTTGTAATGACTGTGGGAATGAACGCTCTTTCATCATTTCCCAGCACCACTATTGAGTATAGAAGGATAAAACACAGGCCAGAAATGGTTCAGATTGGAGGAGAGAATAAAGCTGAAAGAACAAAACTATTGCTTGAAGTACTGGACATAGTCCCAGGACCCTGCTGCACCTGTGCATCCTCTCTCTTTCCCTTCAATGTCTCTCCCCGAAACCCCATCTGAACCCTGCGAGTTCATCACTTACTTTGCTATGTGCACAAATTGCTGATCCTAAAAGTTTCCATGTGCCTCCCCGCCTATCCATTCGGAGCATCCGTAGGATCTGAAGGAAGCGGAGGCTTCTGAGAGATGTGGCCAGAACATTGCCCTGGTTCCCAACCGCAACCACTGGCACTGAAGCAATCAGCACGAAGATATCTGCAAAATAAAAAGAACAAAGCCTGCCAACAAAAGTGGCCCCATCACCTGCTTCTTAATCCCATCTGGTCATGCTCCAGATTTCCCTAGGCAAATTTTAAAGCTGCCTGAAAATGCTTTCTCTTGCCAATTAAACAGATACTTGCACCTGCACACAGTCAGCATCATGCACAGAACCCTCCAGAAAGCCTCGTAATCTATTTAGAGGTCCATGCACTGGACTTGAGACAGTCTCAGCCAGTTTAGGGATGCTGACAGAAAACAGTGTCCTAACGCTGACAGAAAAACAGCCTTAGATGCATCTGTCCCACAGGAGCACCACAAAGAACAGGTCAGCAGATGAGAAACTCATGTCTTTATAGTGCATCCAGTACTTTGTTCTTTTGGCTGAGTTTTCCCATTAAAATCTAAAAGCCAGTACTACTATTTTCTGTAAGGCTCACAGGGCCAACATGCTGATCAACAGAAGAGGTTTGAAATGCAAATTGCATTGCTCCTTCTTGGTTTATTTCTTTTCTTTTCTTTTCCTTGTTTGCCCTCTGCTTTGTGATCCTGTGCATACGCAAGAAAAAAGGTGGTATCAAAAGGCTTCAAACCTTCTCTGGACACCCAGTCTTTAAATACTCTTCATATTCTGTTTTCAGCTAAAAAAGAGTGACACCGGATGGATTTTGGATTTATTCACTTTCAGTCATTCCCAAAACAAACTTGTGCTAATAACAGCCAAGAGATTGTATTAATAAATCCAGGATCTTTTCTGTTTTCAACTCAGATATCAGTAAAGACTCATTATCAGAAATGAGATGACACTTTTACTGAGAAGGCATGAGATAGTACCAATTGCACTTGCTAACACCACACTCTATTGCCTTCACAATGCTATTAGAAGCAGAAGAAGTACTTATACAACAGTAGCACCCAAAGGAGCATTGCTAGATTGAAGATAGCACAGATGCACAAAGAAAATTTGTTCCAATTTTGTGTCCCATTTAGACCCATAAGATGAACAAAAAGAGGAAGAGGGAAGAGAGTGACGAGTATTCCTATGGCTCCCCAGAGTGCTATGTGCCTACAAATAAAGAACAAAAAAAGCAAGTTCTTGGCCTGAAGAACACCAAAACAAATGGGGGGGGGGGGCTTGGAATCGAACAAATGTGGATGTTCATGACAGGTGCTCAGGGCAGAATGAGCTTCTAAGTGTCCATTGGCTGGTTTGTGGGTAGAATAGGGAGTTGTAGGAAGGGATTCAAACACGTATAATGAGTAGTTTTATGGATACTTATAGGCAGTACCTTCCAAGCCTGAAAGATAACATGGGTGCAATCACAAATATACTTGTTTGTAAATGTAGACCAACATTACAAAGGTAAAACACCACATCTGAATTTGAAAGAGGGCTGAGGAAGGTGGTATGGGGCTGGGATCTGAAGTGGTTTGAAACTGAAGGCAGACAGAGTATATTTGGGGGTGGCTTAAGGAAAATGCAGTGGGGCTCAGGACAAGAAAATGCGTTTAAAGGGTAAAAGAATATGTTTTCCCTCACTGATCAGCTACTCAAGTCTCCTTCAAATTAACTGTTATTATGGGGTACTTCAAATAGCTACTCCAAGCAGGACACAGCTTCCTATGACAAAGTGAAGATCTGATTTCACTGCCATTGCCTGTTTTCCTGGGGCTGCCACCCACCCCAACTGGCTTAGAAGGAAAAGGACATAAAGGAAAACAGTAGCAGGGAGCATGTTCTTACCCAGCATACACAAAGGCTTCCTGGCAAATTTCAGTCTCCCCCTCCATCCTTTGTAGCGACAGCAACACCCAGCAGCCCAGATTCTTAAGGCAAACTCTGCTCCAAAGATGAAAATGGCAAAAGTTTCCTGTATCAAAGACACAAGCTACACTGTTAGACTCATAGCAAGTTTAGCAGTAATTCAGGACATGAGGATATAGTTGAAGGAACCAGGTGAAATGCTAGCACTGGGGTGTGTGTGTGAGATAAAGAGAGGAAAAGAGTGGGCAGAAGAATATGGGTTGATAAAGAAGCAAGGCAAAGCGGGACATAACTCTATAGCCTGGTCAGTACTCTGCAGAAAGGATGTGACCCTGCTGTAAATGTAAAGCGTTTACCTGTCTTAATAGAAAGGCTGTTACTTCATAAAAAGACCTCCTCTGGTTACCCACCAGCATCTTGTTCATGCAGCCATATATATAGAGATAGAACAAGATACAGTATATTCATATGGTCATAAATTTATGGCATAAATAAAAGCACATAGAAAACAAATTTAATGCATATGTTATTCCCTTAATTTTCTGGTGCACAGAAGAATGGGATTTTCCACCTTGCTCAAGAACTCTTCTAAGCATGGGGAGGGAAAGGGGAAGAGACAGCTTCTCTGGAGTGCTCAGCAGAGATGAGCCAATGGCAGCATGGGGCACACAGTTAGTTTTCCTCTCTTTTCCTCTGTGTGAATACCTGGTAAGGAGGAAAAGGGGATTTTCCCTGATGCTCATACCCACAGTAGCTAGGCACTTCTGTAAACTGCTGAGAGCTATAAAAAAACAAGCACAGGAAAAGGAAAAATAAACTCAGGCCTTTTCTAATGTGAAAAGATGGGTCTGTGCAAGGTAACAGAGATGAAAAGTCAGCTTCCCATTCCCTAGGGGATGAGGGTGTTTTCATATAGGTGCTTTTTGAGATGGAACATGCAACAGGAGTTCACATTTCATTCCTTTTGGCATTTAGTTCTTTCTTGGATCTACATGTCTCTGGGGGTACAAGGGAAAATGGAAATTTAGTTCCTGGAACTACGCTTTCTGATGCTTTTCTACAAGGCCAGATTAAGTGAGGCATTATGCTCTCTGATGCTACCTATGGGACAAAAGGGTCATTCTCATACAATGATTAACACATCATGTTTATACTTGGTGAGATTTTTGCATCTTCTGCCAAATGGAAGGCCTGCAGAAATACAGTCTTGAGCATGAACTCCAGCACTTATAAAACAAGCATGCTGCAAACACACACAGAAAGCAATATATTTGCTACCAGCACATTTTCTGTCATGGAGAGTCATCAGAGGCACTGACTGCAACAATTCCAATCATGCTGCTGTTGGGTATAAGCGTGAGTCCAATTCTGATGACCTTCCTTGAAAGAAATGCTGGGATTGGTAGAATATTATAGAATGAATTGAAATTGTTAAAAGATCAAAAAAAAAGTGAGTTTTCAAATGCACTCTGGCGTGGTCAATAGGAAATTTCCTGATGTTTTGATAGGAGAACTGTCAGTCAAATGCTGAAAAAACATTATTTAAAAGTCTCAGTATTTTTCCCCTCTCCAAACTTATTTTTTACTCGGTCAGTGTTGACAATGGACCAGGAACTATCCAATATATAAGTGTAAAGTCATTGTCCATGACCAGCAGAAGCAATCTTATTGCATGCAGAGCTGGGAGTAAGTTTCCATCACTGCTGATGGGGCTGATTTCCATTCAAGGACATTACCAGGGTGATGCAATGCCCACACTCTACTTACCAGCAAGAGGAGCCAGTCTCCTGAAACAGTTTCATACTCCTTGAAAGTTGTCAGGACAGCTAAGATCAAACACCCCAAGACAATCAGAAACCTGGAATGAAATAGAAGGGGAAACCACAGCACTGTTACCCCTCTCGGTATTAGCACTGGAGATATTGGCTATAAAATCCTAGTTAAAGACCTTTAAGGGATGGCTACTACTATTGGTGAGCAGTCAGGTGGGATCTCAGGAAGATCAAGGGTTCTCAACCTGGACAGGTGAGGCTTGTTGTCAGGAAATCCTGACAAGAGCCTAAATCAGAATGGTGCTGCTACTGAAATGCATTAAGTAACTTGTTTGCATGCTTCAAGAAGGAAGTGAGTGATAATGCATTTTGGGAAGGGATTTTATATATATATGTGTGTATATATATATATATATATGTACACACAGGCAAAGGACTATAATGCTCAGGAGGTCTTTTCCAAGCTGATGTGTTGTGTGCTTCAGAAAATGGCACTGCAGTGACTGCAATGAATCTACTTGGCATGTCCTGAGACCTGAGAAACAGTAAACGCTTCACTACAATGCAGCACCAGGAAAAACCCTCCCTTGAAAACTGCACTGCATTTCTCTTTTTTTCATTCATTTCCACGCAGATGAAACAATGCAAAAGTTAAAAAGGTTTGAAAATTAAACAATAGAGAGTGAAATTCTGCTCTCCAGTAAACACGATGCATGATAAATCACTGCCCCTGTATTATTGTCTGTCTGTGAGGCTCCAGAACAGAGATTTGACTTAAAATTTAACTCCCACTGCTGGTAAATCCAATTCAGTTCTATCTAAAGTCATGTTGATCAGCTTTGTGAAACTATCCCCAGGTTTCAGCTGTTCAAAATCTTTTATACAAAAAGTAGTGAGAAAAATCAAGGGCATCTCATATGTGATTACTGTGAAGCAGAGTGGGGGGAGCTTATATTTTGGTACTTCATGTACCCAGATCATAGGCATTTTAATGTGCTCCTAAAATCTGATCCACGGGAACAAAGGGGAAGGTGGCCATGGAAATATTTCAGAGCTTAGTGAGTAAATTGGAAGAATGTCTCCATAGAGCTCTGTATCCCTGGTTTCGTGGTTAGGGTACATCAAAGAAGTGATAGGCGTTAGGTACTGAAATCATCCAGGGAAAAAAGCTTGTTAAGAATCAAACTGTGTTTAGTGTGTAATACCTGCATTGAATTACAATCTGAATCCTAAACTGTGATTTATTTCTTGCTGAATAAAACTCTACTTTGTTTCACTGGGTGAAATGAGCAGAGTCTACTGCCTGCAGTGTGGAGACAGTGATCAAGGACTCAGCTCAGACACACATGTCCTCTAACCTGTACTGGGTTTTGGTTTCATTCATGTATGAGGAAATCTAGGGCTAAGGGAGCGTGTTATGAGAATTTCCATTTTTGCAGCTGGAGTGAAAGGAAAGAGGTGAGCTCCAGACAGCTCTTGCTGCCTCTGGGGGGGTGAATTTCCTCCAAACAGCATCAACTGGCACCCTCCATGCAAAGAATAGGCAACAGTGAAACATTTCACATCAGACCCTGAAGGATTACTTTGCTGTGGCTTTCCCAATATTAGCTGTTCAGACTGAAGTTTCTTATGTCAGGAAAATTTCACATCAGCCATTTTGAGAAAGGTTAGAACAGAAATAAATGTGTTTCTTCATGCTGAATAACTCTGAATTTCTTTGATGTTTCACCTTTTCCCACTCACCAGCCATGCTCTAGAGCATGAGTTATGTGGTTGGTAGGAAAGAGCTTTTGGGCCCAGAATGTGTCTTTTGCATTTATCTATAACTACAGTCCCCTGATCAAGATACTCATCAGTTAACATAGTAATTCTGTGATGTTCCTGCCATGCCCTCAAGCGTGCTTTGTCACACCATACATTGATGTCCCCAACCTGCAATTATGAAGCCAGTGGCTCAATGCCTTCCCAAGACCCATGATCCAGCTGTCCTGCGCCTCCATGACCAAACTAGTGAGCACTCAACCAAGACAACACGATTCCTTTCATTAGCTATAAACCAGCAATGATCTGCCACATTACAGCCATTACAGTGATCCCATCACTAATTCTCTATTTAAAGCCTTGAGCTGCTGCTACTTGAGGTTTTCCATTAAAGCCGTTTTTATCTGCATGTGAAAATTCAGTCACCCATCAGCTCACAAGTACCGTTTATATGATTTAATGAGAGGTGAAACACACTGAAAATAGTCCAAGGAAATTACATCATCAGCCACTTAAACTAAAGGCATGAATTTACGATGTCATTCAACAGAAGAGCACTGTCAATTAAAGATGATGTGCAGATTTTTGTCCAAGAGGAAGACAGAAGACGAGTTAGGAGTGAAGTCATCTTTTGCCTAAAAATACCTGATGTTTTACCACTAGAGGGTATCGGTGCTCCATAGAGCAAGGATACGCAGCGCTGGCTCCTGTTACTCTTCCCGGTGAAACGAACTTAATGCAGGTGATGTTCAAGTGATCGCACGGATCGCACCTATGCATTTGACAGGCAAGAAAAGGAGTCTCGCACCGGTGAAAATGCTTTTCCTTTGTCATTAAAAAAATTCAGATGTTGGCAGTAATGGACAAGGGGTGCTGCTTGCGCTATCACTCTGTGTGGCACAGCCGATGCTGCAAGCCTACCGCTCCAAGTGAGAGCCCACCCATGAAAACATCATATCGTGAAGCACAAAAACTCAGTAAAAATAGGGTGACAGTGTGAGACTGGAGATCTCAAGTCACCAGGAATAATTATGAGGGCAAACTCCAGCAGGGAATATGGTCTGGACCCCCAGGTGCAGAAATTGCCTGAATGCAGCCCAGAAGAGTGCCTTGGAGGTGAAATTGATGAGCAGGAACCTCGGTCCCAAAAAACACACAGCCCTTAGAGAAGACTCCTGCTCCTTCCTGCAGTACTCTGGGGTGTGCAGGGATGAAAAGGCTATCCTGGGACACACAACCACAATCAATCTTGGAAGGGTTGACTCTCCTCCTACTGCACCGTTTCCGAAGGATAAACACCCACTGCAAGTTAATCAAATCACATCTCAGCAATCCTCCCTTAGCATCTGAAATGACGACCGTGGTTCAGAGCACTTCATGAATTTTAATCTCCACTGATACTATGCAACCCACCAATTTCCCTGCAGCCCCTTCTGGTTTGGATCTTGGTGCTTACATAGCCTGCAAGACTTCTTGTGTCCTTTCTCTGGAAGATGCTACACAAATTGTTTTACCAATCCCCCTTGCTCAGCAAAGATGATAGCAAGGTTCACCTTTATCTTGTTGCTTATGTCCATATCGTGGGTGTATGCATCACCCTTATTGTGGTCTTGCAAACATGAAGACTCCAACTTGCTTGACAGTTACCAAGTCTACATTGTCTAATCTGGTTTTTCAGATGCAGCAATGTGAGTCCAGTGGTTGAGCCTGGTTGTAAAATCTTAACAGGCAAAGGGGAGGGAAAGAAACTACTCAAATCACAGGGGGTGAGCAGAGGGGAGACCAACACTGACCTGGGGAATCAAGGGACAGAAAGGAAGAAAGTCTGAAATTTGCTCATAGTTATGATGATACCATCCATGGGACATGGAGCACCAAGGGCTATAGGAAAGAATAGGGTAGAAGTCAAGGTTTAATAATGAAAATTAAGCCCTATTAAGCCTAAGCGTCCTATTGAACAGCGTTTCAGCAGGTGGCAGTCCAGACTTGAAGTCTATAAATCAGATATGCCAAATGAGGTTCTGAATTTGGTTATTTAGCTTTTTGAATAACCCTTGTTATCATTTACATGTTTTTTTTCACAGCCTATTGTACTGTACCTATTTGTAATGTTATATGTAAAATCCAAATTAATTTGTTGTGTGTGTAAGTTCCAGACCACCAAATTGCAGTGCTCTTTTGTGACTCTCACAACTAATATACTATTCTAGTTTTTGTTACTGGAAATCACATGTTTAACACTCATGTTTTCTAATTGTACTATTTTGGTGTATTAAAGACAGCATTTCAAAAACAATACATATTTTTTCCAGGAAAGAGGCAGTAATTTATGACTATGCTAGGCCATGAATGTAATGTTTCTTGGGTGATTACCACAGATGGTTTTATTTGATAAATTTTGATTTCTTTTGATATTTCACATTCTTTTGAGTTTTTCCTCTATATGCATTTTAATTTGAAGCCAATGCAATGTAGATCTAGCTGGGAACTTTTATATTTTTTCCATATAGAGGTGCTCATCATGTATCCTCTTCAACACCTCTTTCTTCATAATTTGAGGAGTGGATCACCTAGCAATTTGTTTATAATCTATTCCAAAACATAGCAGTGGTCCTTTTGCTGCTGCTATTAGGACTAGGTACATCATAGGCAGGCCAAACAAGATTTGCATCTGGCATTACTTTGGGAAATCTTTGTGCTGTGTGACAAAATGTTTTCAATTAGACTTGCAGGTTACTAATAGAGAGGATTGTGTACCTCTAGTGTACAACTGATGTTTAAAGTAAATGGCTCAAGTTGGTCACAAGCAACTAGAGAGACACCTTCCCTGTATCTAAGGAAAAGTTCTAGTGACTAGCTCCTATAGAGACTTTTACTGTGTAAATAAGCTGAATGTTCAGCTCATTTAAAACACTACAAAACATCATAAAACATTATAAAACAGCTTTTAATAATGTTTATATATATTTACTACTTAAAGAATTACCTTAACAGCCATACCAGCCCACTTCTTACATGCCCAGGTTTCTCTGAAAGCCCTTGCTGTTAATTTAGGTATCACATGGGATCGAGGAATCCTGGCTATGAAAAGAATAATCCAGACTATGAGCAGGAAAGCCTCTTGATCAGCTATTAGAAATCCCCTCAAGTGGACACTACATAACTCTGTTTGCTCTCACATCTGCAATGCCATTTCTCATCAGCTGGAATTTCCTCTGTCTCCCAGTGCTTTATGACTTAGAATTCACTGCTTTGCTTCATTTGGTCCTTTCTTATTTTCCCTTAAAACTTGTGCTCTAGTTTTATTTTGTTCTGCAACTTGTCA